TATCATGCCGGTTTTTCATGCCTAGAGTCATATAAAAGGTGATAAGCGAAATATTACATAGAGGGATGATAAGTAACACGCGCATTACAAACTACAAAGACAGACATACGCATGCGTTGCGCCACCTGTGTCAGCACTGGACATTGTTACGTCATTGCGTCGGCCAGATAGGCGCGGAGACGCCTTTTGAATGCACCGATGCGTCTGACTGAGATTCTAGAGGGAAGACGATTGAAAACATCGGCAGTTCTGTAGAAGAAACGGCGTCTGCCGTATTCCGTCTTTTTTATTTTGACTTTATGTCCTGTTCACTTTTTGTCTTTCGACTTTTGTTCTTTTTACTTTTTGGCAATTTGACTTTTTGCCGTTTTTACTTTTTGTCTTTTGACCTTATGTCCATTTGACTTTTTGTCTTTTGACTTCTATGCTAGTTGACTTTTTGTTCATTGACTTTTTGGCAATTTCACTTTTTATCTTTTGACGTTTTATCCTTTTTGACTTTTTGCCTTTTGACTTTCCTCTTTGTTGACCTTTTACCTGTTGACTTCTAAGATTTTTGACTTCTTGCTTTTGACGTAATGTCTGTTGACAAATCATCCGTTTACCTTTTACCATTTGACTTTTTGTCCGGAACCCGTCCTCCAGAGGTCACACAACTTGTATAGGTGGGAATTTTTTAAGGAACATGAGGTCAGGTCGGTCACGTGACATCACTACATTATAAGTCAATGGGGAAATATAAAAACTGTTATTTTGGCGCCGAGAATGATCTAAAACTATCTCACGTACATGGTATCGTGATTTCATGCACTCCTTGCAAAATCCAATGCTTCACTTTTACATTGTTAACCTTGCGTGACGTCATTTATGACGTCACTAGGGTCATACGAGTTTTTCGTCAATAACTCCAGATCAAATGGAGCTAGAGAGTCGGGAAAGCCACCAATGGACTCGGGAAGACCTTCCAAATCGAATGATATGCCATATGATACCCTTTGCCCAGCTTCGTGACCTGAGGGGCTCTGACCTGACCTTGACCCGAGGTCAACTACTTAAGTTGACCTCACCCTAGCAAAAAGTATACCATTCGATGCACCTGAGCTAGGCGAACACAATGATGCCAAAATCGTGGCTTTGCGGCCATTTTTTGCGAAGTTATTTACTAAAAACCGAACCCGTAACTTCAGTCACTTGACCTGACCTCAGACGCTACCGGTTAACCTGAGACCTTAAAATCGGGTACCAATCGCTGCGAATTGTAACGGCACACACGCATGTTTTTTCCGCGAGGCTCTAGCTCCATTAGAAGCGAAACGGCGTGCTGGGGTCGTATCAACCCCTCCGAAACCCATTTTGTTTGCGGGAAAATGAGGATCTTATAGAAAGAACACCTTTCTAATTTTTTGCATGTCGATTTGCAATGACATGAAGTTTATTTTGAAAAAATAAAAATGTGAAAAATTTCGGTCCCAAAAGTCATTAGAGGCAAATGAAAAAAGATTAAGGTTTTTGCTCAACAATGCAAATTTTTCTTTGGATTTTTTAAATAGTAATATTAATTTTTGATTCATCGCAAGCTTAAAGTTATTTACTTTTTGTTGGTTGCTTAACCCGTTCTTGAGTTATAGGCCATCAAACTCACCGTTACAAACCGAGGTTAAAAAAATGTAATGCAATATAACTCAAAAAGTTTTGATCTGAGAAGTCTGATATTTTGCCAGGCGTCTTTTGGGCCTATGATTACCCCTAGGACCGATTTTCATTAAAATCTGAGAGATGAGGGTGACGGGCCTGGTACGATCTATCGTGGAATGCCCCAGCTCTCGGTCTCTCTCTGACAGTTATGTTACACACTCGCTGAGGCGGTCTAATACTTCACGTTATCTGGGAATCTGTTACGCCCAGTGCGGTGCCTTTTTCAGCGACCGTGGCAGTGAACCTCAACTACGACCCCACGGCTGACGAAGCGGGGCCTGGGGTGGGGCTGTGATCGCCGTCGCCACCGCCACCGCCGCCGCCACCGCCACCGCCGCCGCCACCGCCGCTGCCGGCTGGATGACGTCACACCATTCAGCGCTCCGTTCCGACCGCCGCGCCGGCTCCGGGATCCGGCGAGTCGTGTGCGCGGCGCGTGCGTGCCTCAATGGAGCCTGGAGCAGCGGTGGGCAATGAGTAGTCGGCAGGCGGACGGTCCGTGACCCAGGCCATGGAGCGATGCGTGTCGTGGCAACCGGCCGACGGTCGATACAAATACGCAGCGGAGAGCCCGCAGGCCAGGGTCGTGGGGTGCGAAAAGCGTACCTACTATTAGCTATTAGGAATGGCAATGACGCCGTTCATTACCAGGAACGGCTGTGCAATTTCGTGTTAGTCTGTCTATGCGATGCATGATGAACCCCGCTGATGTTAGCTTATGTTGCACTATCAATTATTATTTACGCATATATTCAACATTATCACTGAACAATGAACATCTATCGCTGGCTTCACAACACTCGGCTACGCTCCGTACGAGGTGTTCGGGCTTTGCGCTGTCGCTGTCTGTGGAACGAGTAATGCGGCTACGCACCGTCTCTTCCTCCGCCGGTTGATGAGTTCCGAGTGGTTGTGTCCGCACGCGTGAGCCCAATTTCGCGTCCGACCGGCCCGGCGCGGCTCCGTTGGGGCTCGTGGGCGCTGTGCTTCAGTTTGACGGACGTCGGACGCGCTTCGGCAGTCCCAGAGTCGTCCGGCCGTGGCCCAGAGCCGAGCACAGCCGGCTCGGCGTGCAAAAACCCCGGTATAACGGAGGTCAGAGCCCGCAAAACAGAGGCCGTGCCTGTGTCGAGGACCTGGCTGCGAGTGAGAACTGAGGGCCTTCCTGTGCTCCCTACAAAAGATGTGTGGTTAGTGAATAGTGATTCACAGCTATTGAAACGTCCGGCTGTAGTTCTTGCATTTGCTCGCTGTATTTGAGCTAGGTATTACGTCAGGACCGCTTGCGCCTGGTCTCTCATTTATTTGTTGTAGAAATCTCAAACAAACGTAAACGGTCTGGACACTTATTTCATTCATTTACCAAATAATGCGTGCTGTGCCGTTTATAGATCTAAACATACCTGCCATTTGTTAGGCTAGGCCTATGGCCTCTGTGATCCGATGTGACCTCTATCAGTACGTACTATCACACAGAGTTCGTAAACCAACGACAGCTCAATTCACGGATAATACGCGCTGTGTTTATCGCTGCCCGCATCACAGCCGAGCCGCTAGTCTACGGAGACGGACCTCGGCGGGGGCGGGGGAGGGGGGGGGGGTGTCTGCGCTCAGCTCGGTCTGCTGAGTCCAGGCTTTGACACTTTGAGTCCACTTTGACACTACCCGGCTCGCGGGTCTCGGGTCGCAGAGCTAAAACAGACGAAACAGACCAGACCAGTCCCGGGTCGGGCTGAACTGCTTAGTGCGATTATAATTTAATCATTTGGCGGCTATGCCTAAATGACCCGTGATCGTAGCGGTTGGTCGAAGTGTGAGCCGGGAACCGTAACGGTCACGAGCGCAGCCTGCCTGTGGCGCACTCGGCACTGTGTCCCTTGCTCACACGTGCTGCACGGATTGGTCGAGCACGTGACGACGCGGGGGCCAACCGCACGTGCGTGGGGAGACTCAGTGGGAGACTTTGTTGGTGTCGTCTGGTGACGTCAGCACCGATGACGTCAGCGTCGTTTCCAGGACACCATGGTTCCGATCAACGTTGCATGTACATATTACAAGTCGGCCTCCTATCCTATTTGACCCTTTGTTCCGACCGACAGCCCAGCTGCTACGAGTGCTGCTGAATGCCGGTCCGAGCCGATTGAAACGTCACCAATCCGATTCGATCATGCCACAGCTTTGACCTTTGAGAGCAGTCGGCTGCTGCTGCCGACTGCTGGCTGCCGACTGCTGGTGCCTGACTGGCGGGGTGCACACTGCAGAGAGACGGCGGCGACGTCTCCGGGAACAGAGACCGTCTCCCTCGCCTCCTGCGCCCCCCCTCCCCCCCCTGCGGAATCGATAGCTGGGAGCGGGCTTCGATCGCGCCGACACGCCCACTCTCGGCCGACAGTCACGATGTGACGTCACAATGCGCGTGCTGACGCGTCACACGTGACGCTGAGTCGAGACGGGTGTCTGGGGCTTGGTCTGGGGTCACTGTGATAGTGCTTGCAGTTCGCACGTATGACTTGTTTTGGGAGTGTAACAGTGCACTGAAGTCGGGGTTTCAAGAGCGAAGAGTGAAGACGGTGAAGGTCACTGCTCGATTTCACAGTTGAACTCTATGCCTAATAAAATAAGACCATATTGGACCGACAAAATGCACAAAAATACTAGCCAGAAATTTAGTAACGGAGAATTATCTGACGCTATTTTCGCGATACGATCAATTAGAACCCCGCGAGGCCAAAAACTTAGTTATATTTCAACCAAGGCAACCAAGGTCTAACTATATTGCAGAGCGTGCCTTCTCAGATTTCAAGATAATTTTTGAGTGGAGACCCACGGCCACGTTTACGCTTTTATGGTCCGAAAAAACGTGCCTACTACCTATGATAGGCAATGTAAGTATCTAGATCCTGGACCAAGAAGCGTAAAATAGTTTAATTTAAACCAGGGAGGTCATATCATTGACCTAAATGAAGACAAGTATAGGTCGATAGCCGCGTTCGCCGTTTGGTCACATTGCTTCGATTTAGACGATTATAATGGGCAAATAATGGGTTGACTCGTGTTTGTGCAGTGTTTTAATGGAAGTCATGATTGCAAATAGGGCGCAAGAGTTTCGTGACGTGGCGCAAGACAGGTGACGAATTTTGTTCGATCTCTTTGGCTGATCAGCATACTTTCTGCTTTCAAGCCTTTTTATTGGCGAATTTAACGTGAAGCCAGCTTTACACCAATGAAAGGCCGAGAAACGCTAGCAAGCATGTACCATATATGGCAAAATTGACAGCATTCCCATAATTCGAACAGCGCTTCAGTCGTTCGCTGTAGGCCTTGGCTGTATTCGCTGAAACCAAGGCTGAAGCGGATCGATATTTTGGGATTTTATTCGAGTTTATTCGAGTTTATTCGAGGAATCGGAGGGATCAGAATTAAGTTGCATTTAGTATTTACGAGTGGAGCTGCATATTCCATCCGTCAATGAGTTTTAAGATTCAGGTGAGTTTGTTTTTGAAGCTTCCTGTTTTTGCAAGTATATGACCAGTCAGTTATCTCTCATGCTCATTTCCCCATGCTGTGCTGAAATTCCTCGTGCTGTGCTGCATGCATTGATTTTAGAACAACATGGAAATCTGTTTGTAGCCATGTGGGCCATGTGATTCGTTGAGCAGCAATGAAATTCAATTTTTGATGTTACCTATCCTCATTTTGCAGTTTGCAGTGTAGACTCAAAATTGAGTCAAACCATGCCATATTGTCACAAACCAGAGTGCTGTTCACGGGCACCTGCGGTAGCTGTGGTAGCTGCGGCTCGGCGGTCAGCCGGGTAATGACGTCATTGAAAGTGGGGATGGGGCGGGTGGTGTGACGTCATACGGCTGTGGTCGGCTGCGGTCGCCTGCATCTCCTGCGGTCGAAACGATCCGACCGCAGCGGCCGCAGGAACCATTTGTCATACAAAGTGGTGCGGCAGTTGCGCATTCGTGTTACTTGGGCGCAACATTGACACAGCCGCCGCAGACGAACGCATGATGACGCATACACAAGTGGGCGTGACTTACAGCCTGAGATCTACCGCAGCTATCCCAGTCACCGCAGGTGCCCGTGAACAGCACTCATGCCATATTGTAAATGTGTTTGCATCACAGTCAAAGTGCATTATTGAGCACTGACGTCCAAAGTATGGGACTGTTGTGATGTGGTGTGTGTTCCGTGTGTGCTCACGTGTTTCATGGATGGAATGAAATTGAAATAGAGTGTATTTTTATTATCATTATTATTATTATTATTATTATTATAAACCATGTATTAACAGAAAATTGTTGATGCAATAATTTCATGCTAATAAATCAGAAGTACCATAGGTACCGTAAAATGGGGTGTTAAGGGACAGTGGGGTGTTAAGGGACAGTTGCGTGGGAAAAACTTTGAGTCATATTAACTTCCTAATTTGAGAAGGTTCAATAAAAACTTCAGTGTGGTAGTTGACACTGTTTTGCTCTTGACCATAGGAGAAAATGGTATGGTTTTTCATGCAAGTGATTTGGTTCAAAAATGGATTTGAGAATCATGCTACATTTTCACAAAATTGAAACATCTCCAAAACTCTGTGTGTACCACATAAACTAGTGGGTGTACAGGGAAAATGAATGCATAGGTGTATTGTCACATGTATTGCACATGTTTCATGAAAAACTTGTGCAAATCCACCCATTCATTCATCATCCTCTTCCTCTTTTCCGGATACATGCATATTTTGAGGTCGATGTGGGGTGCTAAGGAACAGGGAAGAAAAAATAAAAAAATAATATCTAAATATAATTTAATTAAGTAGGCATGGAAAACACCAAATTCCACATAAAATGCTGGCAAGTTCATGCTTTTATCTCGAACACATCTTAAGTTATGTAACAAAACATCTCAACACTCTCTTTTACAATGATGGGTCAATGGAGACTGATGTAAGTAAATGTGATGTCATCATAAAAAGGCTAAAACAAAGAGGGCAACATAATGACAAGTGACAAGCTTCAACATGGGTTTTTATTGATGACAGAAGATTACTTTTTGGTTCTGTTTACCTTATAATTAGCACACTTTCCACAAGCGTAAACTGCATTACACGTAATTGGCTAAAAAGGTCATTAGTGGTGAATGAACCTGACTTGTTTTGTGACAGAATATGCAAAACATTTCAATAAATAAATTGTGTGCCCTTCCACACCCCAATTGTGGGCATTTGATGACCATTTCTTGGAATAATATAGGTGTCCCTTAACACCCCACATTGGGGTGCTAAGGGACAGTGATGAAAAATAATAAAAAATAATATGCAGGACAAATCTTAAAAACTTTAATGTGGCAGGCATGTAAAGCACCAAATTCCACATAAAATGCTGACAATTTGATGCTTCTATCTCCAACCATTCTTGAGTTATATAACAAAACACCTCAAAACTGTCCCTTAACACCCCATTTTACGGTAAGTATTGTTGTGTGGTCTCACTTTTCAGCCATAGAAGGATGTGTTCTTTCAATTCATGTTTTGTTTGGTGAGTTTCTTCAGCTCTTAACCCGCGCCCCAGTGGCGGTCTCAGCCAACTTCGCCCTAGTGAGGGGGGGGGGGGCATATGTTACCACCCACCTCTAACTCAAAAACTAAGAGGGCTAGAAAGACGCGGTAAAAAGCTGTCGATAGCTCTCAATGTGTACGTTTGAAAGTATTTCGGTCATTTTTCACCTTAGAGCAATATTGGGGTCACCAGAGGTCATCAAAGGTCAAAATTTGCCAATTGTCATTATATTTTTCAGAAAACATGCCGCTATCTCAGGAACTATGGTAGCTAGAAAAACGCATGGAACAGCAAACGATAGCTTTTGAACTCTTCTTTTGAAAAGGTCATTATCAATATTGACCTCAGGTCAACGGTTTAGCCTCCAGAGGGCATAAACTCCAAAAATAGCTGTTTTTACGAAAAGTGTTTTTCGACAATAACTTTCGACTACAAAAAGCCACGACATTTCTATTGCCAGAATCGTGTTCCCCTCGCCGAGACGCGTCGAATGAACTATAATTTGACCTTGAAAGGTCAACTTGAAAATTTGACCTCAGGTCAAGGTCATGACCTTACCGGAAAAGGTCATGTTGCATATCAGTCGATGCGTCTCAACAAGGCAAACACAATGAGACCATCCCCAGCGTTCTATCTCTTTCCAATCGCGAGTTATTGGCAAAGAACTGTTTGTAGCCTCAAGTGACCTCGGATGACCTGTCTAGAGGCTATCAGCAAAAATGACACCTTGGTCATCACAAGTGGACTAAATCATTATGATTCTGAAATATTTGGACTGTTCCTATGCGTACACACGGATCTAGAGGCATTTTCATTTTTCTCCATTGACTTGTAATGGAAAGGTCACGCCACTGAACTGACCTTAGGTCACGGATATTAAAAATCCGAGATATACAAATTGTAGGCGCCCATAACAGCATGCAATCCACCAAGTTTAAAGCCTTTCTGACAAACACTGCAGGCTGGACATGATTGCAAACTTTTTTTTAGGCTTGGTCAGTTGACTTGACCTGGTGACCTGACCTGACATGACCTGGGGTCAAAAATTTCACACATTGTCCAAAATTGATGTACCAAAAGCTACCCCAAGCGTCGAGGCGCTACGCGCCGCGGTTTTTTATTCACACGCAAAAAACGCGACAGGGTGGTAACATATGCCCCCCACTGGGGCGAAGGTTAAGGGGTGCAAATGGAGGAAATCACAAATTTTTTTCTCTGGCCGATCCTGTCAGCTTGTAAGTCTCCTGTGTATCATTTTTCAGACAATGCTGCACCAGCACAGCAGTTCAGCACAGTATCACCAAGGGCTCACAGCTATCCACACAAATTTCACACCACAAGCTGTTAATCTGCAGTCTGCACTGCAACTTATGCCAGTGGAATGCTGTGGTCCTGTACAGACACAATCTTGACAGACATTATTGTCATAGGTACTTTTTTGTCTTTGGATAAGTAATGATCAATAGAATCAAAAGAAAAATCAATACAATATTTTCCATTAACAAACGTTCTCTTATTTCAGGAATGGACTCTATTTATGAAGTATTTATTCTAACCAGCTGTTTGAAATTGCTCCTGATCCCAGCATAGTAAGTAAAGATCATTGTACTCATTCTTGCTGGCATTTGCTACCTCCCAAATTGAGATTGGGTTTTGTAGAAAAAGTAGTTAGGTACTCAGTGCTCTTCATGAGAATGTGCTAATTTTTCCTGATCTGAATCCATACTGGTAACTGATGACCTCTCAAAGTCACAGGTCAGGTCAGAGACACAGAAACAATGTTTTGATATTGTGAATATCGAATAAACAGCTTTTACCTGCATCAGTCATGTTCTTTCCTGTTTTACAGATTGAACTAAACAACTGGATGGAGGGGAGGAAATCCTGTTCATGCATCTGAAAGAGCTATAAAATTTTGATTACTCTGACCCCGACTCTGGTTACAACTGGCAACTTCGGCGGATTCCGATTTCGCAGCCATTTCCAGAAAATTACCCCCCCCCCATTTTTCCCGACCCCAAAATCTCATCGGATGTGCATCGATCTCAGGGGTACGGGTGGTTCCTGGTCGGAGCTTGGGGGGAGTTGCCCTGCCTACCCTCTTCCGTCGCGACACTAATGGCAGGTATCGATATCCAGATCACAAAAAGATCGCCGCTTACTGCCGAAAATTGCGTAGTTTGACGTTATAGCTCAATGACCCCTGAAAGTGAGCTAAAAGCTGTGTCAGAAAAAGTGAACTGTGTCTCAAAGGTGAAGAGAAGGGTGCGCCGTGTCTAGGCCGGATCAGCTCACTCAATCCGGAGATACCTATTTGCAGAAAACCATACAGGGTATACCTACTGAACCGCTCTGTCATCGATGGTTGATGTTGATGTGCTACATGTAAATGCCATGAAAAGAGTTCATGTGCTTCTTTGAAGGGATCCCTAGACTCTATATGAAAATGAGGACTCTATTAGTATTTTACATATTAAGCCTTGGTCTGTGGGTGTCACTCATTAGACTTTTTACAAGGCATGAGTGAATGGCATTTTACAGTGAATGTGGCTCTTCATTTCTTATGCATTAAATATTTAAATATCAACATAGCTTTATTAAGTGTGGTTTTCCTTCAACGTGACATGTCATACAAACTGCCATTTGATATCAGACACAAAGTTAAGTATAGTTTAGAGCTATGGCTGGCGCTGTCATTACTCCCATTTCAGCCGCAGCACGGACTTTGAGGTTCACCGTAACTGGCTGGCTATCACACACTCCCTGCCGCTGGAGCAATGGTACACAGAGAGCACGTCAGAGTGGACGCTGGACTACCCGCCGCTGTTCGCCTGGTTCGAGTACTGCCTGTCGCAGCTGGCCGCCTTCTTCGACCCCAGGCTAGTGCTAAAACTCCGCGCTGCATATCTTTCTTGAATTTCTTTATCTCATTTATTCAACACTGATTCAATATACTGGTGAATTGAGGCATTCTGCTCCGGTTCTGACATCTGTTTTGTCGAATGCAATCATTGTGGTCCAGAGACCAGAACTAACTAATATGTTTCGGTTTTAATTAGTAAATGTCTGTGCCGAAATGGGATGTTTGGTGTTAAAATTTGGTCTTGTGGTACCTTTGGCACTGAGTTTGTGTATTCTACAACGTCATATGATTGAGTGCAGATCTGCATTCTGAAACTCTTTCTGCTCAGAATTAGGAAGGACGCTAGTTACGCTTAATTACGCAGGACGCTTTCTGAGCCAGAAAGCGTCATTCTGCTGAGCGTACAGACTAAGCTGGTGGCCGACATTGAGGAAATGAAGAAATGTTTGATCACTATAACTGCAAATGTTCCCTACCATAGACCTCGGTATACAGAGGTCTATGCCCCTACCTATACGTCAATAGTTATTGGCATCAATGATTGTTTTGCTTTTCCCGCTGACCGAGCCGACGTCACGTTGCAGAATGCTGGAGGTGCAGAATCTCAATTACGCCTCGCCAGCCACGATCCTGTTTCAACGCCTGACTGTCATCGCTAGCGACTTTGTGCTTCTGGTCGGCGTAAAAAAGTAAGCAGGGAATATGGGCCTACCCCCTCCCCCCATAGTAGCAGCAGCTTCCACCTTCACCTAATAGAAAAATGAACAGCCGTATAGCAGGGCTACTGGTACTTGACCTCTCTCTGGTAGGCTTTTGAGTATATGGTCACTTTCTATGTGCACAGACATCGTGCCCAGTGAGGGGACCTACGTGACTCCCTTTGACCCGTCTACGGTCTATGACTATTGTCTATCTCTCTCCAGGTGTGCGGATACCGTGCCCGGCCGGGGTACCTACCTAACACGCTCTAATCAGTGTGTGATGTATTTACCCTCCAGGTGCGCGGACACTGTCCCCGGCCAGGGGACCTACCTGACCTCTCCCCGGGTGCGACTGGCGGCGCTGACTCTGGGCAGCGCCGGTCTTATCATGGTGGATCACATCCACTTCCAGTACAACGGCCTGCTGATCGGACTGCTGCTCATCAGCTACGCGCACATGACGCAGGTGAGACCGGACGGGAGTCAGACAGACTGAATGTTGTCGTTATGTGGAGCTGAATACTGCAATGAGGTCGTGGCTGTCAATTTTATTACACTGGTGGTTGATTCTGGTACTTCCTGGATAACAATACCTATTGTGCGTTAAAAGCTACGCTCGTGTTAGTATTTAACGCTCCCGAAACTTGTGCCCATTTCAAGTGAGAAGTGACTTCTAAAAAAAAGTCGTCACTTGTGAACCAAACTGAGCCTAGCCTGCGATTCTCATAAATTCACACCTCTCTCCGCAGGGCCGCTTCCTCAAGTCGGCGTTCTTCTTCACGGTGCTGCTGAACATGAAGCACATCTTCCTGTACCTGGCGCCGGCCTACTTTGTGTTCCTGCTGCGGAACTACTGTGTGACGATCCCTGCCGGTGGCTGGCTGCCTCGCCCGCAGCTCGCCAACACTGCCAAACTGGGTCTGGTGGTGCTGGGTGTGTTCGGCCTGTCTCTGGCGCCGTTCGTCGCGCTCGGCCAGCTATCCCAGGTGAGTTCGGAAGATTCCCTCTTGTTGGTCGCAGAGCGGAGAGTGGGTGCTTGGGTGAAGAGGATGCATCTTTTTTAGCTTCCGACTGAGGTTAGTGGTGTGAAAAATGCCGTATTTTCTTGGTTGACGCTCGACACATTGCAAACACAATATGAGCCATGTATGCTATTTAGCGTGCCTTCGGCATCCGGAAAATAGTATCGTTTGGATATTCCCCGGCGGAAAATTATTGGTGAGCGCCTATCTTCAGCATGTCTCGTTACGGGCGTTCTACGACATATCGACAAATAAAAAATTAAATTTGCATCCTCATATTTTATTTTTCGTTGAGAACTGGTGTAAGGGGTTGTGGACTTTCGAGGTCAACATACATGTGTTTCGATGCGGATCGACGAGAGGATCACGATGGTGATATTAGTTTGTTCCTAGCTGGGATACCTTGAAAGTTATTCGAGAAAAACTTCATATATATGTAGTGCCGCAATTTTGACTTCCTTTTTGCTCCTGTGACGTCATCTTTGACCTGACCTGAAAATGACCTCAGTAAAAATCATAGACCTTATCCGTGTGTACCCTGCACCGTTTACCGATTGTCGCTATCTTGCTTTATTCTCGAGATCTCGCTGTCGCTCCTGCTCGTAATAATGGACAGGTCATAAAAATGACCTGACCTGAGGTCAACGCAGGGCGATAGCCACTTTTTTTATTTTCGCATATGAATGACAATTGATAAGGCTTCAATCTTCAGTGGGGAAAATATCAAGGTCACTCTTCGAAAAATAGGTCAAAAGGTCACGTGATCAAAATTTTCAAAAATTGAGAATCCGAGATAGCCAAAATGTTTGTTGGTTGATTGTGAGTTGAATCATATAAAGTTTTTATCGTATAAAACCAATAGTTTTTTAGTTATAGGCCGCCAAACATAGGGCTGCAGCGCGACCTCCAGGAATTGCCCGAGGCTATATGTATCTCAGAAACCGTTGTTCGAAGAAAAAAATCCTTGCCACAGCTGGCTTCCCCGCCCATCACAACCCATTAGACCAATTTTAAGCAAAAAAAAAAAATATGAGGGTGCAGCCTGCAGGGCACTTGTCGATTTGTCGTGGAACGCCCCGTTATCGCGATACCGAACGTGATCCCCGATAATTCTCTCTGATCCCGAAAAATTCTCCCCGATTGTCCGGATGCCGAACGCACGCTGTCTGTTGAAAGTACCGATACACGGGGGAAGGAAGTACCGGTGGACCAACGGCCAAAGTCGGTGCGACCCTTTCCCTGACCCTACCTCCCCGACATCCCCATCCATCCTCCTGTCAATTGGTTCGGTGACTCTCGAACCTAGCAGCCCTCCCTCGGTCGGGCTTGATGGCAACGCTACGGCACCGTCTATTAGTTATATGTGTCCAATTCCTCGTCATGTCTCATCTGGGGCCTATAACGTGTTCATCTCTGTCCGGCAGTTGATGTCCCGTCTGTTCCCGTTCAAACGCGGACTGTGCCACGCCTACTGGGCTCCCAACATCTGGGTTTTCTATAACCTGGTTGACAAGCTCGCAGTGTTCGGTGGTGAGTATCGGTGTGATAGGATAGACAGCATTGCTGAATGGTATCTGGCACGAAAACTTTGGACTTCACTCAATTAGGGTTGCTTATATGTTAGGCGGTTTTGATGTCTTGTAAAAGAATTGACGAATTTAAGCTAGGGACGCATTAAACATATTTTGAGTGTGTAGATCCTGACCCTTTTTCAAAGTCCTTTCATCCATGATTACCAACTTTATCTGTCCCACTGCAGCTTCATTTTCTATCGTAGACTGTCTCCCTGTCGGGTACTCAGTCACTGTCTCTATGTCTGACGACTGTGTGTCTCTGTCTGACAGCGCGGCGTCTCGGTGTGTCGGTGCCCGGCTCGGGGGCGGCCTCCATGACCGGCGGTCTGGTACAGGACGTGGAGCACGCCCTGCTCCCTGCCGTTCGTCCGGCGGCCACGTTCACGCTCAGCGCGGCCGCCATGCTGCCCGCCCTGGTCACCCTGTGGCGCCGGCCGGCCGACGCGGCCGCCTTCCTGCGCGCGCTGGTCCAGTGCGCGCTGTGCTCGTTCCTGCTGGGCTGGCACGTGCACGAGAAGGCCGTGCTGCTGGCGGTGGTGCCTCTGGCGGTGCTGGCGCTGCGCAGCGGGCCGGAGGCGCGGCTCTACCTGCTGCTCTCGGCGGCCGCTCACGTATCGCTCGGCCCGCTGCTGTTCGCCGGCCGAGAGGCGCCGGCGCGGCTCCTGCTGGCCGGTCTGCACGCCGGGTACGCGGCGCACGCGCTGCCGGCCGCCGCCGGCCCGCCCAGCCGCGCCTACACCGGCTACCTGGCCGGTCTGGCGGCCGTGGCCGTGTATGACGTCATTGGACACCGGGCGCTCGGCCTGGATGGCCGGTGGCCGTTCCTGCCGCTGCTGATGACGTCACTCTACTGTGCAGTGGGCGTGGTCTACTGCTGGCTGGCGCTCTACTGGCATATGCTGTTCCGGGTAGAGGGAGGACAGAAAATCAAGGTGCGCTAGTCGCACCGCCATGTGATACAAATTATGGGTTTATCGTGTGCCTTGGGTGTTATTTGGCCATGTCAATTGCCAGTACCTGTTTTGGGGATTCCCTTGTGTGTTTCACTAGGGGATGGGTCCACACAATACACAATCCTTTTCTATAAAAGATGTATTTGATCACTTCGGCAAAGTAAAGCTCAGTGTCCCTAAGATGGGCGACTCCAATTCCGTTCCAATCTTGGAGACCATTGTCATGTGAGAAAATACAGCGTCGTGTTGAAGGTTGGAACGGAATGAGAAAATATCACTGATATTGACTAACAAATGCCGCAAGCTGGCACTGTTTCACGCATTGGTGAATATGAGCGTCACTGAGTTGTTACCTTTGAACTAAAACGTTGTCACCATGATAAATGGTGTCGGAAAACAATGAACACCTACACCACGCCATTCAGTCACAATCACCCTCACCCTGTCACCCTCACTCACACGGTCTAGGCGTCCCCGTTGGGTGTTTCTGGCACTAGAGGCGCCTCGGACCCCTCCGGCGCCGCCCGGTTGTCCATGGGCTTCATCTCACGCAGCATGCTGTCCGGCGTGGCTGTGCGGTCGGCGTCGGAGCCGGAGTTTGCCGGCTCGGGACACCAGCGGCTGGTGATACAGTGGAGCACCACGTACAGGACGGACGCCGCCACGGAGATAAGGCCGAATATCTGACAAAGGAGACGACAGGGGTTGTAAGGTTTTGTTTGAAAAATATGGGACTGGGAGAGGCGGGATCAGCAGAAATTAGTTTACAGCCTTCATAAAGCCTGTCAATAAAGACCCAATTCCCTAGTCCCCAAGTCGGACTGCAATAACTGCCCATCGAAGATCAGGCATGGACCTGGTCTGGAGCCACGGAACAATGCTGAAAATCACGAAAAAAAGAGCGGGTGTTGTATCCTTTCCTCTTCTTTGTGATCACGAGTAGAGAGCCGACTTCTCTCCATACTTACCCGGAACATCATGGCGCCGCCGACTGAGCCGTACAGGATGCCGCCAAAACCGCTGCCGATCGCCACGCCGACACACTCGAAGGACGCTCCGACCAGGCCCTGCAGCGTGGCTGTCATGCCTGAGGGTAGAAAGGGTGTGTCAGTGAACAGCTCCGACCAGGCCCTGCAGGACCATCAAGACCACTGCCGGGAGGAGGTGCGGAGCGACAGAGTTATCGCGGCCCTGGCGGCCGCGTTCAGGACCCTGCAGAGCGGTCAGGCTACAGTCGACCGAGGTCGACCTGGAGGGAACAAACAAAAACAACAACCAGACCCTGCAGTATTTAGACGCCATGACTGACGGTAGCAGAGGTATGCTAGTAAGTAGCTCCGACCAATCCCTGCAGAATAAATGCCAAAGATCACTGGCCTTGGTGTGGTAACACTGCAAACACTCCGACTGGACTGTCTCCAACGTTCAGTGGCGACACGTCAAAAACCACAGATTACGCTAACCAAGCGAACAACCGGTAAATACAGTTTCCTCAACGGATCTGGCAGGGCCAAATAAAGTTCGACAACAATGAACATCCTGAAACAACGTGGACACGTCGACCCTCCCATGCCCCCCCCCCCGTCCTGGACAAAACCGACAGCGCGAAAGCTTGTCAGATTCCCCCCCCCCCCCCCGACAACATCCTTCCCCATCAGCAACCCTTCTCTCCCCGTCTGCGTCTTACCGGGCGGAGCGACGGCGCAGGCGTAGCCGACCATGTTGGCGTAGAAGAGGCCGAAGGTCAGTCCGTTCAGCAGCTCGATCGGCAGCACGACCCACGGGTTCTTCAGCAGCGAGTAGAGCAGGAAGCGGACGCCGAAGGCCAGCAGCACCACGGTCTGGGTGTACACGTGACCCAGCTTACGGATCACCCAGCCTGACGGCCGAGACGAGTGTGAGAGGGTGGGGCTGTAGGTCGGAGTCGGAGCATAGCTGTGTTGCTGTTGACCACCTGTGTCACTGTTACGGTAAATAACGAACTGACAACATGCTAATGAAACAGTGTTCCAACTGTGCAGTGTCCATTCAACAGTTAGCACGAAAAACATGCTTGATTCTTGAATATCATGCATTATTACTGTATAGTGTATAGTGTACAAAATATCGTAGTTTTCCATCCAATTAATAAATACGGCGGCCTGCGGTGTTTCCGATCTCTTACCGGAGATGAAGAAGAAAGGCACCTCTCCGAGGAAGCACTGCACGAGCAGCGTGAGGCCCGAGACCAGGCTGATCCATTCGAAGGCGGAGCAGTCCCAGGCCAGCGCTACGTCCTGCAGGTGGCTGTATAGTAGGGAGGGCGCTAGGTTAGCGAGTGGAAAAGGTATTACGCGAAAACGTATGATGAAACAACCAGCTGCCACAGCTGGTGAATGAATCGCTAAAAGGAAAATGAGGGTTGAACTGGAAGAGGTGTTACAAACAAATATTCATGATTACATTTTTTGACTACAGAAACTCCACTACTGGCGCGCTCTACATAAAGACAAATCACCGTCATTTTCCATATTATGACATCAGCTACTTCTAGCCTCCAAATATCACAGTACGGTAGCAGCACGTCTCACACTCCCCGACTAGTAACTCACAGGAAGAAGAACGTCCACAGGAGTCCGGTCATGGTTCCCACCACGCAGCAGCTGAGCACAAACAGAACCACGGCCGGACGAACCAGCAGCGCGCCCAGGCCGGCCAGGAACCGCGGCCGGGCCTCCTTCAGCGCGGAGACGTGCAGCTTGGTGCAGGCCATCATATTCAGCACCTATAGAGGGGGCAGGCCGGAGGGTTAACTCAGAGTTGACTGAGGCTGGGCAGATACATTCGCAGCAGCACGGATCTACGCACCGGCGCAGAGCGTAAAGGAGACAGTGAGGTGGAACATTGACCAGTGAGTGGTGTCACAGGTCCTGCCAGTCAGTGAGTGTTAATATAATGATATCAGCGTCTAAGTCTCAAAAATTCATACTGAATGCAAATCGCATCGACTGAAGTCCGCTGTCCAGTTAGTATCAGCTGTCCCACAAGCCACTACCCCCGCGTTCGATGTCTCTCGGACGACGAAGATTCTACGCCGTCCGGCCAATCCCGTTCAAGGTCAGCGGGAGCTTGGCTGCGGTTATGGAACGTGATTGGCCGGACGACGTAGAATCTTCGTCGTCTGAGAGACATCGAACACGGGATAGTCTCACCATCATGCCGATGAGAAGGTAGAAGGCCGGCGAGTAATCCTTGGTGTCGCTGTTCCGGCTGGCCACGTCCACCAGGTACCCGGCCAGGAAGCTGAAGATGCCCCAGCCGAAGGAGCCCCACACGCGCTGGTAGCCGTACTTGGACGGGTCATCTGCGCACAGAGGGGAGGGAGGGGGGGGGGGGGTCGCCAGGGAGGGTCAGATGTCGGGTTCGACGTTATTGTAGCCTTGCAGGCTTGATGAGCTTGACTTATGAATGTGAAGATACCAGCCAGTAGCCACCACGAGATGAGGAGCTCCATCAGTTTAATGGATACCGGTGACTGGTGATCCATTATTCATCACGTTGTGACAGCTGTGTTATGATAAACCGTGTTCACATGTCACCTATACTCGTAACATGGAACAAGATGGACAGACGAGGACAATAACAAACGACATTCGAGTGTCCCTTTGTCATCACTGCTTGTTTAGCATATGTTATGACAGTTCCCGTCCCATGTCTCATGTCAAGACAGACATGCCTTATTACGTGTTTACAACTGCACGTCATGTCGGAACAGCTCACTACGTTTGTCATTCCAGGGTGGGCAAGAGAGGAAGATGGGTTCACGCTGTCAGCCCCTGTTGGGAGGGAGGAAAGAGCGTAACTCACCGAGCAGTTTGAAGGCGATGGTGTCGGCCAACGGTATTGTGATTGAGGTGCCGTCCCAGGCGAGTATCAGGAACACCAAGAACACCCAGAACTGGCTCGTCTGGTAGTAGGCGCTGGCGTCCACCGGCCGGCCGTTCAGCAGCTTCATCAGCGGCCGATCGGCGCAGCTCAGACTGCAATTGGTCGTCTCGGGGTCCACACAGGCCGGGTAGTGCGTCACCGTGCCGTTCACCGATACGTCCTTCAGCGGCAGGTACAGACAGAGACCCTCCACGTCCAGGGCGAACAGGTTGAGCTGCAGCGGCAGCTGGCCGCCGGCCGGCCGGCACCAGTCGCTCTGCGTGCCGCAGTCGGGCCAGCGGTCACAGCGCAGCGCGCACTGAACCGTGTCGTTCCGGGCTCCGGCGGCGGCCGTCAGGCGGGCGGCGTGGCAGTGCGCCTCGCGGTCGGCACACTGCTTCACAAACGCCGCCGGGCCGCACTTGAGCTGCACGGCGGCGGCCAGCGGCGCCGGTGGCGCGGCCGGCAGGAAATTCAGCGTGATGTAGCCGACCGTGGTGACCACCAGCAGGCAGAAGAACACCAGCTTGTGTCGGTGGGTGGCGTCGGCGATAGCGCCCACCACTGGTCGCATCAGGGCCGCCACGACGGGTAGGACGACATAGACGGCGCCCACACCGACCTCCGAGATACCCAGCTGGCGGGCGTACACCGGCAGGAACGGCAGGATCGGCGCCACACCTGCCGCCGGCGAGAGCACAGACGTAGTGTAAACACAGACACACAAAAACACCAACAAACACAGGTGTGTAGGGGTCACGGCTGACTCATATTCAAGGTTACCAGCGAGGGCATACAAGGCAAGATACGCAACAGTTTACAGTGATGACACTGCAATTGCAGCCAATGCGCGAGATATAACCAGTCAGAGGAAAATTAAAGCAGATAACGCTTCACTAAATCATTCCCTTTACATTACAACCTATTTTATTTCTTGAGGTAACTACAACAAATTAACTAATGATCGATAAGTAGGTAAAAGGACTTACCACCAAAGAAGAAAAAGTAAAATGCCTTTATTGGCAAAAGCTTAGCATTGACTTTCAACTTCATGGTGAAATATCGTTAGGTTCCCTGGAAAAAGAAATACAGATTTATCAACAGCGGACGGCAATGGACTCCGTTGAGAAAGCTCAGACGTTTAATGCCACAAAATACCGTCCTGACCAATAAACTGATCAGCTCACCGCAAATGCCAAAGGCTCACTGTGGGTTGACACGTCCGCAGTCACGAGACAAACACGGTAGCGCGGTGACCTTTCGCCTTACAGCGGCGCGGTCTCCTCAGTGGCCTCCACAGAGCCACGCTCAGACAACCACCCGTACTTTGGACTCATAAAACCCACACAGAACGTAGGCTGTGGCGACAGCCTGGCAGAGTGCAGCTAACGGTCTATGTTAGCTGTAACCCGCGCTCTGCGTCACTGACATGTGTCTGGAAAGGCCTATTACGTACGGTAGGAGCGTCATGAGCCAGGGCACTGCGGCGGTATAAACGCCAGCGATATCAATAATCATCCTACGGACCTGAGATCTCAGGACTCATGACACTCTTATTGCACTGCAGTAATATCGATACCTATATAATCCTACGGACGTGGGGCCTCAAAATTGGTCAGGCTTACCCCAAAGGGCCGATGCAATTTTTTTTTCTCCTTCCGAATGTTTCGTGACACGTCTCAGAAGACGTCATTGATCAAAACAGGCAGAGACATTCAATGTGGCAATGCGAATCTTCGAAAGCTTTCAAACATAGGCCCTACTAGTTCTGGTAAGTTTGAACAAATACCATGAATTATCATTTCACAGTAAACCCATATCGCTGATTGCTGTTTCGTAGACCGAGTTTGGGGATATCAGGCAGTCAACTGGCACACACGCGACAACGAGGACCAGATGGACCAGATACCAATTACATCTCCTCACAGAGGTTAACCACCACTTGGCCACACAGCCAGCTCCAATGAGCCTCCAGTTGAATAACATCTCACCTTTCACGCTGCGGTGGTACGAGCCCGGTCCCGTCTCCTGCACAACTGCGGGCCCGCCGCCAGGCCTCGGGTCCCACTCGACCTCGTCCCTCTCCCTCCTCACTCCGCCTGCTGACAGGACCGCCGCTCACACGCTGAGTCAGCATGAAGGATGGGGGGGGGGGGCAGTGTGGCTAAATTCATTTTACGTTAGGGGAGGATGTAGAAAAAAGGCCTGAAAGGATGTCCTTATTTTGATAAAACTTGACTTCGACCCTTTTTATGTCACGAGAAAATGATGTAGAAGTATTAAATACTGATAAAACTTTGAAGGCATCCTGATATTCGGGATGTTAAATGAGGTTTAAGTTGGGTCATATATTTGAGCATTTGGGGTATTTGAATGGTTGTCTTGGCGTGTTGTAAGAGTTTGCGAGGTTTGTGTTTCTCTTGCTCCTAGATGTTTGGGTTCGAGGTTGTTATGATGAGTCGTGACTGCTGTGTGGATGTTTTTATTTGTATTTTTAGGATGTCATTATACTTTTCATTATGGGCGGATTTCCCCGCATCATTACAATTTTGGACACACTGTGGGGGGGGGGGGGTCGACAGTCGTACATCCCTCACGCCAGTTGCGAGCACAGAGCACTGCAGAGCCTGGTAGGGGGCGGGATTGCATTGCCATTGCAGGGTGACGACCGAGCACATATGACCAGCGACTCAACGAACAGACCAGAAGCCCCACGAACTCGAAACGGACGGAAAGCGGATAGATATTGCACGTCAATGTGTGGCAATGGCACCGGATAGGCTACCGCAGAGTGGGTTGCAATGGATATCTAGCTCAAACAAAGAGGCACAAGCTCACTTCGTGTATCGGACAGCTGAATGCAATCTCAATTTCAGCACCGGATCCACTATTGACTGAATGGGGTGTTAATCGTCAAACACCCCCTTCTCATCTCCCCCCCCCCCAGTTGACTGTTCTCGATTGTTCAGAGAACCAGCAATGCGCGGATCGCCTTGCCATTTCCTGTAGCTTGTTCTACATCAATTTTACATACACAATTCGTAAATTTTGTTTCGTTTCGTCGATTGTTGGTAATGGTCGATTTTCAGTGGTCTTCAGTGGCCCTGCATTGTCTGACGTGTCCGTGTTGATGGCTATAGTGCGACTGCGCTGCTGGTTACTGGTAGCCCCGAGAGCTTTATAGGCCAGTCTCTTGTCCATGAACATGCATGTGCGTGATTGGCTAAACACTGTATCGTTGGCCGCCACTGTTCTTTCAGTTCAAACACTCCGCTACGCTACTGCCTGGTCGACCTTACCCTCTATGGTTAGGCGTGTACCTACCTACTCAGCTGTAAAACTGTCGGTCCTGCCAACCCTGTGATGTGACCTCATCTTGGGACAAGATTTCATGCGACAGCACAGGCAGTGTAACGGTTCAGTTTATGGGGCATAAACCGCCACTAAAGTGTCTATGGACTAGCGACCCTCTCTGTTCCCCCACCTTCGTTGTTCGCCAGCCTTTCTCCTGACTGCAAACCGGTTGCAGTCAAAACTCAAACCCCCCTCGACTTCGAAGTTCGAGAGGTAGAAAACCTCCCGGCCGATGCCTTCTCCAGAGCGTACTGTGCGACGTTTAGCTCCGATACCCTAGTGGAGCCCACAACTCTCTCTGCCACCCCGCCGTTACCTAAATGGTACACTTCATCCGTTCTCGCTACCTGCCATTTTCATTTGATAACGCCCGAAGCAAGTTCTTCATGCCAAACTTGCGCTGAGTGAGAACAAAGGTTTTACAGACCGCCTCAAGCTCACTCAATCAAGACTGCCCAGCCCGTTGAGCGTCTCAACATAGACTTCAGGGGCCTTCTTCCGACGTCGTGTCATAATCAATCGCTATCTGTTCTTTGTCGCTGACGAGTTTTCACGCTTCCCCATTGCGTTCCCATGCGCAGATATGACGACCGCCACGGTCACCTCGTGCCTTTATCAGATGTTCGCGATCTTCGGCATGCCGGCTCTACATTCATTCAAACAGGGGAGCGGCCCTCGTATTGGCTGAGCTGCGTCGGTTCCTCAGCAGTAGCGGTGTCGCTTGCAGCTGTACTACACCGTATTATCCCCGCGGTAACGGCCCATGGGTGAAACTTTGACATCACCATTGGGGTCCCAAACGTCCAAGGGGGCCTCCATTTAGTGGGGGCCTCCAAGCAATTAGGGGCCTCCAATTGCGGAAGCGGTAATTTACGAACTACGCCAGGGCCTCCTCTAAGAAATTTTCACTGGGGGACCAGAGGCTCAGAAGCCAAATTTAGGGTACCCGCAAATCCAGTTTTCTCATCGGATTTAGGTCACTTATTTTTCGTCACAGCTCGGATGCCATGATCTTTTTTTTTAATATTAACCCTCGCCGGCACAGGGGGGGGGGGGTTAATGCAACCCCCCCTTAAGGTTTTTCGCGAATAACTCGCGTAAAAAGCGGCCGATCGCAACAAAACTTTCAGTACCCTCGCATTGATCAATTTTACACCTACCCTGAAAATTTCATGACCCTGACCCCAATGACCTTTAACCTGTGACCTCTTTTCCGAGACTATGTTTGGCCGGAATCGCGATTCGGCGTATGTCGGCTAACATTAGCCGCGCGTTTGCAAGCTTTTTGTGGTTTCAAACGTTCAAACATGTGATTTGATGGCGCTCCCATACATTAGGGTGGGTGTCAAGTTCACCTGAAGGTCAGGTCAGGTCATTGACCTTTGGTGACCTCGGGTGACCTCGGCTCACTTTTTCGAGTTTTACATGTTTCTAGGCTAGTTTTTGGAGCGGAATTCGAATTTAGCAACAATTTGAACATTTACGAAGTAGTTTTTGTGCCTTCGTAACATGTTACGAAGCTGTCAGAGGCGGTTGACACGTATTACGAATACCCGTCGCAACCCCTACCGGTTGACCTGACCTGACCTGACCCGACCTGGTCTAAATGCTTAAAGACATCATCTCTGATCAAAACTAACACGATATTCGTGATCAGCACCCCGGAAAACCACATAGCAGCCACAATTTACGACTTTCTAACAGGTCCCGATTTTCCCGGTTTTCGGGTCATTGACCTGACCTGGAAGGTCACCCGATGACTTAGGACCTTAAAATTGGGTATCATCGGCTTCGTCTCGTGACGGGCAACACGCTCGTTTTTTCCGCGAAGCTCTAGCTCGATCAGGGGCCAAACGCGAGGGGGGGTCGTACCAACCCCCCCCCCCCTTGTGCCGTCGAAGGACGCAAAATGGCCTGTGCCGGCGAGGGTTTTGATAAAGAAAGGGTAGGTCACCTGACCCTACTGGTGGATCCAGGCCAGCAGGGTGACATTGTATGTAAATATCCCCCGCGGCGTCCGAAATCGACGAAAATTTCTGGCTTTTTCAATTTCGACAATAAAACAAAATGCCTTTATTATAGAAAAAAAAAAATAATTTAACGGCACAGCATTGCACAACGAATCTAGTCGACCCCAGAAAATGTGAGGGTTAACCCTCGCCCGCACCTGGGGGGATGGTTGCCACCCCCAATTTAGTTTTTCTGCTCTACACTGAACATTTTTAAAGGTAGAAACCTGATTTTTTTGTATAACTGCTTTTCTATCTTTTCTCAGCGTCTATTGAAAATTTCAAGTTTCTGTGGCTTTTGGGTTTGGAGATATGACCTTGTTCTTCAGGTCATGTCATGCCCTAAATAACGAATAACCAATATCTTGCGTTGGCTATGGGCCTTGTGAGCTTTTGACACCCTGATTTCGGCTTTTTTTTCGCCAGTCTTACCTCCCACCTATCATTGAACATGTTGTTTTGCGATGTAAAGATGTCAGGGTCAGGGTCAAGGTCAACCTAGGTCATCTAAAACTATTGCGTTTTAGACAAGCTGAATTTACTTTTCGTGAAGTTTCTTTGACTGCATGTTTAGTAAAAGCTTCTCAGTTCATATCATGTAATAGGGAAACACAAACCAATCTGTGCACACATCAGTACATACACAGACATGCACAGACATACAAACACATATCATTGACCTTGACCTAACTTGACATGAAATGACCACAGCCAGCAAATTAGTCGGATAGTGTGACAAAGAGCTGTTCTAGCTGGCTTGGCACCAATACGGCAGCGTCATCGGTATATGATGGGTTGGTCCGCTGCTTGTGTAGGTATTTTATTCTACATCACCACAATTTTTTCTTACAAGATTTTAAGCTTCCCGGTCAAGAGCAACAGATTCTTTGGGAAGAGACGAATCCAATGATACCAAATTTTATCTCATCAGGTCAGTCATTGACCTTCCAGGTCAGGTCAAACTAAAGAATGTTGCTGTTTGGGCTCACCGTTGCCCGTTGGAATATCACGTGTGCTGCTCACCATATACCGATGACGCTGCCGTATTGTGGTGCCAAGCCAGCTAGAACCTCTTTGTCACACTATCCGACTAGGTTTTTGCTGGCTGTGGTCATTTCAGGTCAAGTTAGGTCAAGGTCAATGATATGTGTTTGTATGTCTGTGCGTGTCTGTGTGTATACTGATGTTTGCACCGATTGTGAATGTGTCCATATTACATGAGATCATGAACTGAGAAGCTTTTACCAAAAATACAGTCAATGAAACTTCACGAAAGTAAATTCAACTTGCCTAAAACGCAATATTTTAGACGATCTAGGTTGACCTTGACCCTGACCCTGGCATCTCTACATCATCGAACAACATGTTCCATGATAGGTGGGAGGTAAGACTGGCAAAAAGGCCGAAATCAAAGTGTCAAAAGCTCACAAGACCCATAGCCAACGCAAGATAGGTATTGGGTATTTGTCATTTGGGCTATGACATCACCTGAAGAATAAGGTCATATCAGTATCTCCGAAACCAAAAAACCACAGAAACTTGAAATTTTCAGTGGACGCTAAGAAAGGATAGAGAAGCAGCTATACGAAACATCCGGCTTCTAGCAATCAAAATGTTGAGCGCAGAGCAGAAAAAACTACCTTGGGGGGGGGAGTGACAACCACTGCCCCCCCCCCCCATGTGCGGGCGAGGATTAAATAATTTGAATATCAGGACAATAATTTATTCAAACAGGTACTCCAACAGAGTCCCGCTTTATATAGGTGACCTCAGATTTGTGTAGCATCTAAGTTGCCCAGGGAGCCTTTTATTTGTAGGTACAGTACAGAGAGCCTCCTACTTCGACTACTTGCACAGAGAGCCTCCTTTTTGTACATACAGGGCGTTGCAGGTAAATCCGACACTTGGAAAAAACGTGTTTATTCGAGTGCTATGCTCACGATGAAAAGTTTGGGCAGTATGTTACATCTCTATGATCAATTGCCTTCCCCAAAACACAAACACAGGATCGCCAACGGACGCCCCTACGTCTTCCAGCAAGACTCCGCCCCGGCGCACAAGGAAAGGACGACGCTGGCGTGGCTGCTCAACAACGTCCCTCACCACTGGTCGCCGGACTTGTGGCCGCCCTCCTCACCTGACTGCAACCCCCTCGATTATTTCTTCTGGGGCGTGATCGAGGCCAAGACCAACAAGCACGCACACAATACCGTCGACTCTCTCAAGGCCGCCATCATGGCAGAGTTCGCCGCCGTAGACAAGGACACGGTCGCCAAGGCGTGCGAATCATTTCGCCCTCGGCTTGAGATGGTCGTCGCCGCCGACGGCGGTTACATCGAGTAGAAGTGCAGCATATGACTCGAACTGGTGCTGAATAAAATGCCAGGCCTGTGTGTGCAATATTCATGCTTTCATTGCCGGTTTCGTATTTTGCCTCTCAAGTGTCGGATTTATCTGCAACACCCTGTACAGCTGAGCTTCTACAGGTCGAGCGCCGTTCTCCTATTTGTACGTACAGAGAACCTCCTACTGTTACAGAGGGCCTCCTATTTGTCTAGGGGGCCTCCTATTTATCCAGAGGTCTTTTATTCGACCAGGGGTCTCATATTTGTGCAGGGGTCTCCTACTTGTCCAGGGGCCTCCTTTTTTGAAGGGCCTCCTTTTTGTTTAGCGAGCCTTCTATTTGTCCAGGGGGCCTCCTATTCGTCTAGGGGGCCTCCTATTTGTCCAGGAGGTCTCCTGTTTCTCCAGAAGGTCCCCATTTATCCAGGGGCTTCTATTTTCCAGGGGCTTGCTCTTTATCCAGGGGGCCTCCTACGTGTTCAGGGGCCTCCTATTTGTCCAGGGGCCTCCTATTTATCCAAGGGTCTTTTATTCGAACAGGGGTCTCATATTTGTGCAGGGGTCTCCTACTTGTCCAGGGGCCTCCTTTTTTGAAGGGCCTCCTTTTTGTTTAGGGAGCCTTCTATTTGTCCAGGGGGCCTCTTATTCGTACAGAGGGCCTCTAGCTCCTACTTGTCCATGGGACCTCCTTTTTGTTCAAGAGGTCCCCTATTTGTACAGGGGGCCTCCTATTTGTCCAGGGGGCCTCCTATTTGTTCAAGGGGCCTGCTATTTTTCTAGGGGGCCTCCTGTTTGTCCAAGAGGTCTCTTATTTGTCCAACGGGCCTCCTACTTGTTCAGGGGGCCTCCTATTTGTCCAGGGGGCCTCCTTTTGGTTAAAGAAGCCTCCTATTCTCCAAGCGGCCTCCTATTATCCAGAGGGCTCCTATTTTTGGGGGGCCTCCTCTTTATCCAGGGGGCCTCCTATTTATCCAGGGGCCTTCTATTCGTCCAGGGGGCCTCCTATTTGTCCAGGGGGCCTCCTAATTGTCCAGGGGGCCTCCTTTTGTGAAAGGGGCCTTCTATTTGTCCAGGGCTCCTTTTGTGAAAGGGGCCTCCTGTTTGTCTAGGTCTAGGGTCTCCTATTTGTCCAGGGGGCCTCCTATTTTTGCAGGGGGCCTCCTATTTGTACAGAGGGCCTCTGACTTGTCCATGGGGCCTCCTATTTGTTCAGAGAGCTTCTTATTTGTACAGAGGGCCTCCTATTTGTCTAGGGGCCTCTTATTTGTCCAGGAGGCCTCCTGCTTGTCCAGAGAGCCTCCTATTTCTCCAGGGGGCCTCCTGTTTTCCGGGGGGCCTCCTACTTGTTCAGGGGGCCTCCTACTTGTTCAGGGGGCCTCCTATTTGTCCAGGGGGCCTCCCATATGTCCAACAGGGCCTCCCTCCTATTTATCTAAGGGGCCTCCTATTTATACAGAGAACCTTCTATATGAACATCGGACCTCCATTTGTAGTGGCTGGTGCGTCTCGGGGGCCTCCACTATTGGGGTCCCAAAATGACAATTGGGGTCCCAAATGTTCGCATTGGGGTCCCACATGGGACCTCGAAAGTATACAAAGTTACACCCATGTAACGGCCAGTGTGCGACATAACGGCGTCATATGGAAGGCCGTTACCCTCGCTTTACGATCCCATGGTCTCCGGTACAGCAGTGGGAGATGGTCCTGCAAGGCGCCTAGCCCTCTATTCAATCACTGCTAAGCACGTCTTCTAACGTCATCCCTCGCGAGCGCTTGCTTGTGTACAGTCATCACTCTATGTCCATCACTCTAGGGTGCTTTGTCCCCTCTTGGCTGATGTCGACAGGACCTGTGCTGCTGAAATGACATGTCCGTCTCTCAGAGTATGGTCCTTTGGTAGAAGGGTTGGAGTTGCTCGAAACACTCAGTTTGTTCATGTTCGTTTCTGGGATGGAAATGGAAGAGTCCACTAGTTCTGTGCATGATCTGGACCCTTGTGGCCTGTGGTGATGCTCCACTGTCTGATCGAAATGCTGATAAAGGCAGAGCTGTCAGCTGATGCTGCAGACCTTAGCGCCTCTAGCCTCCTGAGATATTCCTGAAGTGCCACTGACACTTGACAGTGAATCAGGAGCCAAAGGAGAGTCTTTCACTCAAGGGTCTTATGATTGGGCATCCTGTCCCTGACCTGACTCTGAGCCATCACAGATTCAGTTGTGTTCTGCAGCAGATGAACCCCATGACCCATCCCACTGGGAAGAGTAAAATGTTACCTAACACTGATCACTATCGTATGTTGCGCTAATCTTGTACTAATTGTATAGGTATTGTGTGTGGATCTGTGTCTTTTTTGGCCCACCTGTCTATTCTGTAAAGGAGAGAATGTGGTGATTGTTGAATGGGTATGCATGAGTTTCACATGCTGCTTGATAAGGTTAATGCCTAAAACACCTGCTTTTTGTTGCAGGTAGGGTGTGCCTTATTTGCTGAATAAAGCCAAAGCTATGAAATTTGCATGTGCTTGATATGAATTGCAGCTTGAGCTAGAAAGCTTGGCTCACCACACCTTCCCCACCCCCAGTACAAGTGATGCCAGCTTTGCCCTGTGAGGGTAGGGGGACGGGGAGCAGGTAAATTGGTGGATGGTGAAAACAGGGTATCCAGGGCATTGTAATCAAGGTTCTTGAAATTCACTTACGCAGACCATGTGACCAAGATTTTGACTCGAGAGAGAGAGAGAGAGAGAGAGAGAGAGAGAGAGAGAGAGAGAGAGAGAGAGAGAGAGAGAGAGAGAGAGAGAGAGAGAGAGAGAGAGAGAGAACTTCTTGGTGATCAAATGACTAGACTTGGCAGTATGCCACTTCGGGCGGAAACACGGAGGTCCCCAAGCGTTTTCGTTTTAATTATATGAATCCAATTAGTATCACAACATGCTATAATCCAACTATCTAACATTCCCTGCCAGTAAAATGCAACAGCTTACCATTTAAAGCTGGCAAAATTGACCCCAAAACACCACATACCTCACCCCTCGCAACCGACGCTGACGCCATGCTGGTTACGGCGGATGAACACAATTTATAAACAATCAAGGCTGCAAAAATATCAGATGCGTTTCGCGTGCACAATTTTTTATCGCAGCCAGAAATGACAAACAATACCAAGGTTCTCAAATTGTTATGTCTAAAGCGCGGACAACTTTAAATTTGAGAAAAGCGATTATTACTCGATGAAATTCAAAGAGGTGTCCTAACCTAACCTAACCTAACCTAACCTAACCTACTGATTTTTGCCTACCGAGCTTAAAGAAACCTAACCTAACCTACTGAGTTTGCCTACCAGGCATAAAGAAACCTAACCTAACCTAACCTAACCTAACCTACTGATTCTTGCCTACCGGGAATCCTAACCTAACCTAACCTAACCTAACCTAACCTACTGATTTTTGCCTACCAGGCATTAAGAAACCTAACCTAACCTAACCTAACCTAACCTACTGATTCTTGCCTACCGGGAATCCTAACCTAACCTAACCTAACCTAACCTAACCTACTGATTTTTGCCTACCGGATAAGGAAATAGTTACTTGCAGGAATAGATTGCAGGCAATAGTAAATCAAATATTTCCAGGTTAAGTGGTCATGCATCAGGCTTCAGGCCTTCGGCCTGAAGCCAGATACATAACCACTTAACCTAAAAATATTTGATTTACTATTGCCTGTAATCTCTCCTAAGGCATTGCCTTCGGCACTGCACTGCTTCGCCACGAGTTGGCCACAGACGAAAACATATACAGTACAGGCGAAGAAATGTTGGACGAAGAATGAAAATATGTAGAGACAAAAAAATGCACGGACCAAAAAACGAAAATAAAGAAAATGCACGAACGAAAATATTTACGAACGAGACATTTCTGAAGACTTTTCAGAAAAGTCGCTATCATTCGTCGACAGATCTGGCGCATCTCGTAAGGCGCTTTACCGAAAAAGAAAATTACCGAATTCTCTTCTATTAAAAATTAAAAATACAGAACCGTAATTCCAAAATTATTTGTGTATATCTATCACTTTTTCATAAAAAATAGTACTCCCCCCCCACCCAAAACCCCGGTTTCCCACAGTTCCCCTAGTGTGTTGGGTTTTATGAAGATACTACATTTCTGCGTAATGGTATTTAACAACAATTGACATGTTGACAACAGACCGTCGTGCGGCTCCACCGAGATCGTGGTAAGAATACGATTAGTTAGCTTTTGGTCTTAAAATTATCGATCAGATAACTGGAAACCACATTATTCTTACTAAACATGAGTTTCTCTATAGAATGATGTCTATATTATAGGGATTAACCAATTTTGAAGCGGGGACCTCCATGTGTACCGCCGCCACTTCTCATACCTGATACCCTCCAACCGTTTTCACCATCAACCGACAAAACAAGCATGTTCACTTGGGGCCCAGTTAGCATGTTGTTGTTGGATTAGTCACTGGTCTTATGTTCCCCACAAAAGTGATTACCAAAATAAAAGAAAATGACTGCATGTGCATGCAATCACATGTTACCTAATACCTACCCTTACCCTTAGCCAAAAAATAAATATCAATCACAATTCACACGAGCCGGTTTATATATATAGCCTTGCACGAGCCCCAAGAAACTGTCAGGAGATCGCTGTGGCTGCTGCAACACCCTATTAGCAATCGCACTGCGTTTTCTATTTTACTTTGTTGAATTGGGGTATTTTGGCCAAAGGTATATAAATATATGACCATTTCATTCCCAAATGCTTGTACTCACGGCCCTCACGGCTCACCGATGCCTATAAAAACCAGATAAAAACATCTAAAAATGTTATCACCGTTATCACGTCCCGTTCAGCACAGTGTGGTTATATAACTACAAAACAAACCAATTTCCATAGTAGTCGATGAATGACGTCATCAAATTTATAATCTTCAAATCAGCGCATTGCATTTCTTGCTTTGAAGTTTTAATGACATCATACCCATTCAAAGAAATATGACGTCAATTCTAGTGTGTAGATGGCTGAATACAGTTTTTTTGTAGCTCTTGCATCATTTATGTAAAAGTTCACAAGACATGCAGTAGCTAAATGTTAGTTATATGACTGAGTTTTTAGCATTGGCCTGATTTGTCTGAACCGAAACTGACATAACGTGTAGTCTGGACTCCCAGCCGGTAAATATTGTCCCAGCCCTTCTATTACCACACCGTTCCGTGCTTCTATCCTCAGGATACTGAAATCCTCCTCCACGCCGCAACCCTCCTCCGGGCTGGACAGGCAACTTTATCTCATGCGGGCTGCTCCCTTGGAGCGGCACCGCTGCTCCCGAGGGAGCGCACCCCGTAGCCGGGTGCAGTGAGTGCCTTGGGGCTGGGTGGCCTGTCCTCTGGACGAGCTCAGCCCCGGCGACTCACTAGGGTGCCTGCCCAGACCAATGTCTCCCCCTATATCCTATTATCCTCCCGGCTCTGAAATGGTCTCATTGGACCGAAAGGGCCTAGCCTAACCCAACAAAACAAAAACTATTACCACGTCTTTATCCCATGCGGGCTGCTCCCGAGGGAGCGCAACCCGTATCCGAGTGCAGTGAGTGCCTTGGGGCTGGGTGGCCGGTCCTCTGGACGGGCTCAACCCCGGTGCCTCACTGGGGTGCCTGCGCAGACCAATGTCTCCCTCTATATTCTATCATCCTCCCGGCTCTGAAATGGTCTCATCGGACCGAAAGGGCCTAACCCAACAAAACAAACAAACAAACTATTACCGCGTCGCAGTCCTCCCAGTGATGAGTCCGAGTTCGAGTCTGAGTCCGGTGCTCGACATGTTAGATTCCTGACGGCCACGGGGGTGGTTTGCGATAGGTGGGAGCAGCCACAATTTGTACCTATACCTTGACCTATACCATCGGTCAGGGCATTTTTCGAGAGTGAGACGGACCGTAAACGGTTTTCATGACATGGTATCCCAATATCCGCCATGGCCCGATCGTACCGTAGGTAGTGGTCGGGAGTCCGGGACCACGAGGCACGAGCCTGCGCAGCATACTATCAGCGAAGGCTCGCCGCCAATCTTGCCGTTCAAACATGAAGCTTCGAAGTTCGAACCAAATGAAACAAAGAAAAACACTGCAGAGTGCTCAGCCCCTGACCAAGATTACATTACCTTTCCGGTCCCCTGACCGGTCTCAGAGCTTTTTTTACCATTAGGTACCAGCGGGCGAGATGAGACATGAGATTTACGAATATAATGCAAAAAGTGATTCGATAGAAAATATGTATATTTACAAGTTTGTAATGAAATTCGCTTAAAAACACCGACATTGACATTTGATAATTATATAAGGTTTAAATGCGCTGTTGAAAAGACAACATGCAACCTTTATAACATTGGCGTACCATAAGCCAAAATGTACGATGTCGGTACATAGCATTCACATATCGGGAAATGAAACGAAGCAGAAGTTCAAAGACGTGTCGCCTCGGGCCATGGGGTTTTACACATCCAAGCGATCCGCACAACACTCAGTCTCTCATGGTCACCCATCCATGCTTACATCCGCACCGAACACGTACACTAACAACAGTGTTAGGATTGTTACAGCGTGTTGCCAGTACAGTTCGCGACGTGAAGTGCCGCGGCCTGCTCGCACTGCAGCGACCACGTCAATGAGTGCAGACCCCGCGTCCCCAGCGGGACCCAGAGGTGCAGAGACGGTCACAGCGACCGGACACCCAGACACCCTTTGGCCTCACGTCAACCGAACACCGAACGTCGCGCGTGCGCCACCAGCCACACCCGCGTCACAGCTGCCGCGCACGGTGCGCCGCGCGCCGGCGCACATGACTAGAACGGCTAGACGCGCGCGCGTGAGGAGAGTATCGCATATGGACCTGACGCGGGCCGTCCCCGTCTCCGCCGAGATATCACATTAAAGCTATGTGTCGGTCACCACCGGCTCTCCTCAGCCGGCCCGGCCAAATCGCACGTTGAAGAGGTCGGCCGCCAGCTCTGGGTACTGGTCGGGCTCGTGTCGGAAGCTGTACTCCATCCCGGCTACGCCCTCTCGGGCGATGATTTTCTCCCGTTCACCCGCCGACCAGGGCCGCGAGGAGAGCCGGTGCAGCAGCAGCTGACGCTCGTGTGACCAGGCGGCGCGTTTGGCCACTCGCCGGGCGTGGTGCACTAGGTGCCGCTGCTCACCGGCCGCCGTGGTACCGTAGTGCACGTTCAGCACGCTGTGCGGCGTCTCAATGCGGAGGCCGACCACGTGACTGGGCCGGCGGCCGAGCTCTCCGCTGATACTGCTCGGCTTGTGTTCGGTGACGTTAAACTGCGCCAGTCGGGTTAGCTGCGCGGCGTCCTCGCTAAAACTCCACAGCGCCGGCTTGACGAAGTGGAACACGTCCCTCCCGTGGTGGTGGCCGGTGATGTTGAGAAGCTGGGCGCCGGCGAACACCGTGCTGAGCACATCTGCCGCGATCGGGTCCACGCTGGGCAGGCCGCGGACGGTCACATGCCCGCCGCTGACGGCCAGGATGACGCCGGCGCCGAGCGGGCCCGGCTGGCTGCTGACGCGGCGCGGCCACTGCTCCGGCTCCGGCTGACGGCGCAGCGTCATCTCCGGCACCCGGGAGATGAGTCCCAGTCGACGGGGCGTCAGCAGCAGCCGCCGCAGCCGGCCCAGCTGGCCGGAGACAGGCCGCAGGGAGGTCAGGCAGGGACCGTCGCCGGCCTCGGAGGGCGCCGGACCGAACACGGACGGGTCCAGGGTCAGCTGCGGAGCCAGCCGGTCCACCCGGTACCCGAGCCGCGCCAGCCACCCGGCCTCGTCTGCCGGCACGAGCAGGGGAGTGTCAGTGAGAGTACATTCAGATACGAGGACAAGCAAACATGTCAAAACCATGCTCGGAAGCACATCATGTGTTAGACTTTCTACAGTAAAACTCGGGTTTAGAAGAAAAAGTTAACTCAGACCTCGATTATTACGCTGCAAGCCTCTCCCGATAAAGTTTTGAGTCCTCTCACCTGACGGCACCAGGTCCTGTCGTAGCACGTTGATGGGGTCGTTGCCGTTAAACCGATACAGATGCAGGCGTCGCGGGTTCATCAGATTCCGAACAAAGCCGTCCACGTCCGGGGTGAGCCACTGTCCGAGGAACGGGTCGTACACCCGTCCTCCGGGCATGTGGAGCAGCTCAGTGGCCGAGTCCCAGAGGCCGCCGCAGAAGTCCACCGGCAGGTAGAGTCCGGGCCACGAGTCGCTGACCGGATGGCCGAACGCCGTGCGCGACACCTCGCGTACCAGCCGGCCGCGCCGGTCGTACAGTAGCTGCGGGCTGCCGCACGCGTCGGCCACCACCGTGTACTGGCGGTCGGCGGCGCGTACCAGCACGGGCCGCGCCAGCTCGTCATACAGCACCTCGGTCAGCTGGTCGGAGCGCGGCCGGTAGATATGCGTGGCGCGCTGCTCGTGCCGCGGGTCGCCGTAGAAGAATTGGGTGATGTTTCCGAGCGTGTCCTTGCGCGCTACCAGCCGCAGCTGCTCGTCATAGTAGTAGCGCACCTCGAGACCCGACTGTTTGGCCACGGCGCTGAGCAGGCCGCGCGCGTCGTACCGGTAGCTGTCGTCGCGGAAGTTTTGTACCACGCCGCCGGCGCTGTCGTGTCGCAGACCGCGGCCGCCCAGACGGACCAGACGGTCGTGCTGGTCCACCTGACGAGGGGAGAGGGAAGGGTCAGGCATCAGGTAAGGTGAGGAGTACGACACAAGCAAACAAAAAGCGATCAGTGTCCAGATGGGATCTATGTCCAAATTATGGTACGACCTGCAAAATACTCAAAAGGCATGAAGAAACTGTAAGAATAAGCGAAAATTTGGCAGTGCTCATGCGACTTGATGTTTTTATTTGATGATCGTTTTGTACGGCACATCAATGAACAAGAAAATCATCACGTCAGAAACCAAGTCCCCCTTTCCCCATATCAAACTCTGACCTCCAGCGAGATGTTGCTGTGCTTCACTCTCAGCTCCACCAGGTTGCCGTTGCGGTCGTACTCAAAGCTCCACGAGTCCTCGGCGTTATCAGCTGTCAGCTCGCCGTCCGGGCCGTACTGGAGAGTGCGGGTGACGGGCCGGCCGGCCAGCTCGGGCCGCCAGATGCGCTCGGTGGTCAGCCGGCCGGCGGCGTCCCGCTCCCAGCGGCGCCGGTGGACCTCTCGGCCGGACACTGTCAGCGTCAGACCGGCGTCCCGGCCGTACCGGTCCCGCACCAGGCTCAGCAGCGAGCCGTCGCTGCTGAGGATGGTCTGGTTAGCCCGCGGCCGGCTGATGGTCAGCGGTCCCAGCTGACTGAGCTGACCCGTGGTGGGGTCGTACTGCAGGTGGAGAGGGGTTAGTCGCCGGCCACCCACCCGGCCCGAGATTCGGGTAGGTCGGAGCCGGGAGTCGTACTCATATCGGAACACAGCCGAGCTGAGGCCGGTGTCCGGGTCGAATTTCAGCCTTCTCTCTCGCTCCAGCGGCCCCTGGTGGGACAGCTCGAGTCGGAAGCCGAAGTAGCGCTCCGAGTGCAGCACCCTGTCGAGCTGCCCGCCGGCGGAGTAATGGTACTGAGTCTCGCCGTCACCGGTGGCCGTGGCGGTGCGCCGGCCGGCTCCGTCATACCGGTGAACGGTGGCGCCCAGGCCGGGTCGCTGAGAGAGCAGCAGCCGGCCGTCCTGCGAGTAGCGCCGCACCCACGGCTGCTGGCTGCCACCGGGAGGCACGTACTGGAACTTGACATACCCCAGGGACGGCTGGACGTGCAGGAAGTGCCGCGAGCGGTTCGGTGTGATGATGAACTGCAAGCCGCCGCGGCTGTCGTAGTGGTACTCGAACTGGCGCCCGCTGGGAAGGGTGAATGTGGCCGGCTGGTTGTTGGGGTCGTAGGTGAACGAGTCGGATGTAGTGCCCGTCTGCCGCCGGGTGAGCCCGCTGCGGCTGCCGTAACTGAACTGCTGCGTCAGCTCGCCCCAGCGCCACTGCTCCAGACGGCCGATACTGAAACGGGGACACACGCACGATTTTAAAATTTACATGCAGTCTATCCGAAGTGAGCGACCGAAATGAGGAAACGGGTTTCTTTAGGTATTTTGTACGTCTTACGTTTCGGTCAAAGAAGCTTTGACTAAAAGAGGCCGATTTAGTTCCTAGGAAATAAAGGCAAAGAAAGTGAGGAAAAATTCATGCGGTCGGGTGCCACCAAAAGAGAAAACTTTTTATTCGCAAGAGTAGCCTCTAAAGGCCGTTATAAGGTCTTTAGACCGTTATAATTATTTTATAGAGCTAATAAAAATTTCTATAACTGATGATACGTAGGTATGAGTTGTATCGCATCTGACCATGTAAGCTCCCTGACCTGTCGTAGCTGACGAACATCTGCGGCAGACCGGCCGGTGACCACGTGTCCGGTTTGACCGACTCCTTGTACTTGACGCTGAGGGCCACCTGGCGGGCGCCGCCGGCCGCCGCCTCCGAGGTCGGCGTGTAGACGGTCTGACGCAGCGTCACCGGGTCGTAGTCGACCGACAGGACCTCCGAGCCGTTCGACTGCGGCAGTGGAGAGTGGGGGCGGTCAGAGGCGAGGGAGAGCCGGGGTGGAGCTAGAAAATAAAGGCGTCTTTTTGAATGTACATAGCGCACGGTTTAGAGTTCTAATGGAATCTTAGCAACCAGTAAAACGCCTTTTGGGCGAAGAACGAGCGAGCGAGATAGTGAGCCCTGCACGTGCGGAAGGGCGAGAGGGTGCTTCCAACGGGCTTGAATAAATCACCCTTCTAACCGGTCGCTAGCGGTGTGCCAAATTTGAACGCAATCGGCCCAGCCGTTCCTGAGATCTGGAAGCGGCATTCTGCACGTGCGCACGTGCAAACGGGGTCCAAAATGACTTTTGCACGGCACCCTACTAACTGGTCCCCAACCGTGTACCAAATTTGAGCGCAATCGGCCCAGCCGTTCTCGAGATCTGGAAACGCCCCCTGCACGTGCGCACGTGCAGTAGCACCCTAACCGCAACACATGGGAATGCATTGCCTGGTGGGTGCCTACCTGTATGCCAAGTTTCAGCGAAATCGCCCCAGTAATTACCGAGTTACTGAAATGGGAACAAATTTGGCACCTCTTATTGTTGTATTTTGCACGTGCACTGGGGGTGACCCACATACATCGAGAGTATCCTATTTTGGGTAGAAGGGATGCTGCTACCCTACAAAAATTACCGCAAGTCAATCGCCCAAGCGGCTGCTGAGATATGAGCCTCTCAAAATCACTACTTTTGCAAAACAGCTTGAACACCCTTGACTTTTCACGTGGCACGTGCCACGATGGTCACTGAGATGTATCAAAAGTAGTCAATTACGGGGTAGAAGGGATGGGGCTACCCAACAAAAAAGACCGCAGGCCAATCGGTCCAGCGGTTGCTGAGATATAAGCCTCTCAAAAGCGTTACAGGCCGGGCCGGGCCGGGCCGCTCATACTGAGATTTTTCCGTTATATTGAAAAGACTCACTTCGCTCGCTGCGCTCGCTCGCTCGTAATTAGCATTACCAATCTGGTCTGTTCCATATTGACACATGTTTGTTACCAACATTCAATATTTAGTCACATTACGTAATACGCTGCACCAGAATAGTGTCAATCACAAAAAAAAACATTGCACTAAGTAAATACAAAACACATGAAGAGAAGTCTATACACGCAAAATTCTTCCAAAAATGCATATGCCAGGCAAATCGTCCCGATTCGCCGTGCGGGAGACGTCTGCAGTCGAGGCAGGACACTGCGGCCCAGCATACATTCAGGCGTTTGAGCCCCGACATCTAGCGGCAGGATTCTAAGCTTCTATGCTCTGCGGCACAGCATACATTCAGGCGTTTGAGCCCCGATATCTAGCGGCAGGATCCTAACCTTCCATGCTCTGCGGTACAGCATACATTCAGGCGTTTTAGCCCCGACATCTAGCGGCAGGATTGTAAGCTTCCATGTTCTGCGGTACAGCATACATTCAGGCGCCTTTGTCCCGACATCTAGCGGCAGGATTGTAAGCTGCTCCGCATTGCGGTACAGCATACATTCAGGCGTTTCAGCCCCGACATCTAGCGGCAGGATTCTAAGCTTCCATGCGCTGCGGTACAGCATACATTCAGGCGCCGTTGTCCCGACATCTAACGGCAGGATTGTAAGCTGTCCCTGCATTGCGGTACAGCATACATTCAGGCGTTTTAGCCCGACATCTGGCGGCAGGAATGTAAGCTTCCGTGCGTTGCGGTACAGCATGCCTTCAGGCGACCTCTGCATTGCGGCGCAGTCTCCCTTCAGGCGTTACAACTATCGCCATCTATCGAATGGAAGTGGAACTAAACCTTCGCTCGCTGAGCGGCTGCGTTCATCTCTGATCGGATGCATTTGTATTGTTGGGTTAGGCCCTTTCGGTCCAATGACACCATTGCAGAGCCGGAAGGATGGTAGGAATCAGGGGGAGACTGGGCAGGGCACCCTGGGGAGTCGCCGGGGCTGAGCCCGTCCGTCAGGACAGGCCGACCAGCCCCCCAAGCTCCAAGGAAGCTGTTTTGTTTGTTTGTTTGTTTGTTTTGTTTTGTTGGGTTAGGCCCTTTCGGTCGACAAGACCATTGCAGAGCCGGAAGGATGATAGGAATTAGGGGGAGACATTGGTCTGGGCAGGCACCCTAGTGAGTCGCCGGGGCTGAGCCCGTCCAGAGGACAGGCCACCCAGCCCCAAGGCACTCACTGCACCCGGCTACGGGGTGCGCTCCCTCGGGAGCAACGGTGCCGCTCCAAGGGAGCGGCCCGCATGAGATAAAGTTGCCTGTCCAGCCCGGAGGGGGGTTGTGGCGTGGAGGAGAAGGATTTCAGTATCCTGAGGATAGAAGCACGGATAGGTCGGAACAGGTGGGATCTGATGCCTCACTTCAGACGCATATAAATTGAAAATGGTTTGCGTGAGGAGCACATACAGTGAGATAGTCTCTCGTGCACCATGCAACATACCGTATACAATTTTGACGGTCATTATCCCACTCCGACAGACTGACCTGCAGAGTACGGGTCACCAGGAAGCCGTGCATCTGGTTCCCCTGCAGCGGCGCCATGCTGAGACGTAGCTCGTTCTCCAGACGCGGGTAGTTCATGTCTTCTCTCACCAGGCGGCGCTGGGATACGGCCGAGTCCAGCGTCTGACAACGCATGGAAAACTCAGCACAGGCGTGGGGAAAGGTTAAAAATAGGCAAGGCCGACGGAACGTTGCCCTAAAAATGTAAATCGTTTGAAAAATGGCATTTGGCTATGCTCGAAACATGGTTCCGACACAAAATAAATATTTTCGCTATTCATTGCGGTCGAAAACTCAGATAAAGCTATTGCAGCCGGGTATGAAATAGCGCGATTGTAAGCGTCGGTTAGCAGTCAAAATGGCTGATACCGACGGTACTGATGACACTTAGCAGTGTTCTTTCTACCTGGACGGGTGGCGAGTAGAGGAGCGACATCTGCTGTATTTTGGTGAAGGTGACGTAGGTGTCTGTCTCTCCGGGCTCCGACAGCACGATGGTGTTGTTGGCCAGAGTCTGCACCACCGTAGACATCTCGCCTGGAAAAGGGACGTGGCCAAGTCGATGAAATGCTAGATAAAATAAAGAATAAGAAAATATTTCAATTAGCATTGATGTGCATAGAGACAGACCAAGCGACTGATCTTGGCTCTTCGACCCAGATGGTGGATAAATAAAGCTGACCATTGCGGTTACGCTCGAAGGCAAGGAAGAGATGATCACTGAGCCCGTTTTACAGCTCAAAAGCCCTCCAAAATAATCCTTCCCTAATCTCTTCTCGCTCTCTCCCACTCACCATAAGTGTACGTGGTCGACTGTTCGGCGTTGTCGATATTGACCACAAACGGTTCTTTGTCGTCCCTGGCCACGGTAACCTGGAGGTGCTGCGGCGCAACCAGGCGCGACTCGAGCTTCAGCCGCTCGCCGGTAGATGTCAGCGCCTGCTCCAGCCGCCCCGTGGTGTCGTAGTCGTAGAGGAAGACGTCACCGCGCGAGTCGCTTCGGCAGCGCAGCAGCTCAGTCTCCGGATCGTACTCAAAGTGGTACTTGTTGCCGGACGTGGTGAAGTTGGTCACCAGGCCGACCCTGGCCATGTGGTGCAGGGTACAGCGCTCTCCCTGCGGCGGAGAGGGCAGGGCGAGGGTAACGATCGGGTCAGAGGTCAGGCCGGCGTTGGGTAAAAAGGCCAGGTCTAATGTTAGTCTGGGGTTGAGTCAGAGGTCGGATTACAGGCTGTTTCAGATGCCTACTCGGTTGGTTCAGTCAGGAGTCGTTTCATAATTCAGTCAGGTGGGGTTCGCGCTCGGGTCGTGGATAAGCCTTGGTGTCTGGTCTAGAATAGGCACAGGAGTCGACATGGCAACAGTCTCGGGATGTTCGTTATAAAGCCTGAGTTGTATTCCGACGGGAGTCCCGTTTAAAGGTCACGACCTTCGTCTTCGTGAGCAGACACATGGGTCTGAACTGCAACAGAGCGTCCCTGGCGACCGCCTCTATCTCGTGCCGACCGCCCAGGAATCCAGGAAAACCTCCGAGAGGCCAGACGTGTGGCCCAATGCGGGATTACAGCAGACCGTCATTTATCTTTGTGGCACCGCTGATAAAAGGTTAAACAATGAAATCGTGCTGAGGTCAGACAAATCCCAAAAGTGAGCCACCTCTGTGTGCGATCTACTGACATTTACCGATGGTATTCAACACTGACGTACCTCGTTAGAGTGACATTTTCTGACAAAAGCATGCATGCATCTCCGTGATCTTCAGCCCTCAGGCGGCCATCTGTTTTCCAGCCACGCGCGCCACTGACCTGTGAATTCTGGATGGAGCTGACCACGTTACTGTAGTCGCGCACTAGCTGCACGCTGTTGCCGGACCAGTCGGTGATCTTGCTCAGCCTGCCGAAGCTGGTGTTCTTGCTGTACTGGAAGAGGTACACCGACCTGCCGGTCAGCAGGTCCTTGGTCTCGACATGCTGACCAAACCTGTTGAAGCCGTAGACCTTGTTGAGCACCGGGTCGATCACCTTGAAGCCGGGTCCCTCTTCAGGCAGGTTATGTCTCAGTCGGAGGATTTTCAGCGCACCCTGATCCGCCACATGCAGACTACCGTCGGGTCCCGCCGCCAGGGCTGACACGCTAGTGAGGTGTGTCCGTGTGGCCAGCTCCCCCGCAGCGCCTGACCCGGTGACGGGCTCACAGGCGCACTGGTCCTTCTCGCAGTGACACGCGGGCAGCGCGCCGGCCACCACAGTCAGCCTGCCGGAGCCGTCCAGTCGTCGGACGTAGTGCACCTTCCCGGCGTCCGCCTCTGCCAGGTAGAACGCCCCGTCGGCGTCAAACGCCAGGTCAATGAGGGTGCCGAGAGGCGACAGAGGAGACGAGGCGGCCGCGTCTGGCCGGCGGGGACAGTGCGGCGGTCGGCCCGCCCGGACCTGCAGCTTTCCGTCCGGAGTCAGACGCAGCACCAGTCGATCGTCCAGGAAATGCAGCGTGCCGTCCACCGGGCTGAGCGCCATTGCTGTGGGCCACTGCGGCTGAGCCTGTGGGCAGGGAAGAGACAGCGGTTATTCACTGGTGTGGGCAGGTTGGAATCCGGATCCACAGGAAATAGCTAAGTCGTGATACACTGATGGTAAAGGATGCTCATCGATATGTCTTGGATGGCTCGGATTCCACAAACACAAAAATAAACTCTCGTTCGGAATTCCATTACCGTTTGGTCAGCTGCCAAGACAACCACAATGCCGTAGTGAGTTACAACCCACTTGAAATGTAATAGCCCGTTCGATTGCGTGCAATAACATTGATCTCAGAATAGCTATTGCAGGCCGCGTGCCAGAGCTTTATCTTAATCGGATCTAAGGCCAGCTCAGGACATAATGCCGCGCCATTATCTGTCAGCTGTCACAACACGGTCCTCGGAACAGGACCGGCTGAGCGTGGCTGATGTTCTGTGTCACTGTGTGGGACTGGTGAGTGGATCAGCCTGCTCTCCCCCGGAGGCAGCCCGGAGCCTCACCTCTGGCAGAGGCAGGGAGCCCGAGCAGGGGATCGGACGCCACACAGATTTGTGGCCGTGGTGGCCGATCAGGGTGCTGATGATGCCGTTGGCGTCGATGGTGCGGATGTTGGTGCCGTCGGCGAGGTAGACCACCCGGTCCGCCGATACCGCCAGACCTGTGGGAGGACGCGGATCACTTCGGGTCAGGTTGCGTCAGGTCATATCGGGTCAGAGCAGGTCACGTCGAGTTAGATCAGGCATCATCGAGTCATGAGGTGATACCACGTCAGATTAGATAAGCTCGGTTCAAAGTCTGGCTATGTTTTCAGCTGGTTCAGAGTTTCAGGCTTCATCGGGACGAATTAAATAAATCGGATGCGGTTAGGTTATGTTGGGTCATAGACTATACTGTATTACTGATTGCTATAATATTGATATTTCCACTGATAGTATTACTGATACAGAGTAGTCTATGGTAGGGTCTAATCAGGCGATGCGGGATTATACGTCAGGTGGCATAAATCATAGCAGGAGATAAGGGACATCAGCCAGGAAACATGACATGTGTGTGTTGTGCTGCCAAGTTTCCCTCCTGGCTGAGACACAAAGAGGATAATTTATGGCGGAAGGCAGGCTATCAGGTAACACGCACATATACACGGACAGAACTTGAAGTATACTTGAGGATACATTCATACAAAGTGCGGACATGACGTGCCATGTCAGGCGACATTAATCTAGCAGTCTCGTGCCGTCCCAGCTTAGTCCTTCGTCACAATGTACGTACGTACATGCACGGCAGTCACTCAACGACGGAGCCCTCTGACGATTTGCGAATATCGCGGTCACTTTATTAGGCCCACACACGCCGACCAATCATTGTCAATCGCACAAAATTAGGCCCATAAAATTAACTACCCATTGGAATCGCCCATTAAACATTACCATAGGGTCTATTCCTGAGTATCGGCAACATTATTCGGAGGTCATCACAAGGTGCTTGTCGAGACGGCAACATTCATAGACCGTTTAAAGGGACCCTCCCACCTTAACATTAGATTTGAGTTGAGATACCCAAAATGGGGTCCCTGGCTCACAATTACCGGTTTCGGCACTCACAACATCGAGAAATGCCTTAAATCGGAAATATTGAATTTCAAAATTGCAGCATTTTGATTCAGAGGGGCTAATGCTTAGGAATACCCCTCTGAATGTGTGACGTCAGCGCAGATATCTAACGATTTTTAAATGTTTGACTAAAACGTTTTGTAGCACGCGGTGGTATATGCTATTTGCGCGCAACATCTGCCGCGAACGCCGCACTTCTAAAATAAAGTCGCTAGAAACAGCGGAGATCCCAAAAAAGTAAACAAAAGTAAAAGTCTAATATCTTGAAAACCGGTGAATATTTTTCGGTGAAATTTGGTAGATATTCGTTTTCGCTCTTTCTGAACCGAGCGACATCACTTTCATGCCAATTCATAAACCTTTTTGAAGGTGGGAGGGTCCCTACCGTTTAATGGGGGCCGCTATCCGTGTATCCAATTAGGACTCCCATGCATGTTTCAGTTAACCCGGGAGAGATCGATTGCTGCCGGGAAAGACGGCTCAGCCGTGTTAGGAGCTGGCCCAGCGTAGGTTCAGGTGTTGGTCGAATGTGGTTCACGAGTTGGCTCAGCGTGGTTCTTGTGTTGATCCACGGAAAGCTATGGTCCGTCAAAGACGGCACGCCAGAACACAAGCGAGTAAGCTATTAGCTATATAGTCTTTGATGTTTGAACGATTGTCTACCAGTGGGATATACAACAATTATCTACCTTTTATATGCGAGCTTCAAGTGTTGCAAGGTCAAGTGGTGGTCCTTCATTTCAAATGTTGTAGCTTGTATCTCGCCTACATTTCAGTGTTTAAGTTTATCCGTTATCTACCTTTAGGATGAGACAGCTTGGCGTCGACGGCCGGCCGTCCGTCCCCGCACGAGGTGTCGTCCCCGGGCAGACAGCGGTCGCCAGTGCCCGCCACCCGCTCCAGGTTTTTGGACGGATCCGCCACCTGGGTGACGAGGGGACAGCGTGAGGTCACACGGTGCTGACAGAGACATAACAGCCGGTAACGACGATACTAAAACGTCCCGTCATTATTCTCAAACCAGGATCTAGTCACTCAGGAAACATTTTTAGCCGAGAGGCGATATCAAGCTTTGAAAGTTAATACCATCCGGCTCGTGTAAATCCGTGCAAAGTCGGTCGGGAGCCGTAAATCCTCATAAGTCGGAAGTCTCACCTGCTCCATTTGGATGACCTTGAAGACCTGATGGGCCTCCGGGTCGCTGATGTAGAGCTTCTGTTCCACGGGCGACATGGCCATGTAGTAGTTGTAGCTCACCTGGGTCGCCCTGTGGAACACGCCAGACGCAAGGGTTTGTTGGCACAAGCAGTAACGTAGATAATTGCTTCTATATTCGTCTTTTACGACCAATGCTGGAAGATGCTCCGCACTGCTACGCGTCATAAAATCTTGGTCGGATCTCGTCATATAGTTTATAGGCTATATCGTGAAACAAAATCGTTGACTGCGTTTCATACTCAGCCATATCACAACGAACTCCAGAGTTATAGTCATCCTCCGACCATTATATCCGGCATGGTTTAGCATGTGTCAACATAAATACGCAACAGGGTATCAACAGAGCGGTTACTATTCTTCTCGCACCGAAATTAATCCCATTCGTTATGCGTTTGGTAGGAGCCGAGCGGCGGCCCACTATCTCCAGCGCACACAAAGAAAACTTGTTTACATTTCCACGCAGAATGGCGGGCTATCTGCACGCCGTCGAGTCTCTCCTCGCCGTCAGGAGGCAAGTTTCACGCACCGCTGGGCTCTAACGACAACCGGCACCGGCCGCGGAGAATAAACACATCCCCGCCGGGACACCGCGCCGCTGCGGGCACTGCCGCCCCTGTGGCCGGACAGGTACTATAGGGAGTGTTGTGGGACGCCGTGCGGTGCTCCCAGACACCGTCAGGGTACTGAGCAGCACTGGGACGACTGAGGTGCGGGAAGAAGGTGGTAAACAGGCGGGCGGTTCGCACCACTTGCCGGCACCGGCTCTGAGCAAACAGTCCCCGGTCACTGGCCTGGACCACTGCCGACTGAACTCGACTAGAGTTGAGAGTGAAAGTGGCGTGGCTTACGGTGTACCACTGGTGCACAATTTGTGCGAGTCACTTCTATTTTATACAGTCACCTTTACATATTTCATCTTTCCCATTTTAGCCCGGCGATCGTCTTCCTGTTGCACCTCCTGCATGGACTCACTCTACGCTACCTCTCTTCTATTGCCGAAGCCATCTCCCTCCCGCTCACTCTCCACTCCTAGGAGTGGACACCTATCTGAGCAGCCAGTCTCTCTTTCTCTCCTCCTCGACTACCCACCTGAGCTCCGCCACGGTGAACACCTCTCCGGCCGGTGTGACGCGCCGTACCAGGTTGAAGTCGCCCACATAGACCGACCCGTCCGCGCCGGTGGCCAGTGCCACGGGCGTCAGCAGGCGGCTGGCGTTGGCCGCGCCCGAGCAGCTGGCAGGCGGGCAGCGCAATGGACGCTGCTGACCCGTGCCCAGTAGGGTGTCCACCAGACGAGGGTGGCGCTTAAAGTGAACCGACGAGCCATCGCCGCGCTGAAGGATGCCTGAAATAATGAGGGGAGCGATGTAAACGGTCGCAGGACGGCGATGTTTCGATTTAGTAGTTTCTGATACACATAGCCCTGTAAAATCATTTGATCATGACTTTTGGCTAGTCTATAACATATGCTATAAGTAGCATATCAAACACGGATCAAACTTAATAGTTCAAACTCCGAACTTCTCAGACTGCCATAAAATATTCGTCCTCAATCGTTGAAGGTATGCTACAAGAATGCAATTAGCCGTATAATGGCCTACTTCGTTCATAGGTCAAAGGACAAACCACATTCCTCGAATACGTTTTCTAGCTTGATAAGTCCCACCGGCCACAGCTCACGGCACAGTTTTAGCTATATATTAATCGACCTCTGATACCTCTGTATGTAAGTACAGAGGCATACAGAGGTATACAGAGGCATATGCTATCATATACGCAGCAATATGACTGATGAATATGTCCTCTCCGTGGCCGAGTGGATAAAAGCGCCGGAATTCGACGCTTAGCCGGTAGTGAGAGCCCGGTTCAGGCCCCGGCGCGGGCGGCCACATTTAGCTCCTACGTGTAATGGCGTGCGTGTCTGTGGCAGGGGCCGCACATAAGACAGGTAACGTGAGTGAGCGGAGGGGACCGTGTCCAGTCGTGAGGGCACGTTAAACGTTCGGACAAAATTCTGCCATACAACTGGAATTGCGCGATCGGGTGGTGGGGTCAGGGCCAGCACAACAAGCTATGCTTAGTGCGGGCTCTGATTCCTCAAATCCGCCCATTCAACCATTCGGACTAAATTTATAAAAAAAAAAATGAAGCTATAAGACAGGGAATTACATCGCAATAATTTCCGTGATTTCCAATTATACTTCAGCATGCATTTCATGCCTTGTGGTTTCATGTAATACCATTGTGAATTGTACACGCCAAAACCGTTCATTTTTCTTACCCATTTTCGTCAAAGATTACCGTACCTTCGTGGAAGTTGTACATGTGGTGGATGTCTAGGTTCCATCCGCCGATGTCGGATATATCCATTCTGAAGCCGGGAATGGGCAGGACGCGTGTGTCCCACACAATGGCGGCACAGTCCGAGTACTCGTAGCCCACAGAGACGTGCGCCTGGGCCATGCCGTACACCTGAAATGGAAGGGAAAATGGATATTAGGTAAGATGATATAGATAGAGCATCACTGTAACTGTCGACAGGGAGACGGTACCGAAATGTAGGAGCATAAATAGTACAGGCTTCTTTGTCAAACTGTTATCTATACAGGTGACTGTTTATGGCAAAGAAAGCACAACATCGCGTGTTTTTGAACGCAGTAATTATAGTTTTTGCAATATTTATTAGGTAACGAAAAGTTTCGTATGTAGTACCTGATTAAGAATATCCCCACAGGACTAAATGATGCCACTAAATAGACCCAAAAAGATACTCAGCCTCTGATAATCCATCAACAGCCCAAACCGCTATGACGCTATGCACACAAATATCCAATCGTCGGGGATTTCGTGCAGGGGTGTATTAGGTCGCAACGATAATACAATTACGGCCAACCGAATAACTGGACGTTCCCTGCTGCGGCTCGGCATCAATCTTTAATCGCTGAGTGATGTCTCCACGTCACAACTACACGAAAACAGCTCCGAGCCGGCGGTCGCTGTACCCACACGGCAAGTGACTCGGTCACGAACACGACCGACCGGCACGAGCCGCCCGGCCGGACCACCGGCCGTGTTTTCGTAAAGGATGGCGACCGCACACAAACTCGGTAAATTCGTGTCGGACAAAATGCTGCGGGGACATTTACTGCTCCCACCTGGACAATTATTACCGAATGCTTTCAATGCGGCATTCCTGACCGGTTGATTTTATCGCTGTCGGCTCTACAGCGGCATCGATTGGGGTTTTATGGCGCCGCCATCGCACTGGAAAGTTGGATCCATGCAAACTCCACGTCCATAGACGCAGTTCTGTTCGATATGAGAACCTCACGCCGCCACATTAAAGGAAATAGTTCACTTTTAACATGGGATTTTTAACTGGAATAGCAGTTTCGTAGCTTGAGCTGAGACTAGCACAAATCAGGAGCTTTTACGGCTCAACGATCACCCTAGACGAAGATATTCCATTTCTCGTTCCGAAAAGAGTGCCTTGCAGAGGAATGTGTGCCTTGCACAGGAATGCAACCACGTCATCGTCAGCCAATCAGCATGCTGCTTACAGCTAATGCAGCATGCGTAGGTTTGAACTACGCAATATGATTGGTCAACGCGTAATAAGCTTCCGCGTCAAACATTATTTTGCATAGAATATAGTTCGTCCTATATTAAAATATAGAAAATAATTGTTTTTACAAAAAAGTTTTATTTTATTTTCTGATCATTTTGAGCATAAAAAATCGTAAATCCATAGCAAAATACTAATTTCAGGAAAGTGAACTGTTTCCTTTAATCGGGAGAGAAATAATACATGGAAGAACAATCCTCGAAATAAGTACGCACGAAAGTTCCGTTTTGAAAAGGAAAAGTAAGGACAGATACCAAAAGGAAAAGATAAAGCCCACACAACGCCAGCCCCATCAGCGGCTGCGTGGACGACCGACCGCTGCGGCGGCCGTCATCGTGGCGATACCCTATCTGTGCCATCGTTAATCACTGGCGGCACGGCACGACGCCACCAGTGGGCCACACCATTCCACAACCATTTACACTCGCATAATGTCGGCCGCCGAAACGGAGACTATGAATACCTAACTGATGGCGGATAGGTATCGTGGCCAAAACAGTGGAGTGAGGAGAAAAATGCATAATAAGCTTGCAGAAAAATCGATTAGATGCCATATTAATTACCGGCTTTGGTCTAATGTGTGGTACGATGGAAAACATGCACCGCACACATGGTAGCTAACCATGAATGCTGCAAATGCATCCTGCGATGTTCTTTACCTATAACCACGAGCATCAATGTGCAGCCCAATTAATGGCGTTTTAGTAGGTACGGTCTATCGTCTTACAATTGCACTTATGTTTTACTGCCGCAAAAATCATCTCAGTAGATCACTCATTACTCAACGTGTCTTTTAGTCTACACTACACAGTTCCTCAAGCTTTGAAAGCTATCCAGTCAGGCACATTTCTCGTTCGTTCAGTCCATGATTCAAACTTGGTTCAAACCACCAGTCGCCGGCGGCAGCAGGCACGGTCGATAAGATATCCGAGATCCCCTGAACTCCGCTATCCCCGACCCGTGCGACTGTCTAAGCCCTGTCAGGGGCACCCATCTGCCGCCGGACTGCGGCCGACATTGACACACTGCGCTCCCCGCCAGCCGCGCGAGACACAGCCGATTCAGAGTTTCCAGCGCCCCAGCTCGGCAGTCACCGGCAGCGATTCAATTTTCCGTTCGGCCGGATTTACATCAGATTAATCATGCCCCGCAAAGTCGAGACCCAGACGAGCCAGAGCGTACCCGTTGAGCCGACAGCGCACCGCTCCCAGTCTCCTGTTCTTGACGTCATGGCGAATGCATGGGGACAGATCAACGCTAGCATTACCGCGTCGTTTCTTCAGAAATAGGACAGCGACGAAATCGACACCGCCCGTGACTGGCACTGTAGCGTGTCCCGTTCTCCTCCCTGCCATCCATCATCACGCCACCGTCACGCCCTTTCAAACCACGCATTCACACTAACACGACACCGCGTAACGTCACGGTTCATCCCACGGCATGCGTCGTAGCGACCCGTGTTTCATTCTGACTCTCCCTGACTTTTGAACCAACCCAGCTGGGGCCGTGATAAGACGGGGTCTCGGAGTCTCTAAGTGCAGTTCGACCGCCGGAGGGCACAGCTGCCGCCGGCCACGGCAGGAGAGGGGCTGGTGATCATTGAGACGTGCTCGGAAAGACTGACAGAGAGAGTACTCGTAGCTCAGGAAAACGATAGTCTGAGTCGTGAGGTCAGGTGGGGTCGCGATGTGGAGGCTGGATGGGTGGTGAGTTTACGGAGGGAAGGACGGATGGCTGCGGTGGGAAATAACAGCGAAAGGTCGGAGGAGATCGATAGTTGCCAAGTATCAAGATGCGATGAGCCGCTGAAAGGTTAATGCGAAGTTAATGTTGCAGCGTTGTGATTCATTATGAGATGGCCTGCGCTGTAAAATGACGGTGTGATCAGTGATGTTCGCAAAACAAGCGAGAACTGCTGTTGTAGACCTACCGAAAGTCAACAGTCTGCCGCATAGATCGGTAAAAGCGGTGCAGTTGAAACCACAAAGTAGGAACGAGGACATAGCTCCCATCCCGACCCCACCGCATCGCCAAGCTGCCCAGCTGCGCGCCATGCCGACTCCAGGTGCGCGCCCTGCCACCGCACGGCCGCAACTGACGGCTACCCGGCGGAACGGCCGCCCTGTCACACGGTCGCCATTAGACGCTGATAAATCGCGAACCCCGACACCGCAGACGGGTCGCGACGGCGGCGAGCGACGCCCTTCCACGCTCCAGTCAGCGTGAACGACGAATGACACCCGCAGTCGGGTACACAGATTGCAATGCAACCTTAATGCACTGCAATGCCCCGCGAGAAATCAGGCGGCCCGACGTCGGAAGCAATCGCGTCGTTTTCACGAGCGGTTTGCCAATTTTATCAGACATTGGTACAATTTCCTAGCGCCCTCTTGGCCTGACACGTGGGCTTCCGTATCGGGTTTTCGAATAACAGATCGCCTCCAGCGGAGCCTGCAGCGCCTGGATCCCATATCCACGGCGGCAGAAAACGAACAGGATCACACGGCCGGCCGACGGAGCGAGCGCCCAGCGCCGGGCAGACGCCCACCGTCTGTCTGTCAGTCTCTGACTGCTTCCCCTCCCAGTCCCGGAACCGGGCATCAGTGGAGCACGCCACATCACACCGTGGCCAACGACCGCGGCGAGACCAGGTGTTAATGGCCACACCACACCGCACCCATTGGCGGCGGGACCGGCGCGCGCCGCGGCGTGCCGGAGCCCCTTGAAAGCCGGGCGTGCCTGTCACCGTCCATGATGAACAGCCGGCGGTGCCAGACGGCGGCAGTCGCGCGCCGGCGGACATACATCAGAGCTCCAACGCGCCACAGAGTCACACGCCAGGCCGCGGCCCAGACGCGGGAGGAAATGGACAGATAAATGACGAGATGCAGCGCGCCGCCGGCTGCCGCAGCCTGGCTGCCGGGAAACCGCAGCTATGCAGCCCGGGAGAGTGGCTCTGCAGCAGCTCCCAATGTGGAGTGATGCATCAAGAGCAGGAACTTCGGGACACTTATCCTTATGACAAAACAAATAAAGAAAAGTGAAGAAATGAGCTTTCAAGACAGGATAAGATCCATCACGACGCTCACGCTTCTCATTCACACTCATTCACACAATGTCTAGCTCTCACAGGCACCGCTGAACTGAATAGAAAATCACTATACATAACTTAGCCAGGCCTTACCTTTTGTTCGTAGACGTTGCGCTTGTTCCAGGAGTAGCTGTAGGTGATGTTGGGATCGGACTCGAACGTCTGGGTGAACACGGTGCCCTCCACGATGACCTTGAGGTGGACGAGCACGAGCGTCTCGGGTACAGGGTCGGCTGTGAGCCTCATCAGTAGAGTGGAGTGGTACCCGGAGGCGTCCTGGGAGTTGTACACCAGCCGCAGACCCGTGCCGGGGATCTCGATCGACTCCTGAAGAACCTGTGGACATTGAGGGGAAGGAGGTATAAACGATACTGCATGTAAACTGCAATGGTGACAAAGGCGTTTGGCATGAGGACGGTAGAGAAAGTGGAAAATAAGGACTCTTGATGACAAACATTTGTTGCAGCTGTTCATCTAACAACAGCTTAACTTTTGTTCAGTGCTCATCTAACAACAGATTACCTTGTGATCCTGTAACAAACAACAGGGCAACGGATCTGGTCTCTAGGATAGCTAGATATATAGTTACGAGCCGAACTGAAAACATTCACTGACTGGATACATTTATTTCCAAGAAGACCGGTTGTTGTTTTACTGCAACAATAATGTTTTCCGAAAAACGAGTAATCGGTGTTCTTTGTTGGGATAATCTAGTGTGGGCTGTGCGAACTGTGGGCAGCTTCACCGTGAGCTGGCAGCTAATGCAGGCCACGCCGTATCACTTGGGCGCCATTTTGCCCCGTGGCAAGCCGGGGTAACTCAATTTCGTGTTGCGCCGCACAAATTGCACCGAATTAGTCGTCGATGCTGCACTCAGCAAATACACCTACCGGGCAAACAAGGGCTGTGCCATAATTGCCCGCGCCAGGGTTGGTATAGGTCCAGCCGGCAAACAACACAGCCCGACCAAATCTAACGAGATAAGTCGTGGTATGTTTCCCCTACAAGAACAGATATTAGCCTGTGTAAGAAAGCGCATAAGTTGTGCTCGGTAATTCGTCAGTAAGACATAGGCATTTTTATTGGAATGATATGCATGCAGTTAGGTTACGCTTGACGTAAAGGAAATAAACATTGACATGAATGAAAATAAGTAGGTACTAGGTAGGTATAGAAAGTCTAGGATAGCAGACATACGACAAACCACTTAGGTTTTAGTTCCGGGTTGCTGTATGGACTCATTCCGAGGCCTTTCAAGACACTGGCTCGTCGTATACCTCGAGTTGTATGCCATTAAAGACCAAAAGTCAAGACTCGAGCACCGCTTCTGGGTGCTCTCGATAAGAGCAGGTATATCATGATTCTGACGGGAATGGCCTATGGTGGGCGGGACCGGTAGTATCCATAGCAAGTTGAAGTATATAACGCTAAACAATTTCGCCGCAAAGTCATGGCAACGCTTATCCTTGGGTCGGTCTCCTGATATGGAATGTTTGATGGCCGCTCGGCCCTCCTTCAGTTCCGCTCTCTCAAGTTTGATCTCATCTGGCCGGCTCGTTGACACGGCATTTGCGGTTCGTTTCTGCGGCACTACCGGTGCGATGTAGCGGAACAGCTTGATCTGACGAGGCCCGGCTCGCCAAATGGATGTCATTGCCGGCCGCATCAGCGAGGATGGGCCGCGGCCGCGCCGCCGCCTCCGGGCCCATACCGAATTCGAGCCGTGTCAGTCTCACTTCGCGACCGGAGCCGCCGACAGTCTCCCGGCTGCATCCGACAGCGGCCGCATCAGAATGGGATCAGCAGAGCGCGAGCTGAACATTAGCTCAGCTGACAGCGTGGGAATATATGTTCGATTCCGTTGAAAGCCGCAGTGCAGGTGTTCAATGTCTGGCATTTATCAGATGGTATTGATGGCTCCTGCCGGTGATATTCATATCGTCCAAACTAACCTCATTTACTTACAGACGATGGTCTGATGGGATATGCCGCTGAATGTTAAAAAAAAACTATACAGCTCTATAGCTTGATGATATACGGGATGGTGGTCAGTGGTCAATGTAAGCACAGCAGCTGCCCTGAAGCGGCCGGTCAGCAACAAAGGCGATTACTTAGTGCAGCTCTCAAAAGCCAAATGGTTCAGTGCGCATCAGGGCATTTGTCGATCCACAAGATACCTATGCCTTGCCGGCACTGGAATCATGCGACCCGACACTAGCACTACATGGGTAGTAGATGCTGCTTTCTGAGAACACCTTACGCTTCAGCGCTTACGGGGATCAGACCCAGGCGCTAGCTTTCAATGAAATTAATTTAATCGACCAAAAGCGCGGTGTCTATTTGCGGCGCATCTCACTCAGGAGTGCATTGAACTTGTTAATGCACTAGAACATAGCCAATCGCATTAAACGGAATTATTTGATTGACGAGTGACGACTGACATGAAATCGTCATAGGCACACCATTACATGCTTGAGCCAAACAGAAATTATGTGAGCAAGAATAGTACCTAGCACCAGTATAACGCCTTTTGGGGCGACGAACGGAGCGAGCGAGAGGGTGGGCCTTGCACGTGCGAAATTGCGAGGGGATACCTCTAACTGACTTGTACACGGCACCCTACTAACTTGTCTCCAGCAATGTGCCAAATTTGGGCACAATCGGCCCAGCCGTTCTCGAGATCTGGAAGCGGCACCCTGCACGTGCGCACGTACAAAATGGGTCCCAACTGACTTGTGCACGGCACCCTACTAACTGGTCCCTAACCGCGTACCAAATTTGAGCGCCATCGGTCCAGCCGTTCTCGAGATATGGAAACGACCCCTGCACGTGCGCACGTGCAGCAGCACCCCAACTCTGGCACATGGATATGCAGTGCCTAGTGGGTGCCTATCTACATGCCAACTTTCAGCGCAATCGGCCAAGTAGTTACCGAGATATTGCAACAATTACAAAACTGACACCTCTTCGTTTTGCACGTGGCACGTGCATAAGGGGTCACCCACATGCATCGGGAATAGTCCAATACTTGGTAGAAGGAATGAAGCTACCCTACAAAATTTACCGCATGTAAATCGGTCAAGTGGTTGCTGAGATATAAGCCTCGCAAAAGCGTCCGCACGGCCGGCCGGCCGGCCGGTCGCTCATTACGGAGCGAGCGAAGCGAGCGGAGTCTTACGTAGAATAACGGAAATTTCTGAGTATGAGCGGCCGGCCGGCCGGCCTTTGCGAGGCTTATATCTCAGCAACCACTTGACCGATTTACATGCGGTAATTTTTGTAGGGTAGCTTCATTCCTTCTACCAAGTATTGGACTATTCCCGATGCATGTGGGTGACCCCTTATGCACGTGCCACGTGCAAAACGAAGAGGTGTCAGTTTTGTAATTGTTGCAATATCTCGGTAACTACTTGGCCGATTGCGCTGAAAGTTGGCATGTAGGTAGGCACCCACTAGGCACTGCATATACATGTGCCAGAGTTGGGGTGCTGCTGCACGTGCGCACGTGCAGGGGTCGTTTCCAGATCTCGAGAACGGCTCGACCGATTGCGCTCAAATTTGGTACACAGTTAGGGACCGGTTAGTAGGGTGCCGTGCACAAGTCAGTTGGGACCCATTTTGCACGTGCGCACGTGCAGGTGCCGCTTCCAGATCTCGAGAACGGCTGGGCCGATTGTGCCCAAATTTGGCACATCGCTAGAGACCGGTTAGTAGGATGCCGTGCACAAGTCAGTTGGAAGTACCCCCTCGCAATTTCGCACGTGCAAGGCCCACCCTCTCGCTCGCTCCGTTAGTCGCCCCAAAAGGCGTTATACTGGTACTCAGAAATTTCCGTTAATCTAAAGAAGACTACTCTCGCTTCGCTCGCTCCGAAATAAGGGAAGCTCTAGTTGACATGCTTAGCATTAGGGAAGTTATTGACATATTTAGGTATGCGATACAGTCAATAAATGAAAATTGGAATGGGAAGCATGTCAACGCAAAATAAGATTTTTTTCTAAGTACACGCTATCAGCGAGCTATGAAAATTGTATTGCCTTCATTGGCTCAATGAAAAGGCTGCTGGCAATTACAAAATGAACTTGTTTTGCCGCACATGGTACAGATTGTTCGAGTCTCAACACCCACAAAATGCCGGGTTGGGTGATTTTCGAGCCATTACTGCACAGGCGCGCAACAGGCGAGCCCTGAATGACAGCACAGCAGCAACATACAAAACATTCCGAAATCCAATGATATGATTCCATGGCAGTTATTCAGTTTCTTGACTGCCTTTACTCAGTTTCTGTACTGCCAATGCAAGAGAAATTATTTATGCATCCATTTCAACCGAATTGCGCTGCCAGCTCATGGAAGACTGACCAGACGTCTGAGATAGCCAATGACTGCATTACCCACGCGGTGCTTGACTAGGTTTATAGTGTTCGATAGCCGGCAACAGCCAGTAATGGCGGCGAATGTCGACCAGCGCCCTCCGAGGACACCATGACGCTCGGTCGATGACTCTGCGGCGACACTCCGTTTTTGGGTCGTTATCTCGCCGCTGCCTCCGCCGGAGGTTCTCACACGCCGGATGCCGCCGAACGGCGGTGAGAGGACCGGCGACCGTCCCCTGTCTGTCCACCCCTCCCGCACCAGTGCCGGTCCAACGGCGACCCGGAGCCACCGGAACCGGCACGGAAATCCGGCGGGGCGCGCCGGAAGCCGGACGTCCATCGAGGCGACCCACAGACGGAGTGGCGGTGCTCATCGACGCAGTTAGTTGGGCTTGGATGAGTCACGCTACAGGCGGACAAATACCATGACGGGGTAGGGTGAGAACGAGATGAAGCTTCGACAGACAAATATGAGACAAAGGTGGATAATTGCATGCCGATGTGGTTCGTGGATAAGAGGTGGGCAAGCGTTCTGTGTTGTGCATCGTGAAAGGCAGCTAGCTGGCGGTGAGCTTAGCCATCCTATTCTCCAGACATTGAGAGCGTCGAGGCCGTCACAAAGTCTACAGGCAACAGCTTCAGCTCCGTCCCGGACTGACCTGCGTCTCGACGAGCACGGCGGCGCCGTCGACGTCGCCGATTTCGTCGCCGTCGATGACGGTGTCGGGCTGCCAGGTGTTGATGATGACCGGTCGCAGCAGGTCGGGTTGGTGGGTGTGACAGGCGGGCGGCGGGGTGGACGCGTCACCCGCCGGACGCTCCGTGTCTTGCAGCATCACGATCGGGTCGAGCACCACCAGCTGGTTCCAGGCGACGGCCACCGGGCGGGTCATGGGCCGGAAGGGAGCCCGCTGGAACTGCAGGTTCACCGCACCGCCGCCGTTCACCATGATGTCGAACCTGACGGACGGATAGAGGAGGGCGTCATCCGTCATCGTGATGTCTAGCCCGAAGGACCGAGTGGTGAAGGCATCACCGATCCAGATGTCGAACATCATGGCTGGAACGTTGGAAATACGATGCTATTCGTAGAGGATCACGAGGAAAAACCGGTCTAGAGAGCAAAGTATTGTACTGCATCAGAAAACGAACACCCTTTAAAATGAAAGAAGATAATCCGTTAGTGAAGGATGTAAAACATGTGGTCGGTTTATATATGTTGCTAACACATGGCGAAAGTCAATACCTAACCAGTATAACGCCTTTTGGGGCGACTAACGGAGCGAGCGACAGGGTGGGCCTTGCACGTGCGAAATTGCGAGGGGTACCTCCAACTGACTTGTGCACGGCACCCTACGAACCGGTCTCTAGCGATGTGCCAAATTTGGGCACAATCGGCCCAGCCGTTCTCGAGATCTGGAAGCGGCACCCTGCACGTGCGCACGTGCAGAGTGGGTCCCAACTGACTTGTGCACGGCACCCTACTAACCGGTCCCTAACTGTGTACCAAATTTGAGCGCAATCGGTCGAGCCGTTCTCGAGATCTGGAAACGACCCCTGCACGTGCGCACGTGCAGCAGCGCCCCAATTCTGGCACATGGATATGCAGTGCCTAGTGGGTGCCTACCTACATGCCAAGTTTCAGCGCAATCGGCCAAGTAGTTACCGAGATATTGCAACAATTACAAAATGGACATCTCTTCGTTTTGCACGTGGCACGTGCATAAGGGGTCACCCACATGCATCAGGAATAGTCCAATACTTGGTAGAAGGAATGAAGCTACCCTACAAAAATTACCGCGTGTAAATCGGTCAAGTGGTTGCTGAGATATAAGCCTCGCAAAAGCGTGACCACGGCCGGCCGGCCGGCCGGCCGCTCATACTCAGAAATTTCCGTTAATCTAAGGAAAGACTACGCTCGCTTCGCTCGCTCCGTAATCATTGGGTTACAACTCCAAGGCAGCATAGTCACACAAAGAGACACAAGCCAAGAACGGGAAAACTGCCGCCCGGCATTACTCATTGCCTCAGAAAGCATTATCACCACAATTAGTACGCTATTTAATATATTTCTCCAGTGAGAAGTTGCAGTTCATAAATCAGCGAGGCGACCATTCCAGGCACTAATTGCGCCTTCCTTGACATTAGCTAAATGTGGGGAAGAAATGAGCGTTTGTCACGCCTCCTTATTAACGTCCATGGGCTGCAGCAAAATCAAGAAGAAATTGTCACCTTAGAAACGTACACTCTAGGTATTTCTGCTTGAATACCATCAATTCTTATTTACAAAATAAAACACTTCTTACGAATACACGCGAACAGTGTACGTAATTATGTGTTGATACGACAAGTACCCAATTGTAAAACGGCTCCTAAAATGAAAGTCTAAATCGATAGTAGATACAAGGGTCCTCCTGATTCCAGCTAGCAAGTGGGTTCGGGACCCTGAACACAAATTGCGAATTCAGGAGCGCGACTCTCGAGACATCATCTTTCATAATTCGCTGTGATTGAGCTGAACATAATAAACACCGTGAGGTGACTTATTTGGTATAACTATATTCAGCATTCGACGAGTGTCGAGAGCTTCAAGTCAGAGTCCAATTTAGCAGCTCACTGTTTTTTCCTATAATAACATTCATTACCTAATCATTAGACCTCTCAGATATCTTCAGGCAACCATAAGACGTATTAACTCAGAAATGGAAGTTTTACATCCGGAATGACCCATTTCTCTGAAGACAGAAAGACCTCACTTCGTTACATAACGATAGCAAATATCTTCTTTAAAATGTTACCTATAATACTTGGCAGCAGGTTTCCGATAAGATATGCTGCTTGACATAAATGTAAATAATATAACTACCGTCACCTCCGATAACCCAAGCTTTCCGCTATCGGCTCTAACGAAAATAAATATTGTAAAACAAGCCCAGACTCGCCAAATAAGAAGCCTAACATCGGAGACCGCAGCATGCCTGACACGAGCTTTCCACTAGTAGGCCAGGGGAACGCTGTCCAGCGTCGATACGACATCGCTCATAGCTGCCAGGCCCATCTAAAAAGAGACAAATCACGATTTCCTACTGCCTGGAATGCATCAGCGATACCAGCGTGTCGTGCGGCGCAGTCTACCACCGTAGTGTGTGCTGCGGTACAGCCTACTCTCCCAGGCGTCTGCCGGTTCCAAGCTGGCCTCACCACGCAGCGAGGCTGAGTCGACTTTTCAGCCGAGGCGGCACCACGCGGCGACCGGCTGGGACCCACTTTTAAACCGAATACAATCCCCGTCAGCTGGCGAGTCACAGTTTCCGCTAGACCAATTCAGTTGAACCAACCGAATGCCAATTCAGGATTTCGTTACCGAATAGAAACGCCCGGCCTGTCGGACGGACCAAAGGGGAGGCCAAAGGCAAGTTGGCGACATGTTCGAGTGGAGTTTCGTGTACCGCTGGGGGCTTTTAAAGTTTTCTATGCCTCGAATTTCCTGGTGGAGACAATAGGATGCCAGCGGGCCGTCCAGTGGCTGCCGAGCTCCCCAGTCACCCATTCAGCCATTCTCCGGGCGGCCGGGAGAGCCACCAGTCTGCATAATGCACAGTCCGCAGAGGGTCGCGAGATTCACGTGCCGTCCCGGCGGCGGCGGCCACCGTTGTCGGCCCATTGCCCAGAGCGAAGGAGCCGTTCCTGCCCGATCGATATGCTCAGTATGGACTGCAAAGTGCTCCGGCGCGGCGGGCGCAGCCGTTTTCGTCCGCGCGGCCGATCGCATCCAGTACAAACTCGGGATAAATCGAATCGTCCCGTGGAAATGGTTCGGGGGAACCTCCGAGTTATGGCACGCAGCACGGCCTCGGTGAATTTTATCCAGCAATACCACCTCTGAAATGGAGCACTCCAGTCGCCTTTCGAGCGATGGAAAAGCATCGGGATTGCTCAAATAAACCGTGTATGGCAACGCTCTACTAGTAAAGACTCTGGAAAACACAGTTTTCCTTTTACTGATCATCGACAACGTCCAACTACAAATCAACCAACCGACGGGGGTGGAGTAGGATCTAAACGCAGCCGAACGCACCCTGTTCGGCTCTACTCCCCACCCGAACGCACCCCTCGGTTTCTACTCACCATCCGTTTTTCCTGCTGAGCGTCAGCCCGAAGCGGGTGTCCCGGTTGACACTGACGCGCACGCCGGCGATGCCGAGCCCCTGAGATGTGACCAGTCGGCCGCGGATCACCGAGACACGCCTAGAGGGCAGACAGCCGTCATACAGGGGTAGGGGACCGGCCACGGGCAGCCGGACATTGGCAACAAACTGCCCTGGCTGAATGCTTAGAACATAAAAATTTATTTTTTCTTCAAATTGTGGTTTATTCTTTTAGTATTTTTGTTCTTCTTTAAAGTTATCCAGCCAAGTGAACATATTTTTGGGAATGTTATCAACACGTATTATTAAAATTGTTATGCTATTTTGTCAAAAGGATGAAATAGTTCTGATATAATCAATTGTTCTTGCATAAAAGATTTATTTATGATACTTTCGTCAACATATTTTCATATCAATTTATCATTCTGCGATATCATTAACAGCAGTAGTATGTAATATATGTATTCCAGTAAATAATGAAGAACATCAAGATGTCTCGAATCACAATCACGTATCTAAAATTACATCGTAACGAGAAATCAAATGATATCAAGCCGAAAACAGGCGTTACCAAGCCCGTTTACGCATGTTGCTGGACCAATTTAAGTAACTGAAAATTCACGTGCTTGAACATTACTAAGAAAATTAAAAGGCCACCAGAGAGGGCCGATACTGAAAAGTGTATAAAAATCACCAATACAAGGGATATATAAGGATAAATGCCGCCACCAAGAATGTCGGCTGAAAATAGAGTGTAGCCGGGAATCGAGCCCGGGCATGTCCGCCCGGGACGTGACACGACGTCGCCCGGGCGTCAGTGTGAGACCCCCGACATCAGCGGGGCATGGTGGTATCAGGATGCAGCTGCGGTCGAGGATCAGGGGACGGCGGACGGACACGCATTCCGGGGCGACGAATGGACAGGACTTACCGCGGCTCGAACGAGCTCCAGAATCGACTGCGTGAACAGACACCGGCACAGGTTACCGAGGGTGGCGCCGGCCGGGCCGGGCGGGGCGCCGGGCGGGCACGGGCACACACAGGAGACACACGAGACGCGGACAGGACGGCACAACACGCGCGCGACGGGCCTCACTTGTGGCTACACGGATCGGCGACGGACGGTGGTGCTGAGCCCGGCCAACAAGAGTCCGGGAGCTGTCAGTGATCTTGATTTAGATCAGTGACGAAAAGAATGACAGAAGCAAGATTAGTGAAGAAACTTCACGCTATGAAAGCTCCAAAAGGAAATCCTTTGGGAGATGACAGAATAAAGCTGCAAGAGCCGAGCATTGCAGAAGTCAATAACTAAAACAAGAACTAAATCTGATTAATTTTCTTGATCACCGGTTAACGCATTTTACGATAGTTGAATGTCCGAGGTAATTTCAAGGCACATCGTCCTTGAAGTAAGCTTAGTGTAACGATTTTCGTAACGAATTTCTTTATCATACGACACACCACCGTCCGTCCTGTGCCCAAAGCCAACTACTGCAAGAAACTGACAAATTACCGGCATTCAAAGTTTTTTTTCAGCAGCAGCGCTGCATTTAGCGTTATTTTGACAACGTAAACAATAGATCCAGTGCAGTCGAAGATGACAACAGAGAAGAGAGAGCAGCTGCCAGCGCGTTGATGACAGAACAGAACTAGAGAAGAAAATATATAGCAAGCAACATTAGACGAGGACAGAGATACAGTGCAAGACAGGAGAAGGATCTGCAAGGTTTCCGCTCACGACGAGCTATCGATGGTCTCGCTGGCTGAAGTTCAACGTAAGCAAACTCCTGTGTGGGGAGTAGAACACAAATGTAAAACTGCAATAAACATCGGATGCATATTATCCCTTTCTAAAATAGCTCCATAATTACTAATCGGTTAAGCACCAACCAGAAAAAATACTTGTGTGACAATATTGGCTAAGTAGAGGGGCCTGAGTAAGTTCTTAAGAGAGTGACAGCATAACCTTTGATTCGTTTTGCAATCTAGCTATGCGGAAACTGATGCTGAACAAGCTGCCGAAATATAAATGTGTATGCGTCGCTTGGTCGTTGCCTTTAGTCGGGGTTGTGCAAGGCGCCGCTTTAACCATGCCCTTCCTTTAAATTGCGCGATATAATGTTTGACAAAGCAATAAATGACATTCAAGTAGTATGCTGCAGGCGAATGTTACGTAAGCCACATACTCTAAAACGTTTAAGCCAATAAGCGGCAGCAAACTTACGCAAAGTAGTGAAGTGAACCTTAACCCTCGCCGGCACAGGGGGGGGGGGGGTTGATGCAACCCCCCTAAGGTTTTTCGCGAATAACTCGCGTAAAAAGCGGCCGATTGCGACGAAACTTTCAGTACCCTCGCATTGATCAATTTTACACCTACCCTGAAAATTTCATGACCCTGACCCCAATGACCTTTGACCTGTGACCTCTTTTCTGTAACCATGTTTGGCCGAAATCGCGGTTCGGCACATGTCGGCTCGCATTAGCCGCGCGTTTGCAAGCTTTTCGTGGTTTCAAACGTTCAAACATGTGATTTGATGTTGCTCCCATGCATTAGGGTGGGTGTCAAGGTCACCTGAAGGTCAGGTCAGGTCATTGACCTTTGGTGACCTCGGGTGACCTCGGTTCACTTTTTCGAGTTTTACATGTTTCTAGGCTAGTTTTTGGAACTGAATTCGAATTTAGCAACCATTTGAACATTTACGAAGTAGTTTTGGTGCCTTCGTAACATGTTACGAAGCTGTCCGAGGCGGTTGACACGCATTACGAATACCCGTCACAACCCCTACCGGTTGACCTGACCTGACCTGACCCGACCTGGTCTAAATGCTTAAAGACATCATCTCTGATCAAAACTAACACGATATTCGTGATCAGCACCCCGGAAAACCTCATAGCAGCCACACTTTACGACTTTCTAACAGGTCCCGATTTTCCCGGTTTTCGGGTCATTGACCTGACCTGGAAGGTCACCCGATGACCTAGGACCTTAAAATTGGGTATCATCGGCTTCCTCTCGTGACGGGCAACACGCTCGTTTTTTCCGCGAAGCTCTAGCTCGATCAGGGGCCAAACGCGAGGGGGGGGTCGTACCAACCCCCCCCCCCCTTGTGCCGTCGAAGGACTCAAAATGGCCTGTGCCGGCGAGGGTTAACGCAATGCAGTCGTATCATTGAGCAAGGCCTATTTCATTCGCAGTTGGCAAATATCAGGCAGTTGTACAGACGGTGCAATCTCAGCTGGTATTCATGGCTGCCATTTTAGAAAGAGACAATATGGCAGCCGATTAAACTGAGTCGAACCAAGAGTCTGTAACTGCGGCGGCGCGCCGGCCGGCGGCGGCCGGAGTGCGGTGAAACTCAACTGGCACAGGCGGAACTCAGGCGTCTGCCCCACGCGCGCTCAGTGACGTCACTGGCCGGCCGCTGGGAATGACGTCACTGGCCCACCCACCTCTCGCTGTACTCGTCCTTATCGGCGTAGTCCTGCACCGACTTCTCCTCGATGAGGAACTTGACGCGCTGGTAGAAGGAGGCCGTCTGGCGGGCGGGCTGCTTCCTCAGCAGCACGTCCACCGGCTCGGGGGAGATCAGACACATGAGGCTGTTCTGGCAGTTGCTGTCCCAGCAGCATTCCGAGTCACTGCAGTCCTTCATTCCGTCTGCACATAAAGAGAGAGGGCGGCACGTCACTGGCAGTAACAGCCGCAGAAGGCGGAAGAACACCTATTACGTAAGATTATCGGAAGTGGCTGCAGAGACGACCAAACTTCATCGTCTTTCTAACCACACAAGCGATGGTAAAACCAACATAAATAGTAGGGTGTATCGTCGAATTTTGATTTTTTTTAATCGTCTTCACTACTAAATTTTATTGGTCCCTGGCATGTTTGAAGCCGTAGGATACCAATCAAAAAAATCTGGGACGAAAACCTAGCCTGCTGCGAGCGGTTGAACGGAGGCCTGTCGGGACGGCGCCAGGCGTTGAAGTCTCCCCGTTAGTTACGCGCACACTAGCACCACGCGGCGGCTGGCGCCGTGCCGCCGCGTTCCCGGTCAGCCGTGTTTTAGCGTTCACTGACGGGTCGAAGTGATTATTCTAAGCTTTCCTAAGAAGCTTTCTGCCCCGCAGCTCATTATTGAGCAAGAATATCGCACAAACTGCATAGAACATTGACATGCAGGTTGTCGGCACATATGGAGAAGGGGATGTTTTGGTTAATGCCTCCTTTAATGGGAAGAGATTGTGGAAGAACAACACATTTCTCTTGGAAATTACTCATCCTCCTTCTTCCTACGTGCCTGCTTTAGTAATCGAAGTACCCCTATTGACTCTACGTTCTTGATTCGGCTGTCGATTTTATGCATGGAATTCCGCTATATTATATTTTCTCGCTCAATGTCCCCTGAGCTATATTGAGGCGTCACGGGACAGCAATGCTCAGCACACAACCGCAGAGAAAAAGTCAATGTGGCCATGCGTTTTGTATGCCAAAATGTGTGAGCCTTGGTGTGTACCAGCAGCCGTTGTCACCATTGTAATTTTCACGACTTTATCTTTAAAAGGATGCAATTTCCCACTTCCTAGTTCCCAGACTGGGTTTGGAGATATTATAGTTTTACAGAAACATTTGGGAATGTCTGTAATGTAAGTTAAAGCGAATACCGAAAGGAATCCACATATTTTCGATTTCCTGTTTGCTGTATTGCTTATTAAATGCCAGACGTCATGATGGCATGGCTGCGATTGATGGTATGCCGGATGGCCAGGGTACGAACTCACGGTAAGTCAGCTTGGCCGGCAGGCATCAACAGGCACAATAGTCTTACACTGATATTGTCACCCTCAGTTATTCGTCACCATTCAGCAACAAGCCCAGAGCTTCGGGCTTTGAACCGTAAGGTACAGGTGTAGGAGCAAGACATTGCGCCGATTCGAAGGGCTGGAAGGGCAGCATCGCGGGGGCTGGAATGCGCCTGAGCGGCTGAGACCATCCCATTGGGACGGGGGTGTTCTGGGTGCACTCAGCCGCTCATGCTGGGAAATGCATCCAATGGAGCTCTCCATTCGAATGATTAGGGTGACCTTTAGTCTAGAACAAGGAAGGATGACTGTTGGCTGGTCCCGAGGATAGATACAAAGGACAGGTAATGACATCATATAATGAATCGAAGACGGCCCCGGTCCGATCCTCTGATAGAGGTTCATCAACACGTATCTCGTTGTGGACCATTTCGTTTTCCTCCACCGTAGTTTTTGCACCGACCTGAACCGGTTGGAAGGTAACGATGTTCAGAAACCATTAAGATCGTAATTGTATATTCGTTGTATATTCGTTCACTGAGCAGGTAGGACAGGTTCAACACAGTGAAAACCTCATCCTATCATCCAATAATTATAAAGTAGTCTTCATGGAATGGAAAGGCTAACCTAACTCAACGAATATACAATTACGACCTTAATGGTTTCTGAACATCGTAATCTTCCAACCCATTGCGGTCGGTGCAAAAACCACGGTGGAGGAAAGCGAAATGGTCCACAACGAGATACGTGTTGATGAGCCTCTATCAGAGGATCGGGCCGGGGCCGTCTTCAATTCATTATATGATGTCATTACCTGTCCTTTCTATCCTCGGGACCAGCCAACCATCATCCTTCTTTGTTCTAGACTAAAGGTCAGCCTAATCATTCGAAACGGGTGGGGATGGGGTAGAGCTCCATTGGATGCATTTCCCAGCATGAGCGGCTGAGTGCACCCAAAACACCCCCGTCCCAATGGGATGGTCTCAGCCGCTCAGGCGCATTCCAGCCCCCGCGATGCTGCCCTTCCAGCCCTTCGAATCGGCGCAATGTCTTGCTGCTACACCTGTGCCTTATGGTTCAAAGCCCGAAGCTCTGGGCTTGTTGCTGAATGGTGACGAATAACTGAGGGTGACGATATCAGTGTAAGACTATTGTGCCTGTTGATGCCTGCCGGCCAAGCTGACTTACCGTGAGTTCGTACCCTGGCCATCCGGCATACCATCAATCGCAACCATGCCATCATGACGTCTGGCATTTACTAAGCAATACAGCAAACAGGAAATTCGAAAATATGTGGATTCCTTTCGGTATTAGCTTTTAACTTACATTACAGACATTCCTAAATGTTTCTGTAAAACTATATCTCCAAACCCAGTCTGGGAACTGGGAAGTGGGCAATTGCATCCTTATAAAGATAAAGTCGTGAAAATTACAATGGTGACAACGGCTGCTGGTACACGCCAAGGCTCACACATTTTGGCATACAAAACGCATGACCACATTGACTTTTTCTCTGCGGTTGTGTGCTGAGCATTGCTGTCCCGTGACGCCTCAATATAGCTCAGGGGACATTGAGCGAGAAAATATAATATAGCGGAATTCCATGCATAAAATCGACAGCCGAATCAAGAACGTAGAGTCAATAGGGGTACTTCGATTACTAAAGCAGGCACGTAGGAAGAAGGAGGATGAGTAATTTCCAAGAGAAATGTGTTGTTCTTCCACAATCTCTTCCTATTAGAGGAGGCATTAACCAAAACATCCCCTTCTCCATATGTGCCGACAACCTGCATGTCAATGTTCTATGCAGTTTGTGCGATATTCTTGCTCAATAATGAGCTGCGGGGCAGAAAGCTTCTTAGGAAAGCTTAGAATAATCACCTCGACCCGTCAGTGAACGCTAAAACACGGCTGACCGGGAACGCGGCGGCACGGCGCCAGCCGCCGCGTGGTGCTAGTGTGCGCGTAACTAACGGGGAGACTTCAACGCCTGGCGCCGTCCCGACAGGCCTCCGTTCAACCGCTCGCAGCAGGCTAGGTTTTCGTCCCAGATTTTTTTGATTGGTATCCTACGGCTTCAAACATGCCAGGGACCAATAAAATTTAGTAGTGAAGACGATTAAAAAAAATCAAAATTCGACGATACACCCTAAATTAAATAGGCACGTAGAAGGGCTAGGAAATAAGACAATATGCTGGACTGACGTAGGATCAGGAAGCATAATTTCTACGACGAAGACTTCATGTAGTTCTCAGCATTAATAGTCGACACATGACGCATAAACAAGCAGCATCCTTCTACAAAGAAATATTCAAGTTTCAAGAAGCCACCAGGATGCTGACTCCCATTTCCATACCAAGCCGTCTGGCCTGTTGTTGTAGCGAAGTGCTGCTCTGTTGTTTTAGCATATTCGCCTCTCAGCGAAAGGCCGCGGTAAGGTTCGCGCGCCTTCTATGCCGTTCCGTCTTTGTGGCTCTCTGGACTTTGGCCGGAGCTAAAACCGGAGCCGGAGCTGCCATCTCCATCTCCAGGGCGACCTCTGAGCGTGCCCATCCGCCGGATTGGCCCGCCTAATCGCATGAGCCGGCCGGCGCCGACTATGGGTCGGCCAAAGTGACCGTCGCCGCCGACCCCGACTGCCCCGGGCGCGTATTCGCCAATTGTATTACACGAATCGGCCCATCAACTAGCGACATCTCTAGTGCGACGTCATAGCCATCCGCCGCGACAATGCATGCATTGAGGCTAGATTTGAGTTGAGACTATTTTTGCATTGTATATGGCTACCAGACATGTATATGTCGCCGTAGCCGAGTGGTTAGAGTCTCGGTGTGATGGACGACAGGTCGGTGGATCGATTCTTGCTTCAGCGGTTCTTTTCTCTTAAAAAGAAGTCGGTCGTAGACGCGCATTTTTGGCCCCTACGTTCGCACGCCAATATCGTACGCCCAATAAATCTCTGACAAGTGTTCATCTGATTAAGGAATAAGTTGCAAAAGAACTGCAGTTGCAGTCTATACCTGAACTACCAATTTTGTTACGGCACTGTCGATATTCGTCAAAGTCGGAAGAGCTATTATGAAACACACTCGAATGACAACGGATTCCTGTATTATTTCATCGATCAGATAAGACATGTATAGAGATAAATTGATGACAGCCCGCCGTGAGCATGCAACTTAACAACCAGTCCCAAGTTATCTTCATAAACGTCTAATATAAATCTTTTGACTTTAACTAGATTCCAAGTAAGAGGACTTAGGTATCCCCCTGGCGGCTGAAATGTAAAATTAAAGTTAGGGCATAGCTCCTATAGATGACGCTCTGACGGCTGGAAACTGATTATCTCGTCCCGTGATTACGCTAACAGCTATGCCGAACTTTTTTTGTGCATGGTGATTCTTACACGAAAAGCTATCTAATAGCCTGCTTACCAGCGTGCGATTTTTACTTTTTATCTTAGGTTTCGCTACTTTTAGGTACTTTACCTTGCCAAGTGCCCACCTACTTTCAAAAGGTCAGCGCCGCCCCTGTCAACGCTGCGTGCTATCACCCATTGGCAGTGAGAAATATTGATCAATGAATGGCCATCGCCCAGCACCATTTGTCTTTCCATTGGCTACGTTCGCATAGTATGCACTATGCATTAGTGATGTCAATCACAGAAAATGAGAACACCGCTACCAAACCAAATACAAACAAAGACCATTGGAAAATACCGAAACCGAACCGATCGGTTGGACTGCAAATATTGCAACATATTCATTAGAAGAATGCCTACGTCTGATTTCTTAGGTGCACGCCGTTGCAAATGTATAAAAAACGCACAATGACATATGACACGAAAATCGAAGTCGCCGAGTGGATTCGAACCACCTACCTCTGAAACACCAGTCCGATACCCTAACCACTCCGCCACGGCGATAACGTAACCCGTGTAGCTTAAATGTCAATAAGTTAAAACCTAGCTTCAATAGACGCCACCAGGGCGAGGACCGAAAGTATGACGCCACGCTGACGTCACTCAGGAGGCAAGCTATTGGTTGGCCGATTCGTGTAATACAATTGGCGAATACGCGCCCCGGGCGGCGGTCGACGGCGGTCGGTGGTCGCCGCTCGGTCGGCGGAGGCCGCGCGGTGACCGGGAGCAGGAATATGACCGCCCCCCTCCCCCATCCCCCGGGACACCATCTAGTGTGACGCCGGCATAATAGGCCTGTCTCGGGCCGCAGAGATACGGCAGACAGAGGCGCGATTAATAGAGAAGCACGCGCGTCGATAGTACGTTCGCCGCGCCACCCGCCTCCCCGAACGAGACGCAAGAAATGCGTGCCGGAAAATATTCACCAGCGTTTATTGCAGCAAAGGGGACAGTTAGTGTTGCTGAAACTAGCAGAACTGAGCTGCATAAAATAACTCGGATGACCATCGAAGTGAGTGAATGGCTTTCGTGGCCGACTGAACGGTGTCCAGCGGCACAGCATGTGTTCAGGCGCCAACCATCCTGCCATCTAGCGGCAGAGACTCACAACAATCGCATTCCCATTTCTGAATTCGGCCGAGTTTCAGATAATCGTGTCTGATCAAACTTATTACCTATATCACTAGTTTTGCCACACATAGAAGCGAATCGTTTGTAACATATGCGTTTGTGGATTTTATATTGTCCCTGCATTGACGTTGCATCATAGGGCATGACTCATCTACATCATGACTCATCTACATGATATGGTTACCTAAGGAGACGAATCATATCCCAGAAAGTCACTTATTAGATACTGACGATCTATTCGCTATAGTATTGCAGCATAGTAAAACGTGTAACACATAAGATACGGTTCCATGACAACTGAACCAGTGACAACTGAACCAGGACAACTGAACCAGTGACAACTGAACCAGTGACAACTGAACCAGTGACAGCTGAACCAGGGACAACTGAACCAGTGACAACTGAACCAGGGACAACTGAACCAGGGACAACTGAACCAGTGTCTACTGAACCAGTGACAACTGAACCAGGGACAACTGAACCAGTGACAACTGAACCAGTGGACAACTGAACCAGTGGACAACTGAACCAGTGGACAACTGAACCAGTAGACAACTGAACCAGTAGACAACTGAACCAGTGACAACTGAACCAGTGACAACTGAGCCAGTGGACAACTGAACCAGTGGACAACTGAACCAGTGGACAACTGAACCAGTAGACAACTGAACCAGTGGACAACTGAACCAGTGGACAACTGAACCAGTAGACAACTGAACCAGTGACAACTGAACCAGTGACAACTGAACCAGTGACAACTGAACCAGTGACAACTGAACCAGTGACAACTGAACCAGTGGACAACTGAACCAGTGGACAACTGAACCAGTGGACAACTGAACCAGTAGACAACTGAACCAGTGGACAACTGAACCAGTGGACAACTGAACCAGTAGACAACTGAACCAGTGACAACTGAACCAGTGACAACTGAACCAGTGACAACTGAACCAGTGACAACTGAACCAGTGACAACTGAACCAGTGGACAACTGAACCAGTGGACAACTGAACCAGTAGACAACTGAACCAGTGACAACTGAACCAGTGACAACTGAACCAGAGACATCTGAACCATTGACAATTAAACCAGTCACAACTGAACCAGTAGCCCAGCCAGCAATTTTACTCCGGGCCCAAGCAGGCTGAAGTGAGGCTTGCCCGATATTTTTAGTTGGGCGAAAGTCGGCTAGCGCTTGGGCTAAAGGCAGCTAGCGTTTGGGCAGTCGGCGTATGACTAAAAAACGCCGACTAAAGCCAATGCTCTGCCGGAGGTATGCGCGCTCGGCGAGCTCAGGACAGCCGTAGTTACGCCCTAGCTGTGCGACGTTTGGCGCAAGCCTGATGTAAGCCCGAGGAGTCAATCCATTTATATACCGGAGATTCCTCTGGACCCAAGCGGGCTGAACTCTGCCAAGCCCACGTTACATGCCCTGTCTGTCCCGAGTTACGCCATCAAAGTGAATATTATTTATACGTTGCTAACTATTCGGGCGTCCCAGGTGGGCGTAACGGTCAGTTCGCGACCACCAGGCCCTGTCAGCCCTGTCAGCCATCGTACGGCTCTCGGACGGACACTGACACAGATCAATTGGCAGACCGGCAGATTGGTACAGTCCGTCCGTACAGCCACGCGCTACCTTGTACCTATACAGCGCAGTACGACATTAGAATTGTTTCTGGTTCAGCTGTCCACTGGCTCAGTTGTCCACTGGTTCAGTTGTCCACTGGTTCAGTTGTCCACTGGTTCAGTTGTTCGCTGGTTCAGTCGTCACTGGTTCAGTTGTCCACTGGTTCAGTTGTCCACTGGTTCAGTTGTCACTGGTTCAGTTGTTCGCTGGTTCAGTCATCACTGGTTCAGTTGTCCACTGGTTCAGTTGTCCACTGGTTCAGTTGTCCACTGGTTCAGTTGTCCACTGGTTCAGTTGTCCACTGGTTCAGTTGTCCACTGGTTCAGTTGTCCACTGGTTCAGTTGTCACTGGTTCAGTTGTCACTGGTTCAGTTGTCTACTGGTTCAGTTGTCCACTGGTTCAGTTGTCCACTGGTTCAGTTGTCACTGGTTCAGTTGTCACTGGTTCAGTTGTCACTGGTTCAGTTGTCTACTGGTTCAGTTGTCCACTGGTTCAGTTGTCATACTGGTTCAGTTGTCCCTGGTTCAGTTGTCCCTGGTTCAGTTGTCCCTGGTTCAGTTGTCACTGGTTCAGTTGTCGCTGGTTCAGTTGTCACTGGTTCAGTTGTCACTGGTTCAGTTGTCGCTGGTTCAGTTGTCACTGGTTCAGTTGTCCCTGGTTCAGTTTTACTGGTTCAGTTGTCCCTGGTTCAGTTGTCCCTGATTCAGTTGTCACTGGTTCAGTTGTCTGCCTACCATAAGATACACCACTCAGCAGCTTTACTCAATTTTTAAGAATATTCAAAAGCAGAAAATGCATATGGGAAAAATTGTTGATGACACTCATATTTCGTGCCCAGGGACGACATGGTCATGGTCGAACAGTTCCACTCGGAGCAATGTGCAGCGTCTGAAAGCTTTCTCTGCACTTAGGCTAAAAGAAAAGCCGGCCTATTCTGAAGTTAACAGCGCTGTCCGGCTATTGTCACGGCGCGGCTCGGCGTACTTGGCACTAGTAAATATCGGTAACGGCCGGCGCCGTTCCCTGTTGGACACACAGCTGCCAGCGCGCGACGCTCAGCCATGTTCACGAGGCTATTTGTCGGCCGACCTTTGGCTACCCGGCGGCGGAGCCCGTCCGACCGGGAAGACGCTGCTCTCAAGACAGGACGCGGGACGGCGAGAGCGTTACTCAAGAGCCGCCCACGCTCGGCTGAGTGAGGTGCAGGTCCGAGGACATTGCTTGCAATCAACAAGAGCCCTCTTCTCACTCTGGGTACTTACGAACTCAATCCTGAGATCGATCTTCAACACTAGCTGACCCTAAGCTAATCGCCTATGGTCTGATGGCAATGGACTGACTCATTGTCTTTGCTAATGCAAGAAAAATTGTGATCGTCTTTGATTGTCCTTTTAAGGACACTGCCTGTCTATGATTTACTCTTCTCATCTCCACCATCCCACCGTTTTCTATTTAACCTCACCTGTCGCTGCCGACGATCCGTTCGACTCACCTCCGTCGTTGTCGATGCCGTCTCGGCAGTCCATCTCCAGCGGAATGGAGCAGTTGACGCCGTCCCAGCCGGTGGCACACGCACAGCCGTACCAGCCGTCCGTTTTGACGCACGAGCCGCGACCGCTGCAGCCGCCCGGACAGCCGGCTGCAGGGGACAGACGGGTCAGTCGTGGGTTTGGTGGGGTGTGAAACAGAGGGAGAGGGAGGTAGAAAGGGAGGTAGAAAGAGGGAGGTAGAAATTGAGAGAGATAAAATCGTATTTAGCTCCAAAATCATATATTGAGTAGCCACCGAGCCGTCTATCTAATTTCATGCTCTATTTCATTTTCTATTTCATATGTCTATTTCATACTCAAGCATTCATCTTCAGAGCACCGTCTCATAGTTTTGACGTCATCCACCTTACAAAGTAAACGCCACTCATCAAATTTGTATGCTGTGTAGCTAGTTGCTAACAACTCGGCTGGTTGCCATGATAATGTTCCAAAGTCAACCAAGGGCAAAGCGGCTTGCACACAACGCGGAACACTGCAGTGCGGCATCGTCAACGAACTCCCGCAACAGGTATTGATTTGCCCACTTCACGCTGTCGTGACGTCACTGGAGCGCAGTGCACATGACGTGTGAATTAGTGCCGGGTCGGCCGGACCGCAGTGTGATGAAGTGCTCCCGGAGCGGCGCCATAACAGCGCGCCCGGCCGGCTATATAGCCGCCCGCTGAAAGCCCTTCGCGGAGCCGGCTGCGCGTTCCCCGAGTCGCACCCGCTCCCCTGTCCCGCGAATCGCCGTGATGCATGAGGCAATCATTTTTGTCCGCCGGCGCCGCGCACAATGTCGAAAATCCATTGTGATGTTTTTGCGCTGTCCGGGCGGGCACATCGTTAAATTTACATCTCCTCGGGTGGCCGGCGGACAGTGAGAAATGTTGCGCCTTGTCAGTGGATGGTGTCGACACATTATCAATGGTGGGGCGAGCCGGCCGGCCCCACAGACGGCCCGCTACGAAGGCTCGACTTTTTGGCAGCAGCTCAACCAATAAGAATGGCTGACACGAAGAGGGCACTACAAAGTTTGGTCTCGCCCATTTCGAGACCGAGATGAGCCCGAAAGCGGCCCTCCACAAAAACATCGCCCCATTGGCGGCCGGCGTCAATAGTGAGGATGAAATGAATGTGTGATTAGATGAGAAGAAACGGCAGCCGTCGAGCTCCTGCAGAATCGGCGGCGGCCCTGCCGGAGAATTACTGTGGGCAGGGCAATGGCAGCCCTCCGAATGACCGCTCCATCGCTTCCAGCCGACCGCTCTGAAGGCAGCATGCATGGCCGATGAGCCAATATCGTAAAACTGAAATCGATGATGGGTAATCGATGCTGCAAACGGCCAACGGTATTAAAGGTGACCGGTCGGGCACACATTTTTAATGAACTCAATATCACTCGCCTTTAACCCTTTGTTAGGCGAGCGCAGCGGGAAATACCACAAGAGCTAGGCCATCGACAAATGGGTTTGTTTAATCAAGGCCCGGCTTCAACTACCATTACCAGACTGATATTGATTCCTCTGAACTCCAACGTTCCGCAAAGAGCCTATCATCCCTCAGTCGATATCATTTGACATCGGCTTCGAGGCGTTACATTTCATCAACTCGACCGTTAACACCGATTAATCTATCAGCTCTTGCGTCAGGATTTCTCGGAACTCAATAAACTGGTGCCACCAGTCCAGTTTGACACGAACCGTATACGAACCACTCGAGTACCATTCTTTAGTTCCCCACCCCGCCGCGTGGCGATGGTCTGTTTGTGGTAGGTCGCGACACCTTTTGCCTGTGGCGCCCACCTGTCCTGTTCCCGTCACAGCCTGTATGACATATCCACATGCTTCAATACCCATCCTTCCAGGGGTTCCTCCCACTCCTGCCGGGATCCCAGCCCGCCTCCCAGGAGGTCGGTGCCGCCGACCCCGGTCCTCCTCGCCTCAATACGGACAGGACGGCTCGATACCCGTCGCCTCCGTCGTCGCCGTCGGCGCCGCTGAATGCCGTCGCGACACGTCGTCGATCAGCCGGTGACGGCGGCGCCGGCAGCAGCTGGGAGGTTCTCAGTGGGCGGACACCACAGCGGCCATTCACTTCACCTTCACTCGGCGGCTCTGTCAGATTTACACCAGGGCACAAAGGACCGGCGCCCCCTCCCCTCCCCGCGCATCAGAGTTCCGTCGCTATCGACGAGGACTGCACGTGAAGACGGCGCGTGGTTCCGCGGGGAGCGGCACGGCTGCCGCGCGCCGGGCCCATCGCTACGGAGATCGTTACGGGTCGGCACTCCGATGGGAATGGTGTGGACGGCATTATGCGCCAACGAAATCGATTCGGATATTATTCAGCGGTGCGATAGGTGCAGGAAGGTGAATAGCAGCGCACAAACAACGAACGGAATAGGCTTCATAAAGGTTGTTGAGCTTCGAGCCGATGCAATCAATCGTTTATACTGCTATATAGCGTACGGTATTTAAAATTATTTTACAAAGAGGGATAATGAGAGAAGTACAAAAGTGCCGGGTTGATTCGATCCCAATTTGAAAGAACATTGATATAAAGCTGAAATATATCCGATTTCCGGTAAAATTATGTGTCAATTAATTCTAGTACAAGAATGAAATGCCAAAAAATTACACGCCCAGTCGCAAGTGATGCGATCAACACAAATGAAGATATCTGAATAATTGAACGACAGTCACATCTTGTATGCTTTTGATCAAGGTAAACACGCAATGAACCTGAAACATGCACATGTCAATCTGCACCGTGGTTGCGGTTTTGCAAAACATGCACCACCAACTTCGGACTAATTTCGCCAATCAGCAGAGTGGCATTCCAACTCGACCGAAGCAAACCGCACCTAACAAAACAGTAGCGGGAGCGCAGTGCCGGGTTCGCGTTCCCAACACTGCCGCTCGTATCGACCCGTACCGAATTACGGAAGTCCGTCCATTAACGTTCAAGAGATAGCGCGAGCAGTAAAAACGGGCCCCTGCATTAGCCGAACGAACCGTGCCGAGTGAACACAGCTGGACGCACAAAACGCACCAACGTCGGGTAATGCACGGATAGTGCATTTCGGCAAACTCACAATGCAATGGAAAGTTCGAGGAAACGCACTGAAAACAGACTTAATAGGATTGATTTCAATAGAAATGCAACTTCAATACGGCTAAGATTAAATCGTGGTATACCCTGCAGGATTCGTGGTAAGCAAATATCTCATTCTGATCCATCAGTCTCCTGACATTGAATCCACGGACAAGCACTCTGTAAATAAGCATTGCTGTGTTGAAAAATAGTATGACATTTATGTGCTGCACTTTCATATCATCTGAGCGCAAAATAAAAAAGCATTTTCATAAAAAAATATTGCTGAGCTATCGGAACACTGCCCCGTCCCTACATGGTCAAATCCAATATTGGAGCACTCACGTATGCTGCAGTGTTGTCCGTTCCATCCCTGGAGGCAGACACAGGTGCCGTTCTTGCACTGTCCGTGCTCGCTGCAGCGTGGGTCGCACGTGCGGAGGTCACAGAGCTGACCGTTCCAGCCCGGGTCGCAGACGCAGTCACCCGCTTGACACGAGCCGTGCGGGCCGCAGTCCAGGTTACACCGAGCTGAAACAAAAATACAGTCATTAATTCGGAATACACCTCAGTGAACACTGAACACCACCGTCACTGTCACGATTCCGTTCATGTCAGCAGCACTTTGGCAGCACTGAGCTCTGATGGTCTGGACAGCTCACGACCTGGCGCACAAGTCTGTCGCAACACAGTCGCCCCGGTGCACTGTGCCGGCGCACGACGCTAAGCCCGGCTTAGAAGCGTCATCTGATGTAGCCCGCCGGCCGGCGAGACGTCGGTTTATCACAATTTAGCACGCAATTACGCGCCGGATTCGGAGATATTTGCCAGATGACGGCGCTCGCTGCAGCGGCCGACATGAGACACGAGCGCCATGCTCGGCGACACGACTCCGTCAAAACGGGAACGGCCTGACACTGTAGCGAGCCAGAGCGACATCGTCGACCAAAGCCGGGCGGTGGGGAGGCAGTGGGAAAATGTCGCTATCGCTGCGGGCGGCGCCGGTGGCGACGGCGCCTCGGGCGTGTCTCGGCGCCAAAGTTAGGTCGTTAAATCGCGGCCTGTCGGCGAAGAGTGACAAAAACAGAGTCTTCTATTGACACGGGGACAGGACGGTGGGCGCGAGGCCCGTCCGCTGGTTTGAGTGGCGTGTTCGGCCGATCTGATCGGCACCGGGGGCGGTGGCCGACAGACTCCGATGGAGGGCGTGTCACAGGCGGTCCAACCGCGGACGGAGTGACCGATGGACCACACTGTCACAGCGACATACTGTCAGGGGTTCTACTGTTGGACGGAGACAGTGGTGCCAGCAGTCCGACGTGGTTTGCATTATCTATCGCGAGACACGAGCGACATGTGAGACGGGAAATGCCGCTGTATGAAGCGCAGCAAGGCCGAGTGATATTGATACCTAACGGGATCAGGTCACTCAGGCTTCAATAATAAATACATTTATTTGAGCCGCTTCAAACGTATCTAAATATAAGATGTTTTGCAGGGTTGTTCCAAGAATACGAGTAGTTCCTTTTTACTTTACGCAATAGATATCAAACATCAGCAAAGTAATATTAAATAAAAAATGAAAGACGAATGTCACAAACAGCATCCAGCAGAATGTTCGCAGCTTTGAAAAAAAAAAAAACAAATTAAAGTCACATTCATCATATTCCCTGAAATAATCCCCTCTAACCAATCAATATGAAATCCTCTATGTGTAGGTATGTACTATATGATACAACTGTTTTCCACAATCCCACTCAGTCACTCACGTTTGGCGCACTCCGGCCCGGTCCACATCTCGTCACACAGGCACCGGTCGCGGCTCAGGTCGAACACGCCGTGACCGGAACAGTCGGGCAGACAGCGGCGGATCCTCTCGTCGGGCTGCTGACACGCCGATCCGACCCAGCCGGCCAGGCAGACGCAGACGCCCTCCGTGCACACCCCGTGACCGGAGCAGGTCGGGTCGGCGCAGTCGGCTGGCGGAGGGGGGACGGGTCACTGGGGGTATCTGACTGGATCAGGTCGGGTCGGCGCAGTCGGCTGGCGGGGGAGGAGAGGGGAGGGTCACTGGGGGTATCTGACTGGAATAGGGGTCGGGTCGGCGCAGTCGGCTGGCGGAGGGGGAGGGGAGGGTCACTGGGGACACGAGACCAGGAGCATTTGCTGGTACAGGTTTGGATGAATATTGATACTGTGTTGGCTAGTCCAAGGCAGTTTGGTTATATCTACGTTTTGCAATGATAGATGAATCATATTCAAGAATATTATCACAACCATATATTTAAACCTATTGCCCCGGTTACCAGCACATAACAAAGAACGGCGAATGCATTTAGTATTATTGCCATGGCGGGTTTGTTTGAAGAAGGCTATGCCACGATGTTGCAATGTGTGATGGTGATAATGCATGTTTAATGGCCCCCGCACTAGTGCCACAGCCTGACAGCGATGTCCGCGGGTCTTTGAAGTGCACCGAGCGCTCTAATGATGTGTCACCATGACGTGTATGAAACATTAGTAACTTCTAACGCACATAAAGCGGCAGAATAAGTGTCATTAGCGACATTTACGACCCTGTAACATTTCAAAGCCGATTGTTGCCTTTCTAATCAAAAGCGTTCCTTGGAAATTCGTGGGCAGTAATTTACAGCGTAAAATATGTATGCATTCAGCCGCGACACTGATCATAAGATAAATTTTACGCGAAGGGAAGACGGTTGTAAGCATTTTCAAGTGGTTCCGGGCTCCGGCAATCAAGCTTAAAATAAACTAACGCAGCAAGCCGCAAACAACACATTCGCTAATGATCGTATGAGAGCGAATCAATCAGAATCTCTAACGCTGCGACCAAAGCAATCTGGCTCCAAGGCAGCGGCAATCAATCCGAATTATCCCCCGTAACATCTGTCCAGCAATCAGAAATGAACAGCCATTCGGAGCTAAGCCGCCATTTGTTGAGGCAGGCGGAGCATGCACGCTGCCCTGACATGTGACCTCATTAACCCAGCAACTGAGCTCCGGCTGACGGCGGCGAAGTCGGTACCTATCGGATTGGGAATCCTTCGGCGGCGGCCCCGACGAACTCTCGCCTGGGTACCGTCCCCATCGGTGGCCCCGACCAACTCTTCAGGATACTGTCTACACCACTGCGGCCCTGGCGAACTCTTCAGGTTAGGTACTGTCTATACCTCGGCGGTCCCGAGAGAGGCCGGCTGGACACGATCGGGGCCACCATTCGACAGCGGCCGCCGCCGGATACCGTCCCGTTGAGTGCCGCTCCGGCCGAGCCCACAGCATGCCAAGTGGTGGACGGAGGGTGGACGGAGGGTGGGCGGTGGATGGAGGGTGGAGGGAGGGTGGATGGAGAAAGGGCGGAGGGTGGTGGACGGACGGTGGACGGACGGTGGACGGACGGTGGGCGGTGGACGGAGGGTGGACGGAGGGTGGACGGACGGTGGACGGAGGAGGGCGTGCAGTGAGGGGGGCCAGGATGAGCGGAGGCAGTGGAGGTTGGAGGCAGAGGAGAACAGGAGGCGGAAAGCGGACGGAGGGTGGTAGGAGGGCAGACAGAACTGGTTGACAGATGTGGGGAGAAGGAAAAGAGGCATGGGAAAAGGCGAGGCGCACTGCTAGATAAACATAGACAATGGAGTGCGGTAAAGCCAGCGGCAGGGGTTCACTTCAATTCACTTCAATTCAGTTCAGGCGACGGACCCACCGCCTGCTTCACTGCAGCTCTCCGAGCCACCCAGAAAACTCCACTCGGTCCACCCCACTCCGGACAGAGTAATCCAATATTCCCGGAGGCCGCTGCGCTCGTCGCCAGTCGAATTTCCAGTTAGAGGACGGCAGATATTCGGGCGAGCCGCCGACATGCCCTTATCAAAGCTTTCTTCGGGCTCCGCGCCGCCGAGCTATTTTCGAACCGCGACGTTGCTGCTCATAGCGGAGACTTTCATCGCATTTATGCAATTCGCTGGGGTGCCATATGGGTCTGACTTTTCGTTTCGGTCTTGTATTTCGCTCGGCTGAACTTTATTCTGGCGGTATCACCGCCTCATTTCGGCTCTTGTCTCCTTCCCTCTGCCTTTCCGCTCTCTACCCTGTTCGTCCTACCGGCCCCGACGGCGGCCGTATTAACATTTTACTCAAGGCCCTAAATACAATTTTACTCATCTTCCCGATGCCGTCCATTGTTGGCGACATCAACTATTCAGGCCGTCTCCGCGCACCGCGAGGCCGCCCGCTCGGACCGGCTGCCTTATTGATGCGCGTCTCGTCAATAGATGGCGCTGGGAGGCGGCCGTCTACGGTAAATATTGTATACGGCACCCGGTGATGAACGAGGATCCTGCCGGCCGTCTGACGAACACATTTACTCTCGGCGCTGTAAGGAGGCGGGCGGTCCGACGGCAAAACGAGCCTTCGTAGCTCGTTACCAGGTGGATCAGTCACCGCCGCCGGCGGCCGGGAGGCGCGGGGCACACAGAGGGGGAGAACACGAGCCACGAGCTGAGGAGGGGGAGGGCCAGAGAGACTGAGGGAGGAGGGGAGGAGTGATGAGAAGAATGGGTGTGATGAGATAGAACAGAGCTTTCCGGAGCGTTCCCAGTCAGCAACCCCTGCGCCCCCGGCGTCCGATCTGCACAGGTGTCTCCGCAGTTGCCGAGTTGCATCAGAAAATCGATCGGTATTAGAGCCACTACACGGTTTGTACATTGTGGTGGAGTCCGGAATGATTGGGGCCAGAACTATGTGAGAGAATTCAGAACGTAAGAGGGAGTCCAAGACACCGGCATGTGTGATGAAATCCTGAGCATGCAATGTTATGCCACCTCGGTATGTGTCGTTATCATCCAGCTTGACAGTCGCTCCACAAATGCCTGCAGCATGCACCCGACAACCAGCAGACGTCCCAGACAACATGCAATGCAGGCAAACCCATTGTTGATCCAACCTACAAGCCGGTAATCACTGACAGTGAAGCGGTCATCGCCACCCAAACCGAACACCTTGAAACCCCTCCGCACCCTAGAATCTCTCAACTAGCAGAACCATCCCCGTTGTCTGCTCACCTGTCTGACAGAACTCGCCCTTCCAGCCGGGGGCGCACTCGCAGCGACCCAGCCGACAGACACCGTGTCTATGACAATCAGCGATAACACAGTCTGTGGCCGGGAGGTCACACTCTGCGCCCTTCCATCCGTCGACGCAGTGGCACCGGCCGCCGCTGTAGCTGCCGTGGTTGCTGCACAGCACGGGGCACACGCCTGGAGACGGAGGGAGGGGAGGGTGTCAGTCGCGGGGAGCTGAGGGAGGGAGGGGTTACGAGAAATGTGCTGCAGCTCCCGACCGGCGCGGCGGTCGTTATTTGTTAGACGGCGTCAAAATTACTTCCGTCTGCATAATTCGCAGTGCGAGACCTCGCCTGAAAATGGCCGAACTGATGAAGAAAGTAGAAATATGAGCAGACAAAGATCAACAAACGGCAGAAAAGGAAATGAGCTGCATTCCTTAGATGATACACATCTTATGTTGGGTTAATCAGGGTAAACATAAACAAGGTCATAACTTATGACATAAGGTATAGGTACTGTAGCTGGTTTCAATTCAATTTCAATTCATCTACCCAAAACATTAGCTACAACACACAAATTACTACCGATGCGAGCCTCAAACCACCCAACTACATAGTACATATGTCGCGTCGCCGATGTCCGTTCGCTCCCATCTGGCCGAGGGTCTGGTGATCGCTCCTCGGAGACGTATCATCGGTATACGGGGAGCGCGTGGCTGTGACCCGGATGTACCCCACACCCCACCCTCCGGGGCAGGGGTCACTGTTCAGTATGCAGCCGCCGCGGACGGGGGCAGATGGAGCGGCCGCAGCGTCCGCGGGCACTCGGCCTAACGCTCCTCAGCCGCTCTTCAAGCGCGAACGAAACGGACCCCCATCAGCGTCCGAGGCAGAAGTTGAAGTCTGGAGCCAAAGCGGTCGCGTTTTCGTCTGCGGTCGACTGCTAAGCGAGCGATCGGCAGAGCGACCAGGTGGCCATCGGCATGGAATGGCCGTCACGTCTACAGGTCAGCTGCGACTCCCGATTCATTCACGGGTCGAGCTGAATTGGATTGGAACTTTCTCGGCACGAGGTACAGGTCCGCTCGATATAGTAGACGGCCGTGCTCCTGGGAGATCCGCGGGCAGTGACACTGCACGGCAAACTTGTGCTCTCGTGCAATTACCGTCACATCACGAACAGTCCAACTTCGTTCAAAGAGACAGGCTGATGTAATTTGCATGAGAAATATTTTATATTTTAAGTTCGAGCATACAATTACAATGGTATTTAAATGTTTTATTTTTACGCTACAAAAGACGTTGCAATGGAATATGCTACGCTGTCGTTTAGAAGTCCGCTTTTACGTGTGTGGCGTTTCATTCCGAAGCTCACCCACAATCCACAACATCTTCCACATTGTTGGGAAAGAAACAGCGTGTTCCCTCGTCATAAAAGAAACCGCCGCGTCACTCCCCTCCTAAACATATCGACCCCATCACCGCGTGATCCCACCCCTCGGCTCGGCGCCACGAAGCAGCCAAGAGCTAAAACACAAAGCCTGTTTTTCGACACTCGCCGCATGTTGGCCGGTATCGCCGCCGAGTCCCCAGCTTTTACACTAATGAGCTCCATGCATTACAGCGCAGAAACAGCCAGATTAGTGCCTTTAAAGAATGTCACGCGAAGGATGCAGCGGCATACCTCCGTGCCGTGTCGTGCCGCAGAGGCCCGGCTGTGTGGGGTGGGAAGGGCTGGGTGGCAGGAGTGCGGCTTACCCGCGGAACCCGGCGCTGTCGCCGGCGCCGGTGCGTGCTGTTTGCTTTGGCCCCGATCCGCGGCGAACAAGACAGTGGGATGGTGGTCCGCCGCCGGCGCCCGCCAAAGAAAAGCTCCCACCGCAATAACTCATGATGATGGAATTACAAGACATGAACAACACCGAGATAACTAGGTGGCTGGTTTATGAGGTGGTGGCGTGGCGAAGAAAAAATCCCTGGATTGTTGTCGTTCTTACTCACTTTCTTCGCCAACACAGTTGATTCACAACGTTGTAGATCGTATAAACGATTAGTTGTGCAGACATAGCTCTATTCATCATCGTCAGCTCTAAGCGCAGTATCATGTTGTCCTCTAAAGCCTTAGCATTAAGCCCCAGTGTCACCGTGAAATACTCGCCACTTCACCGGTTCTCGTAACTTCCTCCACATGAATCCGTAAGTTTCAGGAAAGTCATGCGCTTCGTGTCACAGAAACACGTGACCCTTGTCAACGTACGGTGATAAATTCAGCTCCGTTTGTTAGACCCGCATTATCAAATGCTACCGCGCCGACTAGCTTCAAGGCGCTCTGTCGACAGTAAATCAGTGCTCCTTGTTCAGCCCACCTAATAAAAAATATATTCATCTGGTCATGTGATAAAATAAACAGCTAAACCCGTCCCCATCTTCCCCTCTCCCTCGACCCCAGCTGCTTCACTCACTTGTGGCGCAGTCGGGTCCGGTGTAGCCAGGCCTGCAGGTGCACTCGCCGCGCCGGCAGCTGCCGCGGCCCGAGCAGTTGGACGGGCATCGCAGAGTGTCCGGCTCACCCGTCTGAACCGCCAGCTGCACCGGAACCGTCGCCTCGCCGTCGTTCAGCACGGCTACGAACCAGCGGCCCGGCTCCAGGTGTTCGATTAGCGTCACGTTCTCCAGCAGCTCGTCGCCGAACGGTGAGCGACCGGTGCGGCGCGACAGCACGCGCGCACTGCGCTCCAGCGCTCCGGCGCGCACGAAGGCGCCGAACTCGTGCTGCGTGACGCGCGGCGCGGCGTTACGCCGGCCGTACACGGCCAGACTGGCAGAGAGCGGCGCCGTGACGGTCAGGTTCATCACCTGCAGAGGGAGATGGGAAAGACGATGAAATGATTAGTTTGCGTAGGTATTTCGAAATTGCAAGCGGTAACCACCTCCCGGCCAACCTCTCGTAAACAATTACTGTCAGTTGCATGATAAATGGTTAAAGTTTATGGAGCTGGTAACCGTTTCAACTCCCCAGTAACCTGTCATCATCCCAGTAACCTGCAAGTGCACTACCGTCCAAGTAAACTGCTACGGTCCCAGATACCCATTTGCCGCCCGTCACCGTTTACCACCCGTCACCGTTTACCGTTCGTCCCCCGTTTACCGCTTGTCCCCGTGCAGCCCACCCATCGATCAGCCCCGCCGATAGCCGGTCGGTAACGGGTCGCGTTTTTGCCGCTGCCGTGACCGGTCCGTTAGTTTGTGGCCGGCGACCTGCTCGGGTCCCGCGACCGCAGCACGCCGCAGACGGCGACATATCGGCCGGGTCGGCCGCTCCCAGGCGGGGGCCGAACGGGCGGACCGCTCCATTTAGAGGCCATCGATGGATGGATGCCGGTCACGCGGCAGGTAGGGGGGGGGGACGAGCAGGTGGGGCGGGGTGAGGTGGTAATAGACGGCTCCTGCGCGGCGGTTACGGATTCTCCAGCGAGGAAGGTCGCGAGAGGTCACTGTATGGCTCTGTTGGCCCAGCTCTGTCCCGCTGAATCACGACGCCCCGACACGGCAGTTCCGGCGGCCGGCCGGTCGGGAGTGTGTTTGCGTGTCAGAGCGCCACGCTCGTCTGGTGTGCCGTCCGTAACGGAACAAAGTGTCGCCGTCCACCCACAAACCAACCCACAAAAACTAGCACCGTGTCCGAGAACAAGCTTACTAAAAGCCTACAAGCATTTCATTTTCTGAGAATAGTGGCCGCATGTTTACAGAATATTTGTCTGTAAAAATTCAGGCCACTACGAAGAGTTGTATGAGTGCCGAATTTTCTGTAAACGTCACTTTAATTGATTTCATGTGGTTTATCTTATCACTCATATGAATTTTCCGTACCCGGTACCGTATCTATTGCACAATGCTTTTGGTAAATCAAAACTGGATGTGGCTCGAGTCTGAACGTGTCAGTGGCTGCTAAGTGAATACCATTCGTGATGTCAAATTTTGTCTTGTTGGAAACCATCGTCACTAAGATTTCATATTTATCCCGCCGCGCAGGGGCGGCATATTGACTATCTATGACGTCAACAGGACAGCAATGTGCACTTTGAGATAGTCATGATGTCTTTCGAGGGCAGCTTTATGCCCTTTGTGGGCTTCGTAATGCCAGCTTTAGGACCGCAAAGCCATATCACCCTGGTGCTTGCGCTCCTTCAGGCTCAATTTCAAGACATAAGACACTTAGCCCTACGTAAGCCCCAGGCCTCTGTATGCATCCGCACCTGTTTGAGAAATCTATAACCCATCCACATTCCACCACATCCACGCACTGACCTGCGGTCGGTTGACGTCGTGTTCCACGGTCCACAGTTCGTGCGGGGCCAGCTGGTGAACGACAGCGGCGCCTGGGGTCAGCCGAGAGGGTGCCGGGACGGGTGGAGGTGTCCGCGGAGAGACCGGTGAGGACGCCCGTGACGGCGTGCCCGCTGCTGTGTCCGACACGTCCACTGTGGAATGGAGGGAACGGGCGGGGTTAGATGCAGGTCACATCGTCAGAACACGGTGTATATCGGCGGTTAATGCCGTCAGCAGGGAGAAGGGAGGCGTCGGAGAAGTAGAGAAAACAAACAGGAGTGCTGCCTGATGCGCCATGGGACACATTGGTTTACCCAGAGTCCCATCAGTTTACGTTTCAGCACCTTGGTTTACCAGTCAGTCAAGTCGTTCTGGGTTCCAAATTATCTCCGTATCCCCTGGGTAACGACAGCTAAGTGGAATACCAGTTGAGCAAACCACCAACCAAGCAAATATTTATCGTCCAATATGCAGTGTAACAATCATGATGGTATGTCAGTCCATTATTACGCATAGAATATCGTTAACTTGCTTTTCGTACTCCGTTCGTAAGCCGGAGCGCCCAAGAACACAATGTGCCGGACGCCGGTAGTTATTCCACTGGTCCCTAGATGGCGCTGGGATCGCAGCGCCTGAAGTTATGCTGTGCCGCAACACTAGGTCTGAGCCAATGCGGCCGTGTGGAAGCCTGAGAGAATGACATCAACATGGAAAAATGAACAGGTAAACGGCCAGAACTGTCAATACCTTTCTTGATAGTGAACAAAGCATGAGGAGGTGAGAGTAGGTATGAGATGAGAGAGAGAGAGAGAGAGAGAGAGAGAGAGAGAGAGAGAGAGAGAGAGGGGGGGGGAGGGAGATATGTACGTATAAAGCCATTTCGGTTTTTGTTTTCGAAATAACGATCGGTATTTAACCCCGTTGTGTTCATTCATTCTATAGTTCCTAAAGGAATACGCAAAGTTATCATGTAGCAGCACATGTTTTGCCCAACATTTATGAAATGCGCCAGCGATAAGCAGGCGTGCATCATTTTTCCTCACTTTCGCGCGAAGTCGCATCTCCAGTGGGGACAAACAGACTGAAGCTGTTTGCCGGCGCTGCAGTCTCGGCGATATTCGTCTTGCGCCGTCTGAAAACTCACAGAGCCGGGCGGCGCCAACTGGTCCGATAAATCACACCCCGCTCTGCATGCAGTACACACGCGGCCCGGCAGCAGCGGGCTCCGAGCGGCCCGAATAGGCCGCGCCGCTGCAGAGCTCGGCTCAAATGACGGCGCGCCTCCGGCCGGATCAACTGAGCGGCTTTACAGCTCAGTCGGCCGGCGATACACCAAACGACCGGCCTCGGATGGCAACGGACCAAACATATTGCCCTGGCGTCCGTCATCGCCGCGCCGGCCCTGCAATTCTGCATCCCCCGACTGTAGTTATCGCTTAGTGTTGATAAATTAACAACCGAGACTGAAATTCAGTGTTTTCCTGTAAATATATGCTATGCTATAAAACAAGCTTGAGGTACGAACTAAAAGCCAAGCCTCATATAGCCTGCTCTGAAGTCAAATATTATGGGATCCATCACCCGAATCAACACCAACAATATGAAAAAATTATGCAGTGGCTCCAAATCACACACCATCTATTCCGATTTTTGCCTTCCACGTCGGTACACCAGGCGTCTACCCCGCAGCTGGAGCGCTCTGCTAGTCTCCGGGGTGCACCGTCTAATGAAGCACGGATGTCCACGCATCTGTCCCGGCAGCAACATCCGTCTATTAGTCGTCGATCGATGCCTGGAGCCGCCCGACGGCGACGACGACGGTGCGACAGACGGCAGAGGGTTCTTGAGCGCCCCTCGGCCGCTGCCCGCGGCGCTCCGCTCAGCCATAATCAGCCGGCATTCATGTCCCGGCCAGAGCGCTGTAATTGCGCGGAGGAGGGATGGTGTCATCAGCAGCGATGCCGTTCTCGGCACTTCCGCGTTGGTCTATACTGCAGTCAGGCTGCGTTAGTGGAGGCGACTCAGCCGTTTGCGCGCAGAGCGGCTGGCCAGCCGGAGTCATTTCTGGTGCGGCAGCTGCGTTTGCGTGCGCCGGCACACGCAGCGGCGGATCCATATTGTCGACGGTCTGCCGGTGACGGCCGGCATTGACCCAGAGTCCGGCGGCGGGCGGCCCGAGGGCCCACTCGGCGCGCGGCCATCGTGGTTCAACAGCTCTCGACGAGCTGCGCCAGCGGCCTGAACAGGAGCTCAGAGGGCGCCGCTCAGTTGGCTGAGGACTGAGGAGTGCCGCCGCCGGCTGTCGAGGGCGCCGAACGACCCGCCCAAACAGCTCATGTCGACTCATGTCACACACTTAACGGAGAGCCGGCTATCAGGATGCAGACTGGCTGGACTATTTCCAGCGCCGACAATTTATCCCAACAGGGATTTCTATTCTTACATGTCGTTGAGAGCAATTGTTATCCGATGCAATTGTTTTATCATTAGAACATTATTATTATTATTATTAGAACACTGGCGTAACAAACGTTACGCCAGTGTTCTACAACGTGCAGCTTTTCTACAGCATTCATTTAGCAGGAGAGTGATTGCTGACTCTCAATGATCGGCACGAATGGCTATTTCAATTGAAGTACCGATACACAAGGTCAACCATAGAGCACCGTGTTGCAGGCTACCTGAAATACCTATCCAACTTGACTTTTAAATGGCCGACTGTCAAATCGGAACGCTAATTTCTAAACCAAATATCCATCGTATCACAACCATTTCTCTCCATTTAGAAAGAAGAGAGATGTCTAAAGCCAGATGAGCCTCCCATCTAATCGAAACCCCCGCACGCAGGAGAGCAGACAGACACACAAACGGACGCACGCAGCCATTTCGAGCTCGGTCCAATCGCAGCTCTCAGCCGAAGACAAAGGGGACAATTAACAGTTCTCTGGGAGACGATCGTGGCGCTCCTGTCGAGCGGCGGCGGCAGTGGCGCGGCGCGGCAGCCGGTGTCGACAGTCGGCCGCCGGGGGACGCGGCTGCTAATTTATGGCCGGGTTGCGTGTCGGCGACGGGAGACAATGCGCGCTGCCGGGCCGGACCGTCGGCCGCCATGTTTTCAGCCGGCTCGTCAGAGCTCGGCTCTCAGCTCTGCCACCGGCACCACCAGAATAGCCAGCCAGCCGAGCGGCGCCGGGCTAAACGCGCCCGGACTGCGGCCATTGAGACGGTGCCGGTGGCGGCAGACCGGCCGTGGTCGACCGTGCCGCAGCCGCCGGATTATGCGCATTGCTGAAAGGCGCCGCCACTCGCCGGCGGGAGGAGACCTCTCCTAAGCCGGTCATTTGGACCCGCCGCGAGTCGGATGGCCGCCTTATCTTTATGCCGCTCGGAGGATCGAGTCCGCTCCGAAATGCAGCTCCGACGTGGGATGAATTGCTATACATACATGGTAGGTATGTCCTCCAATTCCACGTCACATCTTGCCCGATGCATTTGCAGGTCGGCGGTGGAGCCCGGCTTTGACGGTGAACTGCTAACTTGGTGGGCTGACCGCTCTTCATGGCGCAGCTGGGCCAAGGCTGACCAGAATGACGCCGCTTTTCTCTGAAAGGTTGAGGTCAGTCGGGCCGGGATAATTCGCTGACCGGCTGCATCCCAATGCACCAGCAAAAGCATAACATTACTAAATTCTGGCACACGTCCTAAGCAAATAAAGCGAGCAAGATAGAACGTTTTATTCTTATAGCACTCAATGATTATAGCTCGAGATGATACCGTCAGCACTCAGCAGTCAAGATGAAGCAAGGAACAAAGATTGATAGCGTAATCACCAGCCAGTACCCGCCGCTCGGCCATGTTAACTCACGACAGTGGGCCTAGTGCCAGGAGGTGTTGAACCATCCTGCACAAGCATTAGTCACGCCTTTGGTCTCGCTGCTCTGGCACTGTCACTGCCCTGTCTTCCAGTCGCTCCATGAGTCACTTTGGCACCGCTGGGACGCCGATCAACTTTGTTCGCGCCGCGCTGACTCAGCGGGACTGTCACGCAGAAATTGCAGCCCGCTGCGACCCCGTTTCGGACTGAGATCATCATATTGCAATAAGTAATCAGAGCGTCATGCATTACTAATGTTTACTACCACTCGAAGACCGCCGTACATCTTCCAGGCTGCATCTTTTCGCCATCACAACGTTCAGCACTCCAGTGATAGACGAGGCCATGCATGGATATCGGCCCTGACTCTCATAGCATCTCCCCCCCACATCTCTGCAACGCCACCACCCCACCACCGCGGCGCCCCCATCTCCCCGCCCCACCGCTCAGTCCATATGGTCCGGGGAATAACGCCGACGGCGTCTGTGGGCGGAAATTACACGGCGCGTGGCGGAAATAGGTCCGGATCTGACACGGCTCGATCCGGTGAGCCGCGGCGCCGCAGAGGTCCCTGAGCGAGCAGAAACAGGGGCAAACAGCGCGTGACCTGCTTAGCTGCCTGGCTGGAGGGACGCTCTGCAGTCTCACAGGCCGAAGAAGGGAGATTATCTTCCTGTTTGCTACAGAGACCGGCGGAATATGTGCCCGAGATCTGGTGATTGCTGGGAGGTTATTTTGTTAAATCATGGCTATGAATGCGATTAGTTTAAATAAGACCTTTGTGTTTCCTTTACAGAAAACAAGCCAACTCCCATAAGGAGTGAAAAATATATGGTCGTTGTAATTAACGAGCCATGTCATTTCACACAACATCATAACTAGCTAACATCATAAATAAACGCACCCAGCACATCGTTCCGGAAAATTTGCTCCACCCGCCACAGAGCTCAGAGAGCGTGCGGGGTCACTGGGCCGGGGTCACTGAGAGAGTACAGCGAGGTCACTGCGGCGGGTCACGTCCGTCCGAGAACACATGACGTCGGTGACGCCGGCGCCGCCCGCGGGACCGCTCAGTCACCGGATGGCTCCCGCGGGCCTCCTCCTGCCGCGGACGCGCCGCTCTCCTGGGCGTCGTTACCGACATCCGACTGATGTCAGGTGACGGCTGACACCCGGTCACCGCCCCCCGGTGTCAGAAGGTCGGGCGGTAACCTTCTGACACGGCCTCTGTCAACACCCAGTCACCGCTCGGTCACCGTTCGGTGTCAGAAGGTTACCAGTTACCACTCGGTGTCATCCGGTAACCGCCCGGTGTCACGCGGTCACTGTCCGGAGTTGCAAGGTCATCATCCAACCTCGCGCCCACTACTAACCGCCCGCAGCTTGCAACGTCCGCCTTCAGAGTTCAGGGACCCTTCGTCAGTCAGTCCCCCGCTCGGTACTATCACCTGTCCCCGTCCCGCCCGTCCTGTGCGCAGGCACGGCCCTGACGGAGCACTTTACCATCACCTGTCTCCGCTCAGCCCGCCCGAAACGCAGGCACGGCCCTGATGGAGCAGTTTCGCACGCCGTAGCTCAACCGGCCGACGCTAAACGCTTCATGCCGTCGCCCAAATGCGCAGTTCGGGTAATCGTGTCGGGAGTATTTCTGGCAGTCACTGGCGGATCCAGGGGTTCAGCGCGGGGGGGGCATACCAGGTCACGGAGCCAAACCTAGGGTACCCCCAAATCCTGTTTTCTCATCGGATTTAGGCCACTTATTTTTCGTCATAGCCCTGACACGAGTTTTTTTTCTAAAAAAAAAAAAACAGAAATGGTAGGACACCTGACCCCCATTGGCAGATCCAGGAGGAGGAGGCATTTGGGACAAATACCCGGGCAGCGCCAGAAATCGATGAAAATTGGTGGGGCCGTTGGGGCCCTCAGCCCCTCAGAATGACTGGTGTATAGAGCCGACCCAGGGCTGCCGGTGTGGAACCTTAAGAGGTGCTAGCGTGGGACCATCAAAGGTATCGGTGTGGGTTCCCCAGAGGCAGTGGTGTGGGGCCCTCAGAGGCACTGGTGCAGGAACCACAAAGGAGCCCGTGTGGGCCCTCTAAGGTGCTGGTGTGAGGCCCTCACATGGACGTCGTTGTGGTGCCTCAGACACTGGTGTGGCGCTAAGCCCACACCATTCACAGATGGCTGTGTGTGGGGCCCTTGGAGTTGTTGGTGCGAAATGCGAATGCTTAATAACCCAGTAGGACCTCTCAGAGACCGACAAAGGGCCCTCAGAGGCCGGTAACAGGCCGTATGATGTCAACAATGGGCCTTCACAGGCCGGCAAGTGTCTTCAGGAGCCCTGTGGAATCCTTAGAGATCGGCATGGTACTCTCAGACGCCGGTGGGGCCCTCATAGTCACCGGTGTAGGACCTACAGAGTTACCGGTGGCTGGCTGCCAGAGGCACTGGTGTGGGGCCCCAGAGGCGCCGGTGTGGGACCCTGAGAGTCGCCGATGTGGGCCTCAGGAGACACTGGTGTCTCAGAGGTGGCGGTGTAAGGCCCTCAGACGCGTCTGTGTGCCCTCACAGTCGCCGGTGAAGACTTTCAAAGGCATCGTTGTGGGAGTCCTCACTCCTCAGAGACACATGCATGGGGGCAAGGGGTCTTCAAGAGACCAGCAAGGGCCAGCAGAGGGTTTCAGGAGCCTTGCGGGATTCTGGAGACCGGCGTGGTACTCTCAGGCGTCACTGGGAGCCCTCAGACTCACCAGTGTGGGGCCCACAGAGTGCAGGTAGGTAGCCGTCAGATGCGCCTGTGAAAGACCTTCAGAGGCGCCAGTGTGGGGCCCTCAGAGCCGCCGCCGATGTAGGGCCTTAAGAAATATTGGTGTTAGTCCCTCAGATTGGCGGTGTTGGGCCCTCAAAGGCGCCGGTGTAAGACCCTCACAGGCGCCGTTATGGGCCCTCAGAGACACTGGTGTGGAACTGTGGAGCCGTTCCATGCGGGTATGGGCCAGGACCCTAATTAGAGCTGACGCTTAATAGGTCAGCAAGGTCACTCAGAGGCCAGCACAGGGCCCTCAGAAGCCGGAGTGGGGCCCTTATGGAGATGTGTGATGTGTGATGTGACTCAGGAGCCCGTGACTCTGTGAGGTGCCCTCACGAGGCCTGCGGGTCTTATCTCAGTCGAAATAAGGCACGCTTGGACCCTGAGCGGCCAATTGGCACTGCAGGGTCTCTCGGGCCCATAGGGCACCATGCATCTAATGAGGCGGCACGCGCCCCTTGTGCCCCCCCCCCCCCTGGTTACGCTGCACTGGCTGCGGCCATACAGGTAAATCATATTCTAACCATCCCTATTCCCAAGCATAGGCGGCGGCCGATTCCTGCATGATTTGCGCAATATGAGTGCCATCGTTAGACAATACGGTCAAAAGGGTTGAAGCGGCATGACTCCCTGTGGTTAGAACTAAGAAGCAGCATATTTTTAGACAAAATAAAGCAATGACAACTAAATTGAGGTTACTAAAACCAGTGGCGCGGGAACCGGGAGGGGGGGACTAGCGGGGGCTGAGCCCCCCAGCCGAAAAGCTGGGGGGGGGGGGGGGCTCGTAATGTATTTGAGCCTCCCCCCCCCCCCAGCTGGAGGAATCGAAATCGGAAATCTACCAACATACCTAATTTCATAGATTCATACATAGGCGCGGGAACCGGGGGAGGGGGGCAATGGGGGAAGCTTGCCCCCACAATTCTGCGGCCGTGGGGGCGGTCCACACAACTTTTCATGAGGCCAGGAACCGTTGGGCAGCTTGTCCTTCCCAAATTAGGGGTTGTGGGTCACATAGGAAGAAAGCATGTAAGTGAAAAATCCACCTCTTTCACTGGCTCGGCAACTCATTTGACAGATTAAAACCTTTATTCCAGGTTGCCAGAACGGTAGTTTTTTCACTCAGCTGAGACGGAAAGACTCACTTTTTGCATTTTTTCGTTTTTTTTTTGTTGTTGTTGTTGAAAAGACCAAAGTCTGAAAAATAAGTGGCCTAAAACCGGTGAGAAAACTAGATTTGGGGGTACCCTAGGTTGATCTCTATTATGGTTCAGCCCCCCCCAGTCTTGAAGAAGTTCTCGCGCCGCTGACTAAAACGACTCTGATCACAAAAGTAGTTACTAGGAAGGCTTTCTAAACCATTTTTATTTAGTTCCTCGTTATAGGCGTAAGAAGTGTAAGTCTGAACGGGGGGGCATACTTGTACTGAATGCCCTCCCCAGGCTCCTGTCGGGGGGGGGGCATATGCCCCTAATGCCCCCCCCTGGATCCGCCAGTGCTGGCAGTTAGCTCATTTCACGTCTTCGCCGAAGACGAACAGCCATTCGCAGCTCCCGAGACGCCAATATTTGGAAATGAGCGGCATAATATGACGTTAATAATGACGCCCCCACATCCATTTTTTTACAGTTTGTCGGCAGCCTCTCATGCTATGCACACGCTGTTGACACTATCATAATAAACATCTCGGGCGGACAACTCGTCATTCTCCGGTCTCGGACGTGTGTCTGCCATGCGTTGACGGGCTCCGGGCGGCGGGGGAGGACGCCACAATGCTATCAGCAGAGACACGGCTGTCCCGTCTGACTGGGGCTTTGTGCTGATGTCAGGAAAACTGCGATTCGCCGCGACGCCCACAGCCCGGCTGTCAGAGAAGCAGTGTTCGGGTGGGACCCGCCGGGACGGTGTTGGCAGGTCCCGCAGCCGCCCGCACGACAGAAAAAAAGACGGATGTGTACAAAAGACTCGCTGTTATACAACAGAGAGGTGTGTGGAGAGGCGCCATCGCACACTACGCTGTTGATGTCGGTTGAGTGTTTCTGAACAAACTTATAAAAAAAGCCTAAACGAAACTACTTTTACTGCTCCGTCGTTCGCGTGAACTATATTAACCCATATTCTGGTCCCTGAACTGACCAAGAAGATAGCACGGGGTCTGAAATGACAAAATGCTGACCTTTTTGTTGACCTGAAGCAGCAGGCCTGTGTCTGTTCTGAATCTATGCAGCCGTGACCTGTTTACACACCCACCTTATATAGCTGTGACCTCTGACCTGTCCTTCTGACCTGACCCAGCGACCAGTGGTGACCTGTGACATCACCTGATGCAGTGGCGACCTGTGACCTCATGTTCTGACCTAACTTAGCGGCCAGCGGTGACCCGTGACCTCACCTGATGTAGCTGTGACCTATGACCTGTCCTTCTGACCTGACCCAGCTGTGACCTGTGACCTCACCTGATGCAGTGGTAAGCTCCACGTGTCGGGTGCTGTCGGGCGGCGCCATCACCACCGCGTGCTCCACATACCGCTCCGCGCCGCCGCCGCCGCCACCCGTCGCTGAAACGGACAACCGGTCAGTGCATATAGACACCAGCTCGAGGGCGACTTGTGGTGTAATAGCATGGCTAAATATTCACGTGTGCGTCGATAACGGAGTAAGGAGCCCGGACAAACTGAAATGACCTGTCGTGTGATTTTAAAAGGATCAGAGGTTCTTCCACGGATTTGTTATTGTTATGCGGTGGATTTTCTACAGAAGTAAACTGGCGCCGTGTCACACTGCCACACAAACAGCTTCCCAACGATATCTGACCACGATTCCCTAACCCTGGAGCAAGGAATTGGCCTTCGCTCTGCTAACTCAGCATCCCTGTGTGCTCGGTCAACATCCGAACACGACACTGGCCGCAAACTCGACCGGTTGCCAAGGCGACCACTCAGAATCTCTCTGGAGCGCCAACAGAGTGCCGCCGGTCGTCCATGAGACTGGGTCGAGCAGCTGCTCTCCGGAGGACACCGATCTGCTCTCGGGAACTGTTTGTCCAGTTGGGTCAGCTAGATCGAACACAAACACTCGGACACCGATTACCGCGGATCGACGGGCGCGGTCGTCGCAGACCGCAGCGACCCAGCTACGGTCAGTCCAGCGTCAGAGGTCTGACGCGATCAGCGCAGTGTAGAGGTCTGACAACGATCCCCGCAGCGTTAGAGGTCCGACCGTGATCAAAGAAGCGTCAGTGACGTCAGTGTCAGCTGTCACAAGCAGCACAGTTTCATCGGCCCGTCCTTTGGCCCGGCCATGGGGGCAGACAGACATTGTCTGGGTCTAACTGCATGGGCGAATTCGAGCCCGATGACATCGGGACAAAGCAGACTCCGTGACTTTGGATATAAGCTGACACGAAGCCCGAATAGTCCTAGTACATCCGCTATAGGAGCAGCCTCGGTGACATCTGGCGTAAGCCGTTCCCAGTACTTCCAGATCTAAACTGACCCAAAGGCCAAGATCTCCACTGACCCGCCCAGCAGCATAGAGCTGAACTGTCTCAGGGGACGCAGACTCGCTGAGTTCCAGGATCCGCAGTTCACACGAATGCAGCAGCGTTTAACTGTTTTCGTGCTTCAGAGATTCTCGAAAAACGCGTCGACGCGGCCCTAATACAATTGGAGCAGGACGCCTCGTTTGTCTGTAAATGAAGCGAGCTAGTCGCAGACAGCACGTTTTGTAATCAAATAAGACGGCTGCAAATGTCCGTCGTTATGATCGCGCGGCGGAAGTGGTTCTGCTGCAGTCGACGAAATGGCGAGTTTTCTGAATACAAAAACACACGCGGAGCCGCACACGCATAGGTGGCCGCATGGGTTTACAGCTAAAAAGAAGGAATTTCGTAAACTTCACTCATAAACAACTTGCTTGTAAGAAAAATAACACAACCAGGAAAGGTTCAAGCTGAACGTTCCAAGCATTGAACAATCAACATGTTCTCCATTCAAACTGATGGCGATCGTTTTTGCAATGCATATACAAAAAAGCCTCCCCCCATATCTACGTCACGGTTTGTACGCGTGCCCTATTGATTACCCCGTCACTCCACGCAGTGGAGCACTAATTCAGCTCGTCCGGCGCAGTGCCCTCCTATTAATACTGATATAGCTCGCCGGCGGAGGGCCGGCCGCCGGCCGAGTGAGTTGTTTACAGGCCGGCAGTCTGTTCAATAGCTCACGCCGGCCGTGTTTGAAGATGCGCGCAGCGGAGCCTGAAGGACCCTCCACCCCTCCCGCTGTTCACTGGCGTGCTGTCGCCAGCCCGCTTCCAAATTAAACGGTAATAGGGGCCCACTGTTCAACCGAGATTACAGCAGCAATAATTAGCTAAGTTCGAGAATGACGCTGTCGCGTTTTCTCAGGGCGGGCGAGTTTCGTTTGAAGCACCTCCTAGAACATAAATTGCTTTCGTCCGAGAAGTGTCTGTGACGGCGGCGTGTCGCGACTCGGCCGACTGCGTCTGACGCGGGCCTCATTACCGCCTCACCAGGAGCGGGCGAGTCGCAAACCGAGTGTGTACGCACAGTTTATGAACACCACTCGGCCCGGCTCTCCCGGCCCTCCCCCGTTCGAGATTGATAAGGCTGAAGTGAACCCGAGGGAGCGGAGGGTCTCGTTAGTCGGTGCTCCCCCGCCATACCACCCCAGTGCTCCAGCTGACTGAGTCTGAATTGAGACGTCCGGATTGAACATTACGAGGCTGAGACAGGATAGAGTGGTCTGTGTGTATGCACTCGGATTGAGAACATGATTTGCGCCTAAATGCGGACATCAGGAACTCACTAGTTAGACTAGCTATGCAGTTGGAATGGCTTAAGTAGTTCTAAAATGAATTACAGAGTAATTTATCGTCTAAATTGAGCCTCCATATGGTTGACGCTCTGTTTTGGGAATCGATAAAAATCAGCATTGACAAATGGACGCTGCCCACCAAATCGGAATAAAATGCAATGTTCCACGCTTCTGAGTGCTGGCAAACAGAAGTCAAAAGAATCGATAACCATAACTTTCAACATTAGGTAGCTTACAATTAAGTAAGATGCTTTACATGCAGTAGAAGAAACTCAATGGCAATTGTCGAGGAAACGTCAGTGCTGCAGCGCGCATGCTGACTATAATCATGTCCAAAGGTTATTAGTCGTAGTCTGTCATGACATGATGTTGATGTGGCCAATTTGTTGCACTACAGTTTCATCTAATGTGTAATAAATCATAGCGTGCATAATGCGCACGTAACTACATAAGCCATTATTTACTTTTAAACATACCCAGTTTGCTTTCGTGCAGTGTTTCCTATGTAACTATCACAAAACAACTGTTTATTATTACGACCATAACTTCTTTGTGGCCATGTACCTATAGCGCAATAACATCAAATAACACAAAAAGTGTATGTAATAGCTCTCCAGCAGCGCAACACAATTCTGTTGATTGTGACGCCCGATGATGTTGACGCCCGACGCACGCAACACTGAAGTGTCGAACATCGGCCGAACAACACCCGGCCAGATGCATTAGGTACCGGTAATGACTCTTCGACGATGAGACCTTACTTATGGACACGCTCGCCGCAATGTCGTTACGACGGCACGTGCTCGATTTGGCGGCAAATATTAGCAGCTACGTAAGTACACTAGCGAGTGACAGCAAAAAGTGGGCTGTATATGCACATGCAGTCCACTTTGCGATTACGTTAGGTGGTGGGGTATTTCATTTTTCAGCCTAGCCTATCAACGGGATACAATGGCAAGTAATGTTTGAAATCAATACTGTCAAACATCCACACATATCAATTTCTTAAAATGAAGGTAACTATTTGGTTCAGTGGATATTTTAGAAGTTTAGAGGTAATAAAATAAAACCAATGCCTACTAGAAATCGACTATGTCGCGCTTTCATGTTTGATCTCACATGAACGCTGCCTTGAATAGATCCTTTCAACGAGTCCATCACCGTAACCTCAGGGAAGGGTTTACATAAGATCTTCTTTTGTAGCAGCCAAACCACTTGATTCAACGCGCCAATATGTAAGTCTCTGCCATGCACTACTCTACGTCAGTAAGAAACAGTAGTTTTTGTCTCTGCCAATCCGAAGTACGAGTATAACTTTCAACAGCCCTCCTCACCTGCAAAGTATGCCATGAGCGCGAGCAGCAGGACCGACAGCACGGCCAGACAGGCGGTGGCCAGCCGCCAGCTGCACCGGTAGCGGCACTCGTCCTTCAGCTGGTTCCTCTCGGGTGAGTAGGCCGGCGGCGCCACGTGGTGACACAGATTGGTGCGCTGCGCCGGGTAGACGGGCATCACCAGCGGCATCACCGGCTCGGAGGAGCCGCCCTTCTGACCGCCGTCCATCACGAGTCTGAGGGAAGATTGAGGAATTGGGGTTAGATGGGGGTGGTTTCTGGGTGAAGTCCTACAGGATACACCATAGTGACGCTGAGTCAAAGCTGTGAAGAGCGATGCTGAATTGTGACCCTCCAGCAGTTGAAAGTTATAAAAACCCGCATTGAAAAGAAAGCAATATTTGCGAAAAAAAAAACATAGTCAGTGTCCTTCGCACATAAACCATTGTTGCCGTTTTGTCCAAAGAAAAGAAGCAGAAGTTTGGTCTACTGATCCGCTGAATACCCAGCTTCTGCGTCACGGCGGGTAGCGCATCTGTTGTTTGCACTCAGCGTAACACCGGAACCCGGCCGAGCTGAATGACGTGACGGGCGCTGACAGCCAGTTGACGTGCGGCTTCAAAACGTCTCCCGGTGACGCGGATGGGTTTGACAGCCGGATGACAGGTCACTGAAGTGGCTCGCCGCGCCACTCACTCATCACTAGATGATGTTCTGCCTCCTCGGCCGACAAACAGCCATCAAATGTGAGTCAGATTGACTGTGACGCTACCTCAAGTCAAGCGCAACCGGTGATCAGTTGATATGACTAGCTGCATTTTGCAACTTCGCATAAGCTATATGATGATCATTTAGGCATTGTTGACATATAGGGTTGTTCACAAGCTAGTGAAAATATTGCGGATGAATGCGGAATCTCCTCGCTGCTCCACTTTGATGAAAGAAGCAGTTGACTGCGAACACATTTGGTCCCGAGTGTAAAAATAAACAGGATCATTTTTCAATCTACAATAACCGGATAACATGTTTACGACGGCCGATACGTTACGATAAGAAATTGTTGCAGGTCGCACGGCGTGAGATTAGGTCGGTTCAGCGTCCTGCAGAAGGTCGAGCAGCAGCAGCAGCCGCGTCCATCATACTGCGAATGAAGCCGGAGGCGCAGCTGCTACCGTTTACCGCGCCGACGGCCGCAGCCAGGCCGTGCTGAGAGAGCGGCGCCGCAGCGAACGCCCGTAATCACCGGTACTCGGCGCCGTATACAACTCTGTTTGCGTTTCCGAAAAAGCGCGAGCAGCGCGCGCTAATTGACATGAATGGCGGCGGTGATCGAGTTTGGCGCGCTGGCGATGGGCCAAGCGCGGCTCATTTCGGCCACTTGTCCCCGCGCCGCCGGCTGGTGAGCGCACTCGGCACTCGGCACTCGGCAGACGCCAGACGCTGCAGCCAAGCGCGAGATGAAAAACGAATTGCAGGATTCTGAATGGGAAAGAAAGGAAGGTGAAATGAGAAACAAGATGAAAAGACGTGATGAAAAGAGAAATAGTCTTAAAGCGGATATCAAATACCGATAACAAATAAGAAGGGAATGTGATAACGGCGATTGGATTAAGTATTTCTTGCCAAGACTCAATAGTAGGTGAAAAACGGCCACAGACCATTCTTAATCACAATGCCCTTCATGGAGAGCATTGTTGTAATTGTTGGTGTAACATTGGCGTCTGCCGAGTGTTGTAAAGTTGTAACTACTTACTACACCCTATAAAATCGATATGCCACGAATACCAGGTCACAAGCTCTAGTTATTCTTATATTTCGCAGTCTATGCAATGGAATCCCCTACAGCGGAACCCCTAACGGAACTGCGTGACAGCACCGCACTTTTAAAAGCTCCTCCATCGATGAAAATTGAGCCCGCCGGAGAAGTTGCCGCTTCTGTTCTCCATCAGCGACTGGCGGAGGACAGCTGGCGCCGCCGACACAGTGCCTGATGACACTCCCCCCTCCGTCACCTCCCCACCCCCTCCAGGCCGTCCCAAGTCGGGCCATCTCACAGCGCAATGAAGTGCGGCCCGGAATTGTGATTGATGGTGCCAGTGCTGGCCGGTGACTAATTTCAGGCGCGGCTGGCGGCCCAAGTTCGGGCCGTCCAGTGCCGCCGGCGGCGCCCAGAGCGGCTGGAGGGCACTAATGAACTGCCCTGCTGATGATGGGGCAATCACCAGCACAGGGCCCCGGGCGGAGAGGGCAAATATCTAAAACGGGCGCCTGAGCTTTGGTCAGTCGACAGCTGTGGAGACTGGAGATAAGCCAAGAAACATGAAGACTGAACAATAAACTTGATAAATTTGATATGAATTGCTCTGGGACACATTGCTGATAGAATGCTTGTAAATGAGAGATGGTTAAGCTGTGATTAGGTCAAGAGTTCCTGTTCGTTAGACACATAGATAACCCACATCACTGTGCACAAAATGAATGAATTTTATACAGGAAGTGGTCAAAGGAAGAACCATGTCAAGATAAACGTACAACCCAAAAAGTCTAGTGATATCACTATAGTAGGTGTGTTACAACTGGCAGCACGACGTGCGTTCTAATCGTATTGCTGCAAATGACAAAGGGTTTCCTTACCAGCGGCGCCATTGCAATGGAGTTTCGGTACGCTGCTACCTCAATGGCGTATTCCCAGTGGGGCGCTATTCGCCTTTGATGTGAGACCTCTTGGTGGCAGTCTTTCATTTCAGGAAGTGGAGTGCTATTGCAATATTCCAGACAGTTACCGCCCACTTAACCAGCACAAATAGCTCATGAATGATATACCGTTTCTGCGGCCTCCTCGAATTACACCAATCAAGACCCTAGCATTCCTCCAAACGACTTCGTCAATTCCGTGCAGCTCGCTCAATAAAAAGTCTACATACCGGCCATACGATGAGTGCTGCAGTCGAGGGAGCCTGTGCACCTTCAGGGGGCTATCGTGCGCGATAGCGCCGGGTTGATACCGACAGAGTCTCCTCCCCCGGAGCCAATAATTCATACAAACAGTAAGTGACGACCCCCGTGGGAAATCAGGCCGCTTTACACGGCGGCGGGGCGGTGCGGGGCCCTCGGCGACCCTCGTACACCGCCGCCGGCCGGCGCAAACACTCCGTAACGGGGTGCCAACTGCCGCGCCGACACGCCCAACCATTCATAATTGGACTCATTCTTTTGGGAAAATAACCGGCCGGCTGATATTCGTAGCGGGGTTTTCAATTGCCAGCCGGAGTGATGAGTCAATATTTGGCAGCTCATCACTTTCAGCACCAGTTCCGCATTTCAGCGTCGGAGAATTTATGCGCCATTGTCGACAGGAAGTTCGAACGGAATAGCGAAACAGTATATTTAGTTCCACGAATATCTACCCAATACAAGTATCGTTGGCGTCGTTTATAACACCACTCGGGGCAGTTTCGGACCGATGCAGACACACTCGTAGGTGTGTATGGGCGGACTGACCTGGTCTGAGCCCCGTTTAGGCTGGCGTAGGTGTCCGGTTCGCTCGGATTGTACCCCCGCAGAGGAGAGGGGCCCATGTGGGACCTCGGACTGCCGGGAAGCCGGTACTCTGAAAGGAAAATACAAAACACACGTCAGGTGATGCATGTTCAACAAAGCAGCGGTAAATATGAGCGTCGGAAGACGTAATGGACATGCGTATTATTTTACTGCATAGTCCAGCTTGCGTTCATCCTTAACATGTTTGTTACTCTTATCGGATTAGGAAATATACATATTGTCCTTTGAGCCAAACATGACCTGCTACAGAAAGACGGATCATGGAGACAAGCCCCAAGACCCACAGGAGTCACATCTTTTTGATCTGCAGCTGCTTCATTAAGCCTCGGACATATCAAAGGCTTTTAAATCCAATCCCTGCTGACCTGACGGACTGGGCAGGTTGACGTCGCCGTCGGAAGGGTAGCCAGCCTGCAGTCGCTGTAGAGAGCGCACCGCCTGGTGAGAGGAGGGGCCGCGAGACGGGACCTCGGGCGGCGCCGGCTCCGGCGGAGTGTGCAGACCTGACAGACGGAGAGCATAGACACCGGGTCATGCGTGCGTCGTTTAGCATTTATTCATCATCACACTCGTGACTGAACATCATTCATGGAATGTCTCGTCACGTGTTCACTGCCTCGCAATGAAGACGTCTGAAAATTGTCGGACTGCAATGATCGAAGGATTTTGTAACTGACTGAAATCCACAGCACGCCGTGAGACGAAATCTTGACAAACTTCGCCATTCGCCAGCTTTATTATTAGCCTAATGTCGTTCCTAGCCGACTCGGCCCGCCCGCCGTACCGCCGCTGCCTCCATTCGCTCGGCCAGGCTCGCCATCGTTTCCGCCAAACTAATCAGGCGATTTCCGCTGCCGACGACGTCCTGCAATTAATGCGGCGACTTTTACGGGCACGCACGCTGCCGCCGGCTGTTTTCCGAGTGAGCTGGCATCACTGCGGTCCGCCGTTACACCACATATTTCTGCAGCGCCGCCGGGTCTGCCGGGCAGCCGGCGCGGCACGGCGCGGCGGACAAGGGCGAGGTTCCGGGCTGGCTGACGATCTCTCGGCTTCCCTGCCCCCCCCCCCCGCTGGGAGATAGCCGAGAAGAGCAGCGGGGTGTCATCATCATCCACGGCCGCTGCTGCCGTCCCAACTTTGTTAATAAATCATGCTCGCTATTATGCCGCGAACCATTTGATACTCTGGCTTTGATGCTACCAGCTCGGCAATCAGGAGATTGCATGCAAAATTCAGAAATAAATGGAGCGTCTCTTGTGAGGAAGTCCTGTTCCGTGTCAATGTTTAAGTAGGTTTGGTGCCAACGCACAGTAAACTCTTAAAGTCTGGGATCCGTCAAGCGAAACTTCTCGGATGAATTTAGAATCGGTGTAAATACGGAACTTATCAAAAGTTGTTTCACTTTGAACACAAAGCCAGATGTGAGGTGTTGTGTGCGCATCTTATGAGGGAATTAAAGAGGTCATTTTACCAGAGCATTGGCATTAACGCCAACGATTGCCAGCGTAATGCTCACCATGTATGGTATACCATATATTTCGTATTTAAAACAGTTATCATTCAATGTCACTCTACCGGTGGTAGTGGTACCTATTCATTATGCTCCTCTTGTCACCGATGAAACATTGCAACATAGATATGAAATGGGATTGCATCTGCCCTACTTAATATTCAAATAGTCTTCGAAAACCTATCATCACTCGCATACTTTCCATACGTGTGAGTACATTTTCACACCCTTCTAACCCCGTTATTCTGCGACAGAATAAAATGCAACCCTTTTCCCGACCGCGGTCCAAAGAAGCGAAAATTTCCGTGTGACAAAACAGTAATTTCAGCGGTCGATAATAGCCACCCGGGGCGCGGACAAAAGGCTACGTCAGACCGAATTCACAGCGATTTATTTCCCGGGGGTTTCTCTAACTCAATTTGGGATGCTGCTCGGGCCGAGTACATTTCGGCAGCGGCAGACTCGGGTGCCGAGTGAGTGGCTGAAGGGGAGAGGGTCAGCCTACCGGGGGTGCCGGCGACAGCGCGCCGGTCGGGAGCGGCCACCGACAGACAAATGTTCTCGGCACGCCGCCGGGCCGCAGCCATCAGCACCGAGAGCTCGATGGATGGTCGGAGGAGGGGAGCGCCGTAACCAAGACGCAGCCCCGGCCAGAGAGTGTTCGGCAGTCCGCCCTCGCCGCCCCGTGGACGCTCCGCCCGCCAGGAAGACGGACGATAACAGCCTCCCAGTCACCAGAAACAAATGAGCCAAAATACGGACCAGTTTAAACTCACCGCCAACAATGGCTCCTTCCGGACTTCCAGATTCAAACAGATAGCTTTGTAGGAGCGGCACAGCCAATTTCAGATACCGAAATGGAGCCCCTGAGGATGAGATCCTATTGCAAGGCGTAATTTGACGATATCGTTACCCGTAGACCATAGATTGCTATCAGTACAATAGTTGATAAGACCGGACCGGGGAGGAAACGCTGTCTTATCACAGCATATTCTCCCACTTTCAGCGCTGCCAACTATTTTTCCTTGCTTAAGATTCCTTATATCTAATGCCCGAACGCTGAATTCATCTAATTATATGATCAATCATCTGCTGGATCGTGAATATTAAATTACTCATGACATTGATACTAACAGAAAAATCATTTAGACTTTAATTAACAAAATATCATCCTTTGCAGTCAACTTAACTATCCCATTTTACCGCGTCTACCGTCAGAAGGAACGGATAAGTAGCTTGTTTACCTTTACGGTTTCCATTGCATAAAAATCTTTGAGCTTTAATCGCTCTCAGAGATGAACAGTTAACCAAAGAAGATATTCGAAAACTATTAACACTAAGTTCAACGACTGTTGAAACACGTCTTGCGCATTATTCTTCAACGCTTTATCAGGAAAGCGTCCAACATCCCTCGCCGCTTTGCCGGGTGACCCACTTCCAGCGCAGCCGTGCGGCGGAACTCACCGCTCTGCAGCTGCTCCATCTTGCAGCGCATCTCGCTCTCGGCGTACGTGGTCGTGTCCGAGTTGTTATCGGACGAGCTGAGCGAGCCGTGTTTGTGGCCTCGCCTCCCCCGCCGGCCCAGCGACTGGTAGATGCCCGACGAGACCGGCTTGGAGGCGTAGTGGAGCTGGTCGGCGCGGTCCCGACCAGCCAGCTCACTGGAGAAGGTGGAGCCTGACCGACCGCCGCCGAACGACCCCGGGTAGCCGGCCAGGTCACGGGAGGTCAGGTCACCCGACTTGGCCGGCTGGAGGACGATGGAGGCCGGCGGGCCCGCGCCTTCCGGACCTGTGCAGACAAAGGAGTTTGAGGGTTACATTCCAAGACGTTAGTAAATGAGCATGTCGCCAAAGAGGCCCCACTAACACCTACACAGTAAACATTCCTCTGATCAAGTCGTGGTAAAAGACAGCGGAGAAGAAGCTTACATATAAAACAAATATTGTCCTATGCACCGTTTCTCAACTGGGAGGCATCCTGGCAACGATTCCAACAGTACCACAAAAAAATGAAGGGAAAGTTTAGGTTGATAACTTGGTACTAGGTAGATTGGTAGGTAAAATTCGGTGAAAATTTTGTTACCAGTTGAAAAGGTGTTTGCCCACATCCGCTTAAACGCAAAGTTTACGCCGTAGCAGCTGATGCTTATTCTCGTGCTCCCAGCCGTGCAAATTTTCGGAACACCATTGAAGTGATGTTTAAACTCATCAAACTACTGCATAAGCCGTCGACAAGGCCTTTGGATTTACATTTCCCAGGGAGAAATAGAGCTGCGTCCGAGACCGTATTAAAATTAAATGCGGCACTATGCGTTGAATTCGGAGGGCAACTTCAAATGATGTCGGTAACACTACGCGTTATACCATACAACATGAACAACTTTTGGATTTCAGTGTTATAAGTGTGTGCGAGTATGAAACATCATAGGTTATAAAGTTTTTGAAGACTCAGAGTGTGCATTAATTAACATTTAAAGGACCTGACGTTTTTCATAAATGTGAACAGGCTTGAGATGTTTGATTTCTAAAGAAATTTTAAGCGAGTCTCTTTTGGAGATCTTGGAATCGTTCAACGCTTTGCTCTGTTGAACCAACATCAAACATTTTACTTGAGAGGAATACTTTACTGAAGAGGGCGACATTCTCTGATGTTGAGAGCTTGAACAAATTCGATGCACTGAGGATGCTAATTAGGGGCTGTCTTGGATGAACCGAGCGAGACGATTGCTTACATAATTAATGAAAGAACACCATGTAATCCCGTCTTAAAAGCATATTGCTCCTCATTATAATGAACATATTACCAGGTTAAATAACGGGTACATTACTGCAACGTAAAAACTTCAAACCACTTAACACGCTTAAATGCAGGTTGCAAACGTCATCCAAAGACCAACAATAACTGCTTTAGCACTGAGAAGACTTTGTTGTTGCTTCATACATTCACTGCTTGCACCCCGTTCTCCTTTGTCCGGCGTGCCATCCACCCTCGCCGGTGGCCGCTGCTGTGTGGCACGCGCGCCGTTTGTGCCTCTCCAGCCATCGCGTCCCAGTGCGCCACCATCCGTCTCTGTCCCCGGCCAGCCCGGTGCGTATCGAGCGAGCCTCGCCGGCCGGACCTGGGGCCACGCGACTCCTCCGGCGTGGAGCGCCGCGTAGCGCCTGTGGCAGCGTCTGACCTGCCCCACCTGACTCTGCTGACACCCTGTAATCCGGGGCTCACCCTGACGGCTCGGCAGAGACACCACCCGAGGCCGACCGGGGCGGCCGACAGCTCGGCCCGCCCCTGCCCCTGCCCCGCACGACCACTCCGCCCACCCCTGTCCGTCTCCAGAGTCAGGCCCACCTTCGTCAGCCTGCAGCAGACTGTGTGTAAATGTGGTCATATAAATACATGTGGATGGTAGAAAAACTCAAACAAGTCAACAGCCAATGTTGCAGTTGAAAAGAAGGATAGATAAAAACATTGCTTATTTAGTGATAACATTTTTCAATTGAACAAAAGAAGCTTCGACTGTTGGTGCGTACCATTGCATAACCAACTATTATTGAAGTCCATTTATAAAAGTGTGGACTGGAATAAAATATATTTCTGTTGGGTATTTACAAAGCTCGAAGTATCAGCCTAGAAACGTGGGAGTGTCGATGTCGATTAATCAAACAGCTATCTTACAAATCATGCTAATTCGGGGGACTATAAATATCCTCGCAATACGGCCCAAGTCAGAATTATGAATGTTAATGAGCTGAATGGCATTCCCAGCCCAATTAAGCGCTAAATTAAATGGCTCATAAGTAAGACCGTAGCCCATGTAAATTGAATCAAGATTGCCATTTATGAACGAATCAGGCTGGCTCTCAGGTCCCCGTTAGTACTCGCGGCCCTACCCATTTGGAGCCCTTTCGATCGGGCATGAATTCAGTTCGCTGACGTCCGGTCCGCCAAAACTCCCATTTGTATGCAAAACCTGCGGCGGCATTCACACCGGGGCTCAAATTTTCGCCAAACATACCATCCTGCGTGGCATAATTCCGCCCTCAAATATCCTTTTTATGCCGGGTTATTTCCATAATTCCCATCAGATGCGCGGGACTTTGGTCGGTTGATTTGAGCGGTCCGCAGATGGCGGCGCCGCTGGAGAGGCTCGCAGCGCGCGGCAGACCTCGGAAGTGACAGGTCAATTATGCACTAGAATAGGGGCACCGATAAATAATTCAGTCCGGCCGCGGCAGTCCGTAGAGACATGCTAATAACATCAGCGGACGGCGGCGGTCGCCAAGGCGATGATAATTCAGCCGCTCCTGCAGCGCCACGAGAGGCGACCGAGCGCGGCAGGTCCAGATGGCTTCACTTGGAGACAGGCCACCTCGCTCCTTGGACGGGACGCAATGCACTGCAGCATCAAATGCCACAAAACTACAAAAATCTGGTATTTTTACGAATAACTTAAACCTAGTTTTATTCACACCTTAGAGCCATGCTATACTTTCATACTAAAATTGCATTATACTCAGCAATAAAAATGAGAAACAACAGCGTTTTGAAAATAATTCATTCGATCGCGTTTCATATTATTGTTTACAGCACTAACATCGTTTAGCCCCACTGACCGGAAAGCGCCCGCATCTTGTGTGCGCGCTTCAGTGGCCGCTGCGGAAATTCACGACCGAAATCGCCTTTAAATTCCAATCAGGGTCGGCGCGGCGACTCTGCTCAATCTCGCCGGTCGTGCCCGCTCGGCGGTCGGCCGCTTTTTTCGGCCATCGCGGCGAGACGCGCACTGTAATTGTCTCCCGCAGGAAGGGTGATTTATATTGGTGGCAGGGCGCGCCACCGACCACTAACCGACCGACCAACCGACCGAAAGGTCTCCCAAACGTGGACTGGCGATGGCGTTTTGAATTTCTGAGGAAGTCGTTGTCTTCATTGAAGCCTGTCAAGAAGTTATATTATGTATGAACTATAGCTTATTAGAAGCTTCTGTTTTTTTTATATAATGTGTTGACTAATGATAGTTCGGCTATTACAATAAAATCACTCAGCCAAGACAATGTGCTTATGCAATTCCTTCAGAGATAAATATCGACGATGTTTTACGGATTTTATTGAACCAATATCTCATTACTGTAGATTCAACAGCATCATTACAGCAAACCCTCATACAAACCTCTCCCTCAAGAAGCAACACATGCTCCTATGCAACTCTGCTTTTCGCTGTAACCTGCAGTGACCCATCATCGCTCGGTCCCTGACCCGACCTCACGCAGCGGTCCGTATGATCGGGGTGACGGTCTGAGCCACCCGCGCCGGCCGGAAATGAAATTTACCGTCCCCCACCAGGCTACCAGCAGAGTCGGCCTGACCGCGACCACTCCGGGAGCCGCCGCGCCACAGAGCAGGCCAGACGGCCCGTATAAATGCATGTGAAATGTGAGGGCCGGCGCTCTAGGTGGCAGCCGCCTATCGGGCCCAGTCAGGTCGAAAACCCGATTGGCCGCCGCTCGGATGGAAACGTTCCCGTTCTGATGGGAGGAGCGGGTGCACCGGGCGGCCTGTCCGAGCCAGGGATCTGCCGAGATAGCGCGGCGCTTCAGGTCCGAGCAGATAAAGATGGCTTTTGTATGAATATGCAACAAAGAAAGGCAACTGAACAAACGGAATATGGGCGAAGGGAGTTTGAAAGACTAACAGTTAGCTACATTGGACATCAGTTGCACAGGAAAACGACATAGCTACTTCGGAGCAAAAGAGATACTGCAAATAAATTTTACAGAAAAGCTGTACGAAGACCACCGCGTCAATTTGTAAAAATAATCAGGTTCTTTTCTACTATGTCCGATTTGGCCGCACAGCAACCATCATCCCATCCTTCATCGCTAGCTTCATTAATTAGGAAACATCCTCTTTTCTTTGACCCACATCCCCCTCACCGCTCGCTCAGTCTCTGGCACCAGCCCCTGCCTCCCCTCCCCTCCGCAGTGACCGCGCTGACTCCGCGGTAGCTGGGGTCGCCGTTCGCCAACCTTTGTGGTCGAACAGCCCGGGGCGGTCACAGAGAGCATAGACCAATCAGCCGGTCTGGCACACTAATTACCGGCACCCAACCAGGAGGAATAATGGCATCCGGCGAAACAGCCGCCGACTGATCCAATTAATCAGCCATCGTCTACAGGAGAGCGCACTTGAGCAGACCGAGAACTGGCCGCCAGCAGAGCGACAAGTCCTAATTAAAAGAGACGGTGGACAGTGGCCGCTCGTCGTCAAACTCTCCCAGGAGTCAGCTCCAGATGAGATGAATTGAATCGACAATGGGGCTGTTCTGAAAATTAGCAATTATAAAAATTTGTTCTTGCAGGGTGGATGGATTTGTAATATCGAACGTCTTACTAATGTATGTTAGATAGCTTACGATCGGCGAAATGAATTCATATGCTAAGCCAAGGTATATCAAGATGGAACGTTCATCATCAATGAATCGCATGCTCTAAAAAAATGACTCGTCACACTACTGCCCAAATTGCTCGAGCAGCATACCCTTGGCTTTCATTTCGGGTAAAACAGCCACCCATCTAGCTGACGATGCCCAGTATGTTTCTGAGCGCTGACCGTCGGTCCACTAAGTTTGCACGTACCAGACAAGGCCCAGTTCCCAGCCTATTGCATTACAGGGCCGGCGGGCTAGTGGCGGCAGTCTGTTGGATGTCAAGTGCGCCCGCCCTGACTGGATCAGGCAGACAGACAGACAGTGACAGACAGACATGACAGACAGACAGTGGGGCTGGGACTGG